ATATGAACTCGAAATATAAGCAAATCATGGAAAATTTATATCTGCATGCCTTACTGCGCGAGAAGGCTGCAGTATCCCATCAGAATTCTCCAGATACTCCACCAGTTTCTCCTTGAATTTTGTGTCGATATTCATAATGTAAATTGACCTTCTTTCAACACTTGAATAGCATTTAATTACCATCACACAAAATAAAGTAGCTATCTTCACAAAAATTTTATGTATAAAATATTTTACTCCATTTTACATTTTTAAACTCTAAAATCATTTTCCCTATTCGATCATTTTTTTTTTTTATTGTTTTATTCATAATTTACCATAAACTGAAAATGATACCTAATTAAACTTGTTAAATTTCTTTAATTTTAGATTAATAAAGAGATAGATAAATAAAGAGAAAAATTGATAAAAAATTCAACTTTTTGAACAATTCTAAATCTTACTTTATAACATCTCTCTCTTTATTCACAGAAAGTTTGCGCGATTACGAAAGAATTATTTCAGCTCTTGAAATGGAGAAAACGAGGAACTGACAGTTCCCTAATCACATGAAAGAACTTGATCTTTCCTCGCTAGAATAAACTGCAATTTACTCGTATCACGATTTTTAATTCACGTAAATTGATCGAAAAGAAAATACTATTTTCACGATATAAACAAACAAACAAACAAAAAAAAAAGAGGAAGAAGGAATAAAACATTATTTCGAAAATTGTCACAATTGAAAATTGAGGAGGGACAATGTACGCGATGTACAAAACAATGTAAATTTAAATAGATACTATCGTGCGAACTTAAAGTTGGATGAGTGCGAGAAAGGTCTGTCTATCTGTTGCGAGTATATATGTAACGATGGCATCTGATGCCTGGGAAATAGAGAGTACATATCGTGTCAGTTTACAGACGTGGTCGAATATACAGGGAACAAAATCACGTGTGATGTTCAGATCGATTCACTGCATTCAAATTCAAAATGATGAAATGCATAATAATAATACTGGGACTTTGTAAACTATCCTTTTCATACAAATTTCAAATAATATCGGATTTTTCAAATTTCTGCGTCTAAATCTGTAATAAAAAGAAAAACTGTAAAAATTTCACAAAATAGAAATATTACTCTACTTTGTTTTTAACTGTACTGTAATCTACTGAAAACTTCTTTTTTAAATAAATATTTAATTATTATTTTTCCAAAAGAATAAAGATTTTTCAAAACATTCGAATTCAAACCTTTACGAAATTCAACAACTTATAAGAATATTATTACAAAACATGAAGATATCGATAACTCCGAGTCGAAGACTCGGAGTTATCGATATCTTCATGTTTTCTAATAATTTAAATTTCTATAAAAGATTTTCAAACAAAAATTTAATTATTCACAAAAAATTTTGAATAAAATCCTTCACAAGAATTCAATTATTTTTACAAGTAATAAAATTTTTCCCAAAAATTCAATTATTTAAAAAAATGTAATAAAATTCGTTGTAAGAATTCAATTATTTTTATAAGTAATACAATTTTTCATAGGATTTCAATTATGATTTGAATACAATATTAAATAATTTCCTCGAAAAATGTAATTATTTTCAAAAAATTTTTGCAAGAATTCAATTACATTTCACGAATAATCAAATTCTTGGCTGAAATTCAAATATTTTCAAAATCTAGTATTTTAATAAAATTTCTCAAAAGAATTCAATTATTTAAATAAAATTGTAATACAATTTTTTGCAAGAATTCAATTATTTTTATAAATAATAAAATTCTTTACAGGATTTTAATTATTTAAAAAAAATATTCAATAAAATTCGTTGAATGAATTCAAATTTTCATAAATAATAATATTCTACACAAGATTTCAATTATTTAACAAAAATGTAATAAAAATTCGTTAAAAGAATTCAATTATTTTTCTAAATAATAAAATTCTCCACATGGTTTTAATTACTTTTCATACAATTTTAAGTAAATTTTTCGAAAAATGTCATTAATATTAAAAATTTTATCAAAATTCTTCGAAAGAATTCAATTATCAATTATTTTTAATAATTTTTGCAAAAGTTCCTTGAGAATTTTCAAATTCAAAAATTCTTCAATTAAATATTTGAAAAATATAAACTTGAAATAATTACAGAAACAAATTCAATTAAATTTTTTTAAAAAAATTAATTCTATTCAGAATTTTCAATTAAAAGTATGAAAAATTAAATTTTTAAAACGATTTTGATTTAAAATCTTTTAAAAATTTATGCTATAATGCTTTTAATATTCAATTGGTATCTATAAAATATAGTATCTATAAAATTTTAACTAAAATTCATTTTTAAATCAATTTTTATTACAAAATTCTACGAGAATTCAATTATTTAAATACAAAAATAAATAATTTATTGAATAAATGAATGTTTCTCAAAATTGTATTCTCAAAAAGAATTTTGAATTCAACTGAATTTTTTTCGAATTTGATTAAAATTGAATCAACAATTTTTTTTAAATAATTGAATTCTTTTGAAAAATTTTATTAAAATAGTAGATATTGAAAATCATTGAATTGAGGAAATTTTTTGAAAATAATTGAAGTCTTACCAGGAATTTTTGAAAATAATTGAATTTTGGAGAAGAATTTTAGTATTTTTGAAGATAATTGAAATTTTGACAATAATTTTTTTTCTATTTTATTCTTCAATTAAATATTTATTAAAAAATAAAAACTTCAAATAATTTCAAAAAAATTAATTTTATAGAAATCTTAGTGAAAAGTATGAAATAGTCAAATTTTAAAAAATTTTAATTTGAAACCTTTTCAAAATTCCATTATTTTAAAAAATTTATGCTATAATGCTTATATTTAAGAATATTCAATTATTATATAAAATTTTAACTAAAAATCAACTTGAAATCAATATTTATTAGAAAATTCTACAAGAATTCAATTATTTAAATACAAAACTATTTTTTTACTAAATAAGTTAATGTTTATTAAAATTGAATTCTTTTGACGAATTTTAAACAAAATTGTTAAGAATCATTTTTGGAGGAACTCGATTAAAATTGTATTTAAAAAAATTAAAATTCTGCGATAAGTTTTATTATTCATGAAAATAATTGAATTCTTTTGAAAAATTTAATTAAAATAGTATATATTGAAAATCATTGAATTGAGGAAAATTTTTGAAAATAATTGAATTTCGGAGAAGAATTTAATTATTTTCAAAAATAATTGAAATTTTGACAAGAATATTTAAAAAAATTTTGAACATAATTGAATTTTTGGGAAACATTTTATTACTTTTGAAAATAATTAAATTTCTGCATTCATTTGTAACTACTTCAAAATTAAAATTTTCAAATTTGTAAATAATTGAATTCCTGTGTAATTTTTTATTATTTATGAAAATAATGAAATGTTTGCGTAGAATTATATCAAACATTTTTTCTAAATAATTGAATTCTTTTGGAAAATTTTATTGAAACAGTAGATATTGAAAAGCATTGAACTGAGGAAAATTTTTGATAATAATTTAAATTTTGCCAAGAATTTTATTGAAATTTTTGAAAATAATTGAATTTTAAAGAAGAATTTTATTATTTACAGAGAGAATTGAAATTTTGTCGAAAAATTTTTTAAATTTTTGAACATAATTGAATTTTTGCAAAGAATTTTATTACTTTTGAAAATAATTAAATTTCTGCAATCATTTGTAACTTCTGAAAAATTCAATATTTGTAACTAAATTTTTTCTATAAATCCATTAATTTCAATAATTAATGAAATATATATTTAAAAATTTAACTAATTTCAGAAGAATTTGAATTATTAAATATTTTCTTTTTATGAAAATTGTAAACGTAACTCTTTTAAAATTCAATTAATTTCGAAGTATTTAAGTAAAATTATTCATTAAATAATTTCTAAGCAATAGTTTTTTTTAAATTTTTAAAGAATTTAGATATTTAGAAAGAAATTATTATCTGAAATAGAATATAAGATACAATAATTCAGAAATTTTTTATGAATTCTAAAAGTTTAATTTTTTCTAGTACTTTTAATAAATTTCCCTTACTTTTCCCTGATTTCCCTGACCTGTGGCAACCCTGACTGCACAGTATTGTACTGAATTTTACTGTATTGTATTGTACTGTATTTTATTGTAGAAAATAAACAGAATTAAAATTAATGAACACTGTCATTAACGGAATGTTGATAAAAGATAATTCTTTCATTAAAGTAAATTTGTGATTTTTAGTGTTCATTGTGTGAAAACTTTTGTTATTTTTCACGCAAAATTAATAATCATTATTATGAGCGGACTTACTTATTGTTGGGAAAAACTTGTCGCTCTATTATTAGGGGATAAAATCCAAGTCTCCTTTGACCCGTCACATATCATAATAATCTTGAGAAGAAATTACACGAATCGCTGTTGTTCATCGCTTTTTATCTATGGAGTAACTCGTTTCTTTAGAAAGTAGAATATACGATTTTTTGTTATTTTCTTCCATAAACATTTTATCTGGAACAGAAAGAAAAAAATGTCAATAAGCAAATATATCAAAATTAAGAAAATATTTAAAGTTCTAATTGTTACATATAAAATGCCAATGGTATTCATTGAGCAAACATAGTATTGTCACAATTAGTTAAAATGCAATAATAATAAAAGTCCATAAGCAAAAAAAAAAATAAATAAATAATAACAATTATCGAATTATAACAATTGTTATTAATTAATTAATAATCCTTCCATGAGGAAGTAAAATCATTAATATTTTAGGTAGTATTATAAAGCTGTGAATAAATATAATATTTAAAAATTGTAAACAAAAATTATTTTTGAGTAGAGTTTTTTAAATAATGTTAAAAAAAATAATTTTTTTTTAAATAAACAATTGAGTTGATAAAGTCGAATCCTACTCGAATCGATAAGCTACCGACAAGAACGACGACGACGAAAGACAGATTTCAAGAAAGTCTCGCCAGATATCTCTTTTTTTGACAGTTCGATCAGCTGTTGTGAAATGACATCTCCAAAAAACTAATATTGACATTGCGTTGGAATTCAAGTTTTTTTCCTTTTATTAACTAAAACAACAGAAGTTTATTTCTCAAAATGGGTTTATTAACTCAAAAACAAATAAAATGATATTCGCCAAAGGAATAACTTAACAATAATCAAAATTAAGCTCCAAAAAACAGAGACAAAAATCAAGCTGGAAAACTTAGGATTTTATATAATAAAATTAATCTTTCCAACAATCCGGCTTAATAAACAAAAGGTAAGATGATGTTATCAAATAAAACAAAGCAATCTTCATATAATTCTTGTATTTTTTTCCATTTTGGATATTATATATTTTTATCATGGAAACAATAAAATTAAATTTTTCTCAAGAATCAATACCATGTCTTATGTTATTACTTATTGAAAAACAATAAAATAAATTTCCTCAATGAGCTTAAAATTCAATTATTTTCTACAATTTTTAATCAAACTTCTTCTCGAAATCAATTATTATTAATAATTTTCCGAAAATTCTTAGAGAATTCAATTATTTAAATACAAAAATTCAGTTTTTTATAATAATTGTAACTGTCCATGTTTTTTAAGTTATTAATTAATTTTCAAAAAATTATAATAAAGAAATTCTTAAAATTAATTTTTTAAAAATATTTTTAAACTAATTTATGAAAGATAATAGTTTTTCAATTATATAGAATTGAAAAATTTGTAAACAATTGAAATTTGGTAAATTCTATTAAAAAAAATAATTGAATTTTTAAAGAATTTTAATTATCAATATAAACGTGATTTCTCCAAAATTTTAATAAATCTAAAAAAGTAAATTTTTAAAAATTTTAATTTACTTTGTCCGAAGTTAATCGAATCTTAAAAAATTGAGATAAAAAAATTACAAGAAAAAGTTTTTTTTTTAATATTGTAATGTAATTTTTCGAAAAGAATTGAATTTCTTAAATGAATTTTTGTATAATTTTAAAAAAACTAATTTTTTGAAGAATTTTGATTAAAAATTTTGAACATGATTGTTATGTTGTTAAAATGTTAAAAATAATTGTAGAAAATTTTAATGTCATTATTTTTTGTATGTATTTGAATTTTTGGGAATATTGTATTTGAAAATATTGAAAATAATTGAATTTTAAAAAATTAGAATGCAAAAATTCTAAGAATTAATTTTTTCAAAAATATTTTCATCTAATTTTTAGAAGCTAATTTTCATTAATTACCATTTTTAAATTTACACTTGAAGATTTTTCATTAAAATTTTTGAGAAATCAATTATTTACAAAATTTGCAATTAAAATTCTTCAAAAGTTGATTTTAAAAAATTTTTATAAAACACTTTGAAAAAAATCAATTATTATCAATTAAATTTTACAAAATTGCAATTATTAAAACTCTTTTTAATTGTAAATTTTTAAAATTTAATATTAACTCTTTTTAATTGTAAATTTTGAAAATTTAATTAGGAAAATTATTAAAGAATAATTTTTGAAGATTTGTCTATAGTTATTTTTTAGAATTTCCATTTAAAAACCCTTTAATTTAATCAATTCTAATTAATTAGGAATAGAAATTAAATTCAAAATCGAAACTGAATTTAACGAAAAAAGCTTACCCTGAAAAATAAAATTTCCCAAACTGCATCCCGCCTGTAAATAATAAAACTAACAAAAAACAATTTAAATGTTTTTCAGTGAAGCAAAAAATCCAAAGGAAAAAAGGAATCTACCAGAAAAAAATGGGATCGGAACAAAGTGCTCAAGCAACTGGTGCTCAAAGCTCAGAAGGAACAAGAGCGAGAATAGCTCAACTTCGACGGGGAAAAAGTGTCCCAAACAGAGAAACAGTTCCCGACGATACACCACCTCGATGTACAAGTCCCGGTCCTAGTATTTGTTCAGATTCCGATTTGCCTTACATATCCTACACAGTGAACAGACCAATAGGCGATTCACCAAAAATGACCAACAAACAGGCCCAATTAACCCGAGGAAAGAGTGTCGGTCAAGAAGTAACGAGACGAAAATCAAATATACCATCTGGCATTGGACATAAGAAAATGCACAATATTGTCGTGGTGAAACCGGCAATTTCCGATCCAACAGCCGACAAGGATCCCGATTTAAAGAAACTATTGAAAATACCCATGTTTCTACCGATAATGAGGGGAACACTAAATCTACCACCTGGTGTTCGTGATCCAGAAGTATTAGAGAGATTAGATCCAATTGGATTATTTAATTTATGCGCGAGATATCAACATCATTTGAATAATAGTGCTCAATATGTTGCGAGTGAACAACTCGCCTTATGCACAAGTGTTGATGGTGAAGTAACGCGACTACTGGGAATTGCAACCGAGAGACAGAAGAAATTTGCAAAATTCGCTGAGCAATTGGGAAAAATTCATGAGCTCAGCAGACAACTCACAAAGTGCCATATGCAACTTAATCAGACGTTGGAGAGTTTAGAGACGTTGAATAATTTACTACCAATTGAAGAGAGGCTGGAACCTTTCGTCTGGACTACAGGATAAGTTATTTTTTGTGATTTCGTTTCGTTCTAAAAAAAATTGTTTTTAAACATTTACGACAATTAAAAGGTACAACTGAACCTTATATCTTTATTTATAAATTATTCTAAAAATGAAAATAAATCAATATTTGTTTGAAAATATCGGTTTTATTTTACTTAATTAAACTATCTAGTTACCATTACCTAAATTTGTTTCCTTGATTTTAATAATCTGTAAGCTGCGACTGCATCCCTTTGTTGCTTTTCCAATCGGAACCTCTCACCAACAGGCAAATCTTTTCTCTTCCCGGATCTGTTAATATTTTTCTTACCAACTTCCGATTGATTTTTATTTGTATCAAGCATCGAATTTAATAGCAAGTCTTTCTTAACAGGCTGTAAAAAATCAAAATCAAGTAAAACTTAAATCTGATTAATTTCTAATTCTATTCATTTGCTGGCTTCGCACTCGATAATCACTTTTAAAAAAAGTAGCTTTAAGACTGAAAAAAGTAATAAAAAGTAGCTATCGAAAAATTAAATTTTACGATTAAAAAAAAACTAGCTTCAATCGATTCACAAAAATTTGATTCGTTATTTCCCTGACTTTCAGCAAATAATAAATAATTTTTTATGTTAAATATTTAAATATTATTAAAGTTTTACGAAAATCAAAATTTTCAAAGACTTTTTCTTTTTCAAAAATTAAAAAATCTTTTGAATTTTAATTATTTCTAAAAATTCATATTATAACACTTCTAATATTTAATTTTTATTATTTGTGAAAATAAATGAATTTTTGCCAAAAAAAAGTTCTTAAAATTTTGGAAAATAATTGAATCTTTTCAAAGAATTTTATTAAAATTGTCGAGAATAATTTATTTATTTCAATTATTAATGGACTTCAAATAGTATAAATTCTAAAATTTTAACTGAAATTCATTTTTAAATAAATTTTTGTAGAAAGTTCTGAAAAAATTCAATTATTTAAATACAAGAATAAATAATGGATTGAATAATTGATTATTTCTTAAAATTGAATTTCTATTTAGTATTTTATCAAAATTTTAAAAAATAATTAATTTTAAAAAAATTTAACAAAAATTGCATTTTTTAAGTAAATTTATTTTATATTTTCAAAAAATTAAATGAAAATTGTATTCTAAATAATTGGAAATCTTTGAAAATTTTATTATTTATGAAAATAATTGAAGTTTTCATAAAGAATTTTATTAAAATTTTTTAAAAATAATAGAATTCTTTTGTTAAATTTTTGTTAAATAGTTGATAATGAAAATAATTCAATTTTAGCAAAGAAGTTCTTTTTTTGGAAAAATAAGTGAATTCTTGCCAAAAAAAGTTCTTAAAATTTTTTTAAAAATAATCGATTTGTTAATTTTATTAAAATTGTTTCTAAAAATTATATTAAAATTTTTGAGTATAATTTCTATTTTTTAATTATTAGCGGATTTAAACTAATTTGTGACAAAAAAAGAAAAGTAACTTTTAGTGTCAGAAATCTGAAAAAAGTATCAAAATAGTATCAAATTGTAAAAAAGTAGTAAATAGTACGTTTTTAGTAGATGAGTGCGAAGCCTGGATTTAGAAAAAAATTTCTTACCCTGACACTGTCAATTTTATCAGCATTCCTAGGACGAATTTTCAAGTCCGGCGGCGCGTGTGCAACTTCGCCGAAGGCAACATTATCTTTAAATGTTTTAAATTCGTCTATCTGATCCTGCAACTTTTTACTTTTCCTCATTTCCAATTTATTCTTTCTCTTCTGACTTTTCGTCAATCTAACCTCATCTTCAGATTTCTTCACCTTCTTCTTCTTCTTTATATTCTTATGCTTCGATTTAAGTTTCAATAATTCTTCAATTTCATCCTTTGGCCGTTTCTCAATACCCTCAATTACTCCCGTTTCCATGTTTCTCTTAACCTGAACATTATATTTATTCTCAAATTGAGTCTCATGTAGAAAATTCTCCGTTTCCCGATTAACTCTCCTCAGAAATGTATCATCAGTTTCACCAACTCTTTGATTAAACAAAGGAACTGCTTTCTCGGGTTTCGCTTTTGGATGTGGTAATTTATTATTTTGTGGACCAAGAATAATTAAACCACGATTCGATCTCTTTCTTTTCTTTTTCACTATTTTGCCACTCTTTACTTTATTCTTTAAATCGATGACACGTTGAAGACTTTTTGGTACTCCTTGTTCATCTTCATTCTTCGGTGGTGCATTTATTTTCGTCTTCAATCTAGAAGAGGGAAAGAAAATGTTTTTTGTTATTGAAAAATTCAAAAGAGCACCTGCATGAGCACAAAGCACGTGAAACATAACCTATAAAAGTTTAGAAAGTGTACTTACTCTTCTAAACGTTTTGCCTGCTGCTTCAGTGGATCTTTAACTCCATGATGTTTCTTGCCGGGTATTTTGCGTCCCATATTTTATTGTTAATCACTAATACTTTATGGATTTCAAGAAATATTTCTTGATAAACACATGCTTTTCACTTGAGATCAAAATAAAAACTGGGGGAAGGGTGTTGCGCGCGCGACCGGCGCGACTAGTTACGCTCTGAAGTTGGCGCTTGGCGGCGTACGATAATCGATATTTCGATTCGAGCCCGCGGTTAATTAAACTTAATTATTATTTATTTATTATTAGTTTAAAAACAGTTAAAAATAATTACTTAATATTCATTATTTCGATATAAATATTATGTACATATTAATATTAATGTACATATTAATAAATTAAAATTTTTAAATACCATTTCTTTTAAATTGCATAAATATAAATATGGAAAACAGTGGAAATAGAAAAATCCATAGAAATCAATAGAAAGATGCAAAAGTTCCTAATATGTAGTTTGACAGTTAGCTTTTTAATTACTATACAGAAATAATGATACTAAGAAATAAAATAATAATGGTTAATAATAATAATTGATAATAATGAAATAGGTATGAATAATTCTAATTCTAATAATAAAGTAATAAATGATATTACTAATAATAAAATGACAATTATAAATAAGTATACCAATCTGTGAATGAAATAATTTGAGTATTTAACAAGAAGCCTTTCAATAGTGTCATAGCAACGAGACATTCACCCCTTATATTTATGGCTTAATTGTTTCGATCCTGGAACATTCTCTCTTTTCTTTGGCAAGGGGTTTGCTTACTAAAAGATCATAAACTTCATTTTTTTTTCTCTCGAATATTAATACCTGTCAAAAGATTATTTTTTTTTTAACCTAGGAAAGAAAAATGCTCAAGTTCCAATTCGCTACAGCAGACGATCTGAAAAATGCAGCTGCAATCGAGAGAAGAAGACAAATTGAAGAAACAAGAAAATCTCGAATCTTCAATCCTCGGATACGTAAAATTGGGGTAAAATCACGACTGTCTCATTGCTTAGGTTTTTTTATGTAAATTTAAATATTTAAATTTTACCATTGTTGTTAATAAATCTAAGAAAGTAAATTTTGTTCTTTTTTTCAAAAATATTTTAATATCATTTTTAGAAGCTAATTATCATTAATTACCATTTTTAAACTTACACTTGAAGACTTTTCATTAGAATTTTTGAGAAATCAATTATTTTCAAAATTTGCAATTAAAATTCTTCAAAAGTTGATTTTAAAACATTTTTATAAAACAGTTTGAAAAAAATCAATTATTATCAATTAAATTTTACAAAATTTCAATTATTGAAACTCTTTTTATGTAATTGTAAATTTTTAAAAATTAAATTTAGAAAAATTATTAAAGAATAATTTTTGAAGATTTGTTTATATATAGTTATACTTTTCACACTATAAAAATAGAAATAAGTTGCATTTTATACTAAAATGTAGTATTTTGTGGCAAAATTTAGAAGAAAAGTTGAAAAAGTAATTTTGCATTCCGTTTTTTTATTTTCAATATAAAGGAAAATAATGTTAATAATAAATTTTTAAAGGTGGACAAAGAATTCTTGGAGAAGCAAATAGAGGAAAAAAAATATCAACGAGATGCCGAAAAAGCGAAAGAGGAGCGTATGGACGATGCACTTATTCGCAGTAGTAAAATTGCAATTATGCTGGAAAAGAAAGAAGAGGAGGTAAACAAAACTATTTTCCCACGATTTTTAATTCTATGGATAATAATTATTATCATCATTCTCATTCGCATCTTATTTTTTCTTCACGAAGGTATTAATTAAACTTGCGATTATAATCAACACAAAATCCAAATTTTCACTATAATAATCATTTGATCATTTGAAATAATAATTGAAATTTCATATAGGAAAGAAGGAAATTTCTACAGGAAATCAACAACTATCGACAAGTTTGTCAACGACCAGAAGACAGGCGTGACTTTGATCTTTACGATCCTGATGGATTGAAAAAAATCCAACCGGAAAATATTGAGTGCGGTGATGCACAATATGGTTTAGCTTCTGCACAAGTGTGAGCGAAAAATTATTTAATTATTTAAAAATTTATTAAGTTTTTTTCTTTTGTTTTTCTATTTTAAAATGTGTTTTCTTCTGGATATTTTTCTCTTTTTCTAGATTCGAAGGAGAAGACTGCAACAGGCAGCGAAGATTAAAAGAACAAAAAGAGCAAATGCAATCTTGGGTAATGCAACAAATGAACGAACGTCGAGCTGCTGAAAAGGAGCGTCGCGACGCTGAGAAAGCCTATCAGGATGCAGTAATCGCCCGAGATAAACGTGCAATTACTCTTGAACTTATGGAAGAAGACTGTCGTCGTAAACTGAGGGAAACTGCGGCAAAGTTTAATAAAACACTAGTGAGTCAAAACTTTCCTCCCCCGAAATTTACTATCTCAAATTAAAAAACCTTTTTTCTAAATTCTCTCAATTTAAAACAATTTTTCTCTTGCCATTGTTATTAAGAATACGAAACGTATTAAAGAATTCGAAACAAAAAATTATCGACTCACCTGTTTATCGCTGATTTTTCTCCTTTAAATTTTTCCACTAAATCCAGGTGTTTAAATTGTTTCCATTAAATTGTTCTTCAGTTATTTTTCTCCATTAAATTTTTCCACTAAATCCAGGTGATTAAATTGTTTCCATTAAATTTTTCTTCAGTATAATTGTGGTAATTGTTTTCTTGTTTTCTTCCTTCGAATTATGCCTTTCTCTACTATGAATTATTTAGATGATAATTTCCAGCCTCTTCTCCATAAATTATTTCTTGACTTCTTTTCTAATTTTTCGTCCTTGTGTGTAGGCGGAGGAACAAGAATACCGAAGACGTTGCGATGAAATCCAGGACGAAGAAGATAAGCGCGCTGAAATTTATAATCATGTTACTGGCGATTTTCTCACTGAGGCTAAGGAACAGGCTGAAAGTAATCGTGGACCGAACAAACCTTTGGCCACTAGATACAAGGGTATGACCACCGAGGAATTAAAGGCTTATCGCGACGAGCAATTGCGACAAATCGAAGAAATTCAGGTAATAATTCCAAAAGAATCCGGGAGTTTGAAAAAAAAACCACGGAAAAAAAATTGTTTCTAAATTGCAACTTCTCATTGCAAGAATGGTAACAACATATTTTAATCTCATGGTAGAAATGGTAGCTTTTCCAAATTTTGCAAAATTCGTTTCAAAATCATCATCTTGAAGTTTTGTACCTTAATTTTGACAATTGCCTCTTGAACCTAGAACAAAATCAAAATAAATTAGAAATATGATAAATATGCGTTTAGTAAAACAAAAATGTATTTATCTATTTTTTAGGTATTTAATACAAATAATATTATTTGTTTTTTTTTCAAAACCGTTAAAATCAAATAATATTGTATACTGTTTGTTTTGTTTTTCTAATAGAAAATACGATAAAAAATGTACCAGGGTTGCTACAAAAAATTAATTTTATTTTTCGCTGATTTCCAAACGAAATTTTGACTCAAAAAAATTTTCTATAACTTAAATTTCCATAGAATATTATCATAAATTTTTCGTAGGATTTAAATTATTTTTTATATTTGCAGAAAATAAAATTGTCCGAAAAACAAGAGAACGAAGATTGGAATCGGCAAATGTTGGGAAATGCTCGATCAGCAGAATTACATTACCGTGAATTAGAGCGAAAAAAAGCGTAAGATATTAATTTTAATATTTATTATAATAGGTACTACAATTATAATAATTAATATTAGAAAATTTTCCTGTTTTTAAATTTTAGAGAGCTGAATAAGCAAATTGCTGAAGAAAATCTTCAACTCGCCGAACAACAAAAATCGCAACAGGAATATTTCAATCGTGTCATGTTTAAAAATAAATCAAGTCCCGAATTCTTCTCTCAATTCAACAAAAGTACACGTTAAAATCGAAATTTTTACCTTCGGAAACAATAATTCTATTTTACGCAAACAATCTTGTTCAATATTTCTTTTCTGAAGAAAAATTAAATTTCACCTTCGAAAAGGATTAATTCTTTCAAAAAAATTCTTTTAAAGAATTCTTGTAAAGAAATCTTTTAAAGAATTCATCTAAAGAATTCTTTTAAAGAATTAATCTAAAGAAATCTTTTAAAGAATTAATCTAAAGAATTCTTTTAAACAATTCATCTAAAGAAATCTTTTAAAAAATTAACAACTGTTAAAAAAATCAAAAAGGACGTTTGAGAAATAAAAAGATGAATCTATGTACAGAAATGTTTTATTCTTAAATTATGCACAAATTGCAATCAATACAAATGTATCTGAAACAAGCAAGTTGGGGGATATCTCAGTTTTTTTTTTTGGCTGTCACAATTTTTTTTTACCATTGATGTTACGACAGCAATTGGTATGTGTCATTAAGTTTTACATTGAATCATTTTCTGCTTTTCTTTTTCCTTTTTTTTAAAAAAAAAAAAAACTTTGCACTTTGATTCACAAAAGACACGTCAATTAAGTTGTTGTCATATCCGGAAGAAAAGACTCGTCAGTTTTAAATCGATCAAATCAATTTAAAACCGCTTATCGTATCTATTTAATAGCTTAGTATAGTAAAGCTAGTTTATTTGTTCAGACATCCACATTTTTTTTTTTTTTTTTTGACTAAGTAGTATTATAGTAATAAAGGTATGAGCTAAGTTCTGCACTTCAGCTAGATATCATAAAACATGTATCATTCCTTCTCTCTGGCACATCATACATTGGTATTACTAAGTATACGTTTACCGTTTTTTTTCATATATAAATCATTGTGAAACAATGCAAAAACGAATTGTATATTAAAAAAGAAATCTATTATTCGTTATAATTGGATTATATCATAGTTACAGAAAAAATGCAACTAAATTAGTGAAAAAGTGTAATAATTGGGAATAATAAAAAAAAGAAACGATCATATTACGAGTGCACACTTAAGTGTGTGTAATGTGAATAAAAAATTTTTTTTCAAGAAAGAAAATAAAATAAGCCAGTTTTAGCGCTCTTCATGGTAGTACAATTATTAATTAGCACTCAATTATTGAAACATAAAAATCTAGACTTGTTAAGTAACTCTAAGAGTAGTAAATCAAAGAAAAAAAAGAAACTCAAAAAATTGTGAAGTAAATAAAAAAAGGAACATCATTGGGAATATTTTAAATCTGGGAAATTGTCACAGCTGCCGTTTTAACGTTTAATTAAATCCACTCAGTTTCACCATTCTTCTTCTTCTTCTTCTTTTTTTCGTCAATTGCATTAAACGAATACGTAGTTATTTTTCCCCAAAAAGAATAAAAACAAAATAAAAACCAAAGGGATAACAAACAAATTAGGCATCACCTTTGAGAGTCTTTGACAACCTCTTAAGTTTGCTGCTTGTTCGAAAAATCAAATTTGAACGGTAAGTTTTCTAAGTACCAATATATTAATCAGTCTAGAGTACTTTTTTCTCTGGAGTCAAGTTTCATAGAGAATAATTAGCAAAATAAAACAAAAGATCGTTCAAATTTAGCGTTTACAAGCAGCCAACGTTTAAGAGCTTTTTTTTCTTTTTTTTTTCTTATTATTATTGGATCGTTGAAAGTGAACAAACGATTTGGCGTTGGTACGTGTTTTTTTTTAAATGGTACACATCCAAAGCGCTGTCGGATAAGTTTAGGAGCTCGGTATAAAAATGAGGCACAGTTTCACAATCAGGGGGACCGGGGAAGGGAGGGGGAATTATTCTCATTATCAAATTGTGCTGTTAACTACCTCCCAATGAATGTGTCCATATATCAAATTAATGATAGTGTAATGACTATCATTTTTTTTTAAACTAAACCATGCATGGATATTTATACGTGTCCTTAAATGATTTTTTTTTCATTTTTTTTTTTAGTTTTTCATTTTTTAAGGAGAATGACGATTTTTTTTTTCTTAAACAAGTGTCATAATTCTTATCGGTAGCAAACAGTCTTAACAACGAGCATAGACTAAAAATCATGTCGCGTTCCATAATCGTGAAGTCCTTTATGAGGGGGTTTTAAGGGGATTTAGCGTCATGTTGCGTACATTTAAGATGTTGATTGTACGAAAAAATTCTTCGGGTTATTTTTTCTTTTTTTTTGTATAGTCTTACGTTCGTGGAAAATTCGTAATCTGCGATTTTGTTATTTTTGTAAATTTTTTTCTTCTTTTTTGTTTTAGCCACTGGTGCCATTAACCAGAGTCTCTTTTGGCTTGTTGCCTGACTGGATGCGAGGATTACGAGTGCGTTGCTCACGTTGTCCCTTGGGACCGCCCTGAGAACTGTTGTTTGATGTCGTTATGTCATTTGAGGGTGTTCCCTCCTTACTGGTTATATTCCCCTGGCCGTGTTCACCTGGACCCGCATTACCACCTAAAATAAATTATTGATTTGTCAAAAAATATTTCTTTGTGGATTATAAATTCTTCTCCATAGTTTCCTGATAATTTGTTTTTTAATCTGTTAATAAAAGACGCACGGAGGAATTTGAAAATAGTAAAAATAAATTTAAAGAATGGTTCATTCTTCAGGGTTGCCACAAAAATTTAATTTTGTTTTTCCCTGACTTTTCTACCTGATTTCCAGACTTTTTCCCTAACCCTAAAGAAAATTCTGATTCACTCTAAAAATTATTAAATACTCAAAAAAAAATGTTCTATTACATTTATTTACGAATTTCCTTTATTGTAAAATTATTCGAAAACATCAATAACTTCATTTTCAAATACATAAATATTTAATCGTTATTATTTTTCCATAAGAATTAAAATTTTTCAGAAGATTAAAATTCAATAACTGATGAAAATATTAATGCAAAACATGAAGAAATTGAGCAGTCCGAGTCGAAGACTCGGAGTGATCCATGTTTTATAATAATTAAAGATAACCGAGTGATATATTATAAGAATATTATTAATTATTTATTTATTAAGAATGTTCCTAGAACTGAAGAGCGCTAGAATTATTACTGTAACTCCTTCAAAATTATTTTCATAATTTCAATTCAATTATTATTTTCTACAACTTTTAAATAAAATTCTTCATTATTAATTATTTTTAACAATTTTTGAAAAAATTCTTCATGATAATTTTCAAATCCATTTGTTTACAATTCAATTTACTTGAAATAATTTTCAAAAATTTCGATTAACCATTTTGAAGAAAATTAGTTCCAAAAAATTTTTAATTAAAAGTGTAAAAAATTCAAATATTCAAAGATTTTAAATTAAAACCTTTACAAAATTCAATTATTTCTAAAAATTGCAATTATTAGTAAATTCAGTAAAATTCAATTCTTATCTAAAACTTTATCTGAAATTAATTTTTAAATCAATTTTTATTAGAAAATACTACGAGAATTTTCAATTATTTAAATACAAACATAGATAATTTATTGAATAATTGAATGTTTCTTAAAATTGAATTTTCATAAAGAATTTAATCAATAAATTCTTAAATTATTGAATACTTTTGACGAATTTTAATAAAATTTTTAAGAATAATTACATTTTCCAAGGAATTTGATTTAAATTGTATTGAAAATAATTGAATTCGCCTGGAATTTTTATTATTTATGAAAATAATTAAATGTTAGCGTAAAATTTTATTAAATAATTGAATTCTTTGGGAAACTTTATTAAAACAGTAGATGTTAAAAATCATTGATTTAATTCAGAAAAATTTTTGAAAATAATTGAAATTTTGTCAAGAATTTTATTACAATTTTTTAAAAGAATTGAAATTTTGACAAGAATTTTATTACAATTTTTGAAAATAATTGAAATTTTGCCAAGGAATTTTTAAAAATTTTTTTAAATAATTGATTTTCTGAGAAGAGTTTTTTTGTTTATTAAAATAATTGAATTCTTGAGATGAATCTTATAAAAATCTTTTTAAATAAATGAATTATTTTGAGAATTTTTATTAAAATACTAAACTTTGAAAATATTTGAATTTCAGCGAAGAATTTCATTATTTGTGAAATCAGGGTTGCTACAGAAGTCTGTTTTTATTTTTAAATTTCCATGACTTTTCCAGGTTTTCCAGTAACAAATCTGATAAATTTTCAGGTCACCTTTTGAACATTATAAATTAGAGCAATTTTTGAAGAAAAATTGGCCTAATAATAATAAATTAGAATTTTTCTGTATTATAAAAATATTCACGTTAGATTATCTCTATTTGATTATTAAAGCACAGACAGGGTGTTTTAAATTATTGAATATTTAAAAGCAAAATATGGAAAATTCAAGGATATTTCAGGATATTTCCAGGAATTCCAGGACATCATTTTTTAAAAGAAAAAATGTAGTAAAAAATATTAAGTGGAATAAAATTCCAGGCATTTCAAATTTCCATGACATTTCCAGGTATTCCAGACCTTTTTTTAAAAAATCCCTAACTTTTCCAGGTATTCCAGACATTTTTTTAAAAATTCCTGGCTTTTCCAGGTTTTCCAGGTTCTGTAGCAACCCTGGAAATATAATTGAATTCTTGCAAAAATTGTTTGAAAATAATTACATTTTTCGAGGAATTCATTTTAAATTGTATTATGTAAAAATAATTGAATTATTGCGAAGAATTTAAAAAAAAAGTTTCAAACAATTGATTTTTTTCGAAAAAATTTAAGCATAGGTATTCAAGTTTAAATAATAAATTCCAGTATAATTTTTATTTTTTTGGAAAATAATTGAATATTTGTGTAGAATATTATCAAAATTTTTGTTTAATAATGAAATTCTTTCGAGAAATTTTATTAAAATCGTAGAATATTGAAAATCATTAAATAAGAAAAAATTTGTGAAAATAATTGAAATTTTTCCATGAATTTTATTAAAATTTTAAAAATAATTGAATTTTATTATTTTATTTTTCAACTATTTTTTTTCTTGTGAATTCTTGTGATTATTTATGAAAATAATTGAATTTTGCATTGAATTTTATTAAAATTCCTAAAAATAATTGAATTTTGCTATTCATTTATAAAGATAATTGAAATGTTGACAATTTTGTTTTAGATTTTTTGAAAATAATTGAATTCTTGTGATGAAAATTATTATTTATGAAAATAATTGAATTTTGCCAAGAGTTTTATAAAAATGTTCTTAATATAATTGAATTTCGGCTAAGAATGTTGCTATTTATAAAGATAATTGAAATATTAACCAGGATTTTTTTAAAAATAATTGAATTTTTGAAAATAATTTTGATATTTATTAAGATTTAGTTGAATACTTTCAAAGAATTGCGTTAAAATTTTTAAAATTGGAACTAAATTTAACAGAATTGAAATTAAAATATTTTAAAAAAAAATACTTCATTAAATGATTTATAAGTAATAGCTTTATAACAGTTCTTCAATATAATTAAGTTATTGTCAGAAATAGAAAAAATTGAAGGTTTTTGTTAAAATTCGTGATAATTTCATACTTTATGAGGCAAACAAAAAGACACAAAAATTCATAATTTTCTTATAAATTCTAAACATTTAATTTTTTCCAGTACTTTTAAAAAAAATCCCTGACTTTTCCCTGATTCCCCTGACTTGTCCCCGAATTCCCTGATTTCTCTAACCTGTGGCAACCCTGTTCTTGGTTATTTCTGCTTGAAAATATTACCTTTCGAAACAGACGTAGGAGTGGAACTGCGATGTCTAAATCGGCGCGGTCGTCTTCGGTTTGTGCTCTTAGGTCCGCCTTCCACACTTGATACTGATTCTACGCACACACAAACCATTGTGACCATCCGTTCAACATATCGCAATTGTTTGTCAATGTCGAATTCAGTTTTAAGTGTTCTTAGCAGTAGATTATATTATTATGATATCGGAGTTAGTAGCGTGCATTGAGTTATTCAATGAGACGATTAAACAGTATGTTAGATGGTCACAAGTGTTTGCTTTGCTTTCCCAAAATACCATTCGCAAAGCGTCCCAATGAGCCACTTTCTCTCTCATTCTTCCTTTCTTCTTTCTTTCTTTCCTTCTTTCTTTTTCACTCTCTTCACTGCAATCTTCATTTACTCTCATTATACTCACATTTTACGATTGAAAAACAAATGAATAACAAAAAAGGTTGCCTTTCATTACCAATCGCACTTCATTTTCTGAGCAATTTCAAAAACACGGACAGACAGAAAATTCATTCTCAATCGCACTTCATTTTTCGTCTGATTTAAAGTACGGACAATCGGAAAAACGTGAGTTATTCAGGATTTCGTGAAATATGTATATATGTAAATTGTATTTACCTCTATCGATAATCGCGACATCTTGACTGTCAAGAACTGTATCCTGGTCGTCTGTCGTTCGTCGACGATCGTCCCTGCGATCTCTGCGTTGATTTGAAGGTCTACCCTGTCGTCCACCGTAGCTTGAGTTTCCTAAACCTCCTTGGTGTCCCCCTCGTGGTGGGAGATCCCGAATACGATCATCATTTCCATCCATATTATCCCGACGCATACCTGAAATAATATTAAATTGTTAATTATTGCCATTTCAAAATGATTATCTTCCTTATTAATATAGATTCGATTTTTGATTCATTTATAAGAACAGGGTTGCCACAAAAATTTAGTTTTGTTTTTCCCTGATTTCCAGACTAAATTTTGACTTTTTCCCTGACCCTGAAAATTTTGAATTTGAAACCTAGTAGCTTCTACTTGACTAAAATATTGTTTTTTCTAATTACCAGTATTGTGTCTCGGAGGAGCTCTTCCTCGACCGCGACCCCTGCCTCCCTGACCACCTCGGCCTCCACGACCTCCGCCGCCTTCTTCAGGCCCCGCTGACATTCCTCGCCTCACGGGAGGGAAATTGGGCATTGGACCAGTTGTGGCTCCATGCATATTTCTCAATTGTTGGTCAATTTCAAGTTTCTCTTGCCGAAGTTGTTCTACTTCCTGCAAAAAAAAAATAATTATGTTTAAACTGACTAATTAAATCGAGTTTTTAGATAGATTCTTTAAATAATTAATAAAATCGTGAATAAATTCATGAAATAAAATAATTTGAATTACAATCAAAATATTAATATTTGCGACATAAATAATTAACTTTACCTTTAAATGAGCTAAATGGTACTCCAATAAAACCTTAGCATTTGCAATGCTTTCAACTGTACCAACAAAAACGAAGGGCACTTGACCCTCTTCCCTCGGAATAGTCGGTTGAGGTTCATTGTCTCCTTCAATTTTAACTCGTACCTTAAACACATAAACAATCCAAACTGTTACTAAACAATTCATTAAAATTCATTCTCATCAAAAATGTCGATGATCTCTCGTTTTCTAGAGAAAATAATGTTAAATATTAAAATTTTAATTTAAAATTTATTCTTTTTTTTAATTTAATAATTCTTTAAATGTTAAATTTAAATTTTTTTCCATTTCCCGTTTTTTTTTTCTCTAAATGAAAAAACATTCATTATTGCTGAAAAGAAGTATCAAAAATATAATTCGATATTTTTAACCAAGAATTTTCATGCAATGATCACACAATTTTTCAAACTGTTTTAAAAATTTACATTTAAATCGAAACTATCACATTTTCAATTTAAACATGTATTTTAAAAACTATAAATTCTTCTTAATTTTACAAGATCCAGTAAACTGGGTTCAATAAAAATCCTTAAACCAAAAATGAATTTACTTAAAAATTAGAAATGGTTAAAAAATATTCAAAGTTAAAATATTCAATTAAAAAAATATTTATCCAATAAAAACTTATAAATAATCTAGGTGTATTATATAAACAGTAAAAAAAAATTACTTCTATATGCTAAATTATAATTTATAGAAAGAAAAACGCAAGAATTGATATAATTTTAACTTTTAAAAAGAAAATCGAATCAATTCTTACTTAAACCAAACTCAATAATTTTTTTAAGATGAAAATATGAAAAGAACCACGGGACCTTTTTAAAAAATAAAAAATAGTTTTATTAAGAAACAATGCAAGTGAAGCAAGCACTGTGACATGTTTACTCCATACAAAAAAAATTTAGAATTCGAATGAAAGTTATCATGTAAAATAAATAATTGTCAATTATCCCTAAAAATAAATAATTCGATTAAATTCAAATGCTAATGAGATTTTTTTTCTTTTAATATATATATATAAAGCTGGCCCGAGTGGTTATGTGATATTTACCATCAAGCTTGACTTAAGTTTTTCAAGTGTATACTAAAAACGGATGATGAGACTAAAGCAAAAAAAATAAACGTAAGATTGAAAAAAGATAATTTTTAAATAACTTTTTCAAAAAATTTAATAAAGCTTTAGGTACAAATTTTCTTTGAATAAACAAGATTTGGAAATTTTTTCTCAAAATACAAAATATACATCTTGACGTTAATAATTATTTTTTAATTTTTAGTCTTAAGTTTTCATTCTGTGCTTTAGTCAATGCTCATGAAATTATGGCACATAGAGTATTTAGGTAACATACTTACTCTATCAGTATGTACATTCCCACTCGAGCCAGATGTTATCTACCGAGAACAAAGAATGAAGTATATCACACACAAAATAACCCCCTAAAAATTTTAACTTTCACTCGAACAATCAATCTCTTTAACATAAGAAATTATAATAAAATAAAAGGGTTATTCTCAATTTTGTTTTCTTTCATTTTTCATTTTGTTTTCTTTTTCAAAACCCTATACTTTTTAAACTACCCTCAAAAGATCCTTTACAGAAATTTTTGCGAAATCTTTTTTTTTTGTCTTTAATAAAGCAGCTTGTTTCAGCATTATTCACAAGTTAATTAATAAATAAATGATTTGATATAAAAGCATGAAATTTTAGAAAGTTCAAACAAAATGTTTTAATAACGAAAGAAAGATTAAAAAATTTTAATTTTGTTAGTTCACCAAAAAAATTCTTTTAATAACATGGTTTCGATTAATAATTAACCCTACATCAATAATATTCAAACATATAATAATAATAATAATTAATTACTTATTATTATAATTATAATTATTAATTCCGAATTATTTTTTTTTATTTACATAGTTAAAAAAACAAATTTCAAATAATTTTGTTTGGAAAAAAAATAAAAAACTGAGAATACTGCAAATAAAACTAACAAAACTTTGTACTTACTACGCCACTTTTATCGACAATTTCTTGAATGATACGACCATTCTTTCCAATCACCTTCCCAACAAGAACCCTTGGTACCTGAATCGATTCTTCGCTATATTCTAACATAGAACGTGCCTTTTTTACAGCTTCGTGCGTCTGTAAGGTAATTAAAAATATCTTATTACTCTCTTCTCTTAAAAATTTCGTTTATAATAAAATCAAATTAGTTTTTCTCTTTGCAAAAACTGCGAACAAAAATAATAATAAATTTCGACAAATAAACTACTAAAAAGAAAAAAGAAATTGTAAGTGATTTAAATTGGATTTTTCTCACCTCTCCGTAAATTTTAAATGTGCATGAATTTTCCTCTAATTCTATGTTTGTAATTCCATCAACTTTTCTGGCTTGCTGAATATTTGCTCCGTGAGCTCCAATAGCTAGGCCCATTAAGTCTTCTCGAACGTTGAACTCATCAGTGTACCTAAACATAAAAATAATGGGAAATTAAAATCAAATTCAGAGAATATCCGAACAGAAAACGAAAAAAGTATTTTCAACAATAATTTTGAATATTGCATTTACTGAATATAATAAATTATTTGATAAATAAAGAATGGAATGAAATATTGAACAAGTGAATTAAGACATTAAGCGAATGAATTAAGAAATTAATCAAGCAATTTTGCTGAAATAAATCCAAATGCTCATGCAAATAATATACTAATAAGTTTACTTTTTAATAAAAGAAAATTTCTCCCATTCTCTTGTAAATAAAAAAATACAGAAAATTCCATAAAATACAGAAAATACAAAAAAATACAGAAAATACGAAAAAATACAGAAAATATAAAAAAATACAGAAATTACAAAAAAATACAGAAAAATGCAAAAACACTAACAATTTTACAATATTTCAACAAATATTTCCAACATATCAATTTAATAACCAATTTCACGAATTTACTAGTTTACTAATTTAATACTAAATAAATAATTAGAAACTGAATAATCGATCAAAACCAGAATAATTCTCAAAAAAATAAACAAACCTAAATTGAAAGGGAAAATGTATTATTAACTCTAAAAATAATAAAAATAGTTTTCTAAATTTTCCGAAAGGACAAAAAAGCCGAACACGCGTGATCGATAAATTATTTCAACACATGTATCTACTTCTATTCGTCAACTGGGATACATTCTGCAACATATTGTCACACAATCGACAACAATTGAGCAAAAATCTGTCCCCATTAATGTGTAAATCAATAATAACCTAGACTAAAAACTTACTTGAGGAATAATTTCAGGCCAGGAAAATCGACAACAAAAAGAGAATTCAAAAATTTTTTTCCCCCAAAAGACATAAAGAATAGAGCCACCGTTTTTTTCTTTCTTTTCATAAATTTGCATATATACAAAAGACGAAAAAGGACGAAAAATATATCAGTGTTTCTCAAACATTGGCAGGCTAATTTTTATGTAACTGTTCAAATGAAAAAAAAAACAAATAAATTTCTCAAGTGATGAGAAAAAATAAATTTTTTATTCTACGTAACAATGCAAAAAAAAAGTTTTTATGTAAATAAAAATAATTAAAAATAATGAATAAAAATAATAAATAAAAATACACAAATATTAAAAAAAAATGTGCTATTGATCTAGTACTAAATTGCACCAGCCACTATTTCGTTCAAATACATTATACTACAGAGCAAGTAATTAAAATATTATAAAAAAAAAAAAACAGAATCAACATACTTTTGTGTATACGAATGTGTCTTGAAGCATGTATATTTATAACTGTACTACACAGCATTAACATGCAATTATTTAAAAAGTGTATTTTATTAATTTATTTAAAAAGTGTAAATTTCCTTTTTTTAAAAAAAATGTTCCTTTTTGTGTTTTTCTTTTTCTTTTCAAAATGAAAATGCAGCCGTGTGGATTGTATATAACAATAAGCTAAACTTAAATCTAAACCACGCTGCTTTTTTTATTTTCTCACCTTGAATATGTTCTCACTCCTGCCTCATAGTCTGAGACACGCTGATATATAAAGTTTGATGATCTAAATTTGCTGAAATAAAAAACAAATCCCGATGTAACTTTGATGGGGAAACTCAATTTAAATGATGGCCCTATCCTACGCCCTAGCCATTCTGTCTGTTTGCTCAATTGTCTCTTTCAGTTGGAAAAACAAAATGAAGAAGTAAAAAAACTGCTTCCATTATTTCCCAGAGCGTTGGTTTTTATTGTAATTAATTACAATAGTAATAAATTAATAGAAGAGGACAAAATTCTGCAAATAAGTTTCACGAAGAGTAAGTAAACGAAATTAAACGAAACTATAGAAATTTAACGAAAGTAAATGAAACTAAACGAAACTAAACGAAACTAAACGAAAGTAAACAAAAGTAACCACAGAAAAAAAGGAACTGGAAAAATAAGTAAAAGTAGTCAAAAATAAGAAAAAAATAAGTAAAGCGAAAGCACTTTATTTATTTATATTTAAAAAGGTTTTTCTCATCCATTGAAATTAGTGGAATTAATAGAATTTGCACTTGAAATTATTATCTAATTTGAATTTAACAGAATTATAAATTAGTGATCTAAATATTTATATATTCTCCCAAGAGAGAAATATCCTGATTTTTGTCGTCACAATCACAAAAAAAATACTATTTTTCCAGAAATCTTGAAAAAATTGAATTAAATTAAAATTCCAGACGAGAAACTTACAGTAAACATGCCAATTATTAGAATAATACGAAAAGAAAATGTCTCCGAAAGCTTTCAACAAAATTTTTCTTCTGCGCAGCTGGTGCATTACTATATTAAAGATTTGAACATACGACACGTGTGAATAATGAATGCAAACAAAATTATGTCAGCATTTCATTATGAAGAGGAAATATTGAGTAATATCTGCACAAAGCTACAAAGCGAAAAAAAATAGAGAGCGAGAGAGAGAGAAAAATAAAATTATGTACAATTTATTCCTGAAAAATTTTTTTCTATTTCTATTTTTTTAATTTTCTCCTAAAAATTTCAAAACTAAATACTCACATAGTCGAATAAATTAACAAAAATTAACTCAGTTAATTTTATCCCACACTGTTTTTAATTCCTTTGGAAAAATTAATCTCTTTTGCTTCCTCATAGAGAAAGGATTGTATTTATAAATTATTCTCGAAAGAAACCATAACAAATCGATTAGGAATTCTGAATTAATAAAAATTATTTATACAAAAGCAACAATATTTAGTTCACAATTTTTTTTTTGTCGGATACCTTTCACCTCTGCCAGTAAATGCAAACCACAGACAGGATGGTTTTCAGGACAGTGTATGGATAAGGTGATGATTAAAAAGAAAACCACGAAATTTTAGTCGAAAAAAGGTTCTAGCATACTTTGGTTTTAAATCATTTTTTTTTTTTTTTTTTGTTAATAAGGAAAGAAACAAACTGTTAAAAATTATTTAACGAAATTTTCAAGTTAGTATACACGTGTTATTTTTTTTTTTAATTTTGCATGCATGGAGAGATTAATAATTTATCATGCGCTTTTGAAAAGAAAAGAGAGAAATAAGATGAAAGAAGTTACTTACTTACAAAAGTTGAAATGAGAAATGGAAGTTTTTAATTTTCTACTAAAAAACGAATAAAAAAAAGAACAGTACGCTAGAACCTTGAGAAAATGAATATCTTTGTAATTTACTTACCCTCCACTCGTTTGCAGCTTTGTTGATTCAAGTTGTCGTGCTGCTTCTTCTGTTCTTTTTAAAAGAAGTACCTGCAACAAATCAAAGTCAATTAAATGTAGACAAAGTTTTCGATTAAATGTCTAAAAAATAATCGGCAAAGGAAAAAAATTCCTAGGAACTATTTTTCTTAAATAAATAAATGTATTTTTTTTTGTGTATAATGAACTTGTAAAAAAATTAAAATTTACGAAACAAAATTTACGAGTTTTTCAAATTTTTAATAAAAGAAGGAATAAATAAAGAAAAGTCTACAATTAAATATAAATTTCCCACAAACTGTTTAATTAAGAAAGTTTCTGACAAAGAATAGTAACAAAAGTTCATAATTTCGTATTTTATATGAAAAAGTTAAATTAAATTTACGCTTTCGGTAACATAACCTAAAATTAAAAAATATTTCTTAATGACAATTGTAATTTTTGTTCAGATATTAGACTAACTTTTATTTTGACTGTTTGTTAGATTTATCCTAAACTTTAAAAAAGAATGATAAAAAATGTAAAAAAGAATGATTTTTTTGGGTTATAATTACCTTTTGAGATAAATTTCGAAAATGCATTTCCTGGAGCATGCTGCTGTGACGACGTATATTTTCATGACGGGAGATGGCCAGCAATACTCCACGTTCAGGCACATATCGGCACACTGCCGCCCCTATTGCCTTTTGAAATTCCTTGTGTACATTATCCATTTTCGCACTAAAGAAATTTGAATCATTTTAAAAAATTGTCTACAAAATTATTATTAGAAAATATTTATCAAAATTTCGAAAAAGAAATTAACACTTACAACTCGCGAAGGTCTTCAGGTACATCGATTTCAATTTTATGAAAGGTATTTTTATCGATAGGTGAATTAGGGTTTTTCGGTCTTAATCTCTCACTGCCAACTATTTCAGAATATGCATATTCCCAGCCTAAATATTCAACGACTAGGAATCCTCCCTTGATCATCTGAAATAAAAAATAGTCCACTTTCAAACAATTTTGAATTTATTTTCAATTATAACAATATTTAGAACATTATTTAGAAAATTTATTATTTTAGAATTAAATGTCGATATTTCAGTTATTATCAACAATGTTCTAGTTATTGACTGTCAGTGACGACAAAAAGACGCTCGAAATGCGTTGATGAGAAAATGCTTATTAAATACTTCACACGGCGCATATGTTATTTCACCCGATAAATAAATTCAATTAAAGCTGTTAAATAGAACTCAATAAAATTAAATTTAGAAACAAATCAAATTTTATTTAAAAAACAGTAAATAAATTTTTAATTAATATTTTTCAATATTTCACTAATATTCTTCAATTTTTCATATAATTTCTAATAAATGAAAATTGAATACTTTTCGCGAGTTATTTATAATTTTAAGAAATTCTCGTTTATTATTAATTTAATTACCTTAATGATCGCCTTCCACCATCCACAAGCCTCCTGATCGTTTGACCGCGATAATACTTCGATTTCCTGATTCTCCTGGAACTCAGGTTTCGGGCCATCTTTTGGGGGGAGACGAATTTCAGCAAATGGAAACTTTGATTCTGGTTGCCAACTGGAAAATAAATTTTTTATAAATTTATCCAAATTGTAATAATTTTTCCATTGAAAAATTTATCTTATTTAAGAAAGTATCTTAATATTTCAAAAAAAAGTGCAAAAGTTCGGGTAACAATTTTGTCACGAAAAATTAAACCAATTATTTTATTAACTGTCTTTTTCAATGTTCTTTAGAATTTAATTTTTGTAAAATGAAAAAAAATACGAGAATCGTTATGAATTGATAAAACTTATCTTTCTCGGAATATAAAAAAAGCAATTTTTCAATAACAATCTTTTTGTTCTTTTCTTGAAAAATTGACATCAAGGCAAAATTTATTATTAAAATTAAAAATCATTGTGTTTACATTTTCCGTTTAACAGGGTGTCTAGTATTTTCGTTCAACAAAATTCCCGGTTATTTCCCGGATTTTCCCGGTTATATCCAAATTTTTTCCCGGTTTTTTTTCTCATCAAATTTAAATTTAAATTTAAATTTGATTTCGAAAATAAATATATCTTTAAATTTTTTTAATTTTTCAAAAATAATCTTGTCTCTTTATAATTATAATTGAAATTTTGATTTTTTAATTTTATTAAAATTATATTGATAATAATTGAATTTCTGCAAAAAAATTTCACTATTTATAAAAACAATTGAATCCTTCCAAAGAATGCTATTATTTATGAAAATAATTTAATTCTTGTGAAGAATTTTATTAAAATTTTTGAAAATAATAATCATTAATAATAATTAATTATTTACTTAATAAGTAATAAACATTTAATCAGAAATTTAAAATTATAAAAATTTAAGAGAAGTTTAATAATATTTTTAGAAGCAAAAAATTGATTTAAAACTGTAAGAGGGACTTTAAATTTTAAAAATTAAATTATAATTACGGTCACTAACTTCCCTTGATTATTTTCGAAAAATTTAAATAAAATTCTTTAAAAGAATTCAATTATTTTTCAAAAAATGTAAACAAATTTCAATTATTTCAAAAAATTTCAATTATTTGTTTAGAAAAATTCAATTATCTTGAAACAATAGAATTAAAAAATTACAACAATCTTATTTTTCGGAATTAAAAAAGAATTTGCTAATTATTAATCTTCGCAGTAAGAAACATGAATACATTAGAATTTAACTCTTTATAATATTCAATTATTAATCAATTATTAAATTAAAATACTTTGAAAATTCTATTTGTTAAAAAGTTTCTAATGAAATTTGTTAACAAATTTAATTACATATTTTCAGTCGAATTGATTTTTTACTATCAAATTAATTATTTTTAACTAACTTAAATTTGGAGAACAGTATAAATACCTATAAAAATTGAAATATAAAGTGATTTTTTAAAAACAAATTAAAATAATAAAATTTTTTTAATTTTGGTAAAAAAATTCCCGGTTTGGTATAAAATTCCCGGCTAATTCCCGGTTTTTCCCGGTCAAATAAAATTCCCGGTTATTTCCCGGTTTTCCCGGAATTCCCGGTTAGTAGACACCCTGGTTTAATTACTATTTTCTAAATATTCTGTATGATCGTATTGGAAATTTATATACAAATTTAATGTAATTTAAACAGACACATATATATTAAAAATTAAAATAGATTTTCACATGAACCAGCTTGAAATATTGATTTTTCACTTGTTTCGAATATAGACAGAATAATTATGTAATAATGCGGATTAATGATATTATATCAAAAATTTGATTATTTAATTAATATTCTAGTACATGAAAACTAATTTCTCAAAACTAATTTCAAATTAACGAGAATTTGTATCAGAACTTGAAATTTTTAAAACGATATGACAAAGAAAAATTCGGCGTGTATTCACCCTACGAATAAAGAAATAATTTTTAAAAAAATTATCAGTGTAACACTACTCTCAGTTTGTGCCATAAGGAAGGAGTAATCTTTCACTCTTCTAATAACAATCTCAAGTTCAAAACAATTTCCTATATACAAAATTAAAGGAATAAAAGCTAGGAAATCATTTTATCAATACAATTTCATGACATATGATGCTTCATAAAAATCATTTGCGTAGTACATAAAATATTTATCAACCACCAATTAAATCAAGTGTAAAATACTTAATAAAAAAAAGATATAAGGAATAATCATACTCAAAACGTAAATAATAGTCAATTTTTAAAATTTTGTCATAAAAATATTTAGCTTTCAATTTTATTAAAAAATTAATATAGATAACTAAATTTGAATTTAAAAATATTAAACCCCCAAAGATAATTTATCGGATATTCAAAAGTAGTAATGCAGAAGAAAAATCTATTTCTATTATACTAACAGAAGCTACTTCGTGCAAAAATTTTAAAAATAAAAAGAAATATTTTCCTTTTGAAAAAAATTTGTCAAAAACTTACTCATTTTCAAATGCTACCAAAAGTTCTTCTTCAAAGACATCGGTGACAAAGGCCTGAAAGGAAAAATATATAAAGTTGAAGTCATTACTTAAGAGAGTTGCATTACTGGTGCAATGGCACCAGTCTGAGATTATGGACCAGGGGATTGTGACATGAACGTGGGGTTTTTAATTTAAGGATGAAAATTGAATTGTCGAATGATTTTCTATAACAAGGACAAGGGATAGGACGAAGGTATTGGAACTCGAAAAAGAAAATCACGCCCTGTCAAATTGAGACATGGCGTCGAAGGAAGCCGCGTTACCTCCCGAACATTTTAGGTGTCGCGCTTTCGCAAAGTACGAGCGTCAATTCATTAATTTTATAATAGTGTCGCGCCCCATAGATTCGGCAATCTACAGCGATCTTATTTTACCCCACTTTTTGTATACTTTTCACAGAACGAACCTTATAATATGCTCCGTTTTCGCCGCATACTTCGACTGCGAGATCCTCCATCTTGCTTTTGTGTGACGGCTCCCTTGGTTCCTCGATATAGACATGCGAAAGCACAATATATCAAGTTGGCAATTCTGAAACGCAGTCCACCAATCGCATTAGTGATCGGAGAAAAGCTCAATGTTTATTTGTCCAATTTTATGTCTAGTTGCGTGAAGTTAGCAAGGAAAGTGCAAGGCAAGGCAAAGTTTTCCAAATAAACAGGTTTTTGGAAGAAACCTGTTTTCTTAACACTTTGTTTGCTCACTTCACACTGCTTCATACTTGTGAATTTTCCCCTAGAACTGTCCACAAATGGCGTTAGTGTCGAATTTTCTCAACCAATGAAAATTATTCTTTATTAAAATGACAATTGGAGGTTTTGAAATTGTTTTTTTTATAAATAAATAATAATATTTTGTTGTTTTCCGTGTGTTGTTAAACAAATAATTTGGTACAAAATTGAATTTTACACTTTATTGGATAGTTTTGTTTGATTAAGATTGTTATTTGAGATTTTTAAATCATGATTGTACTGATGTTTCAAGAAAGCGTCAAGCAAGCTTTGTGTTGAAATTGCTGCGAATTTGCAGCTTTTTTCGTTTATATTTAGTCGTGTATTGAGTTTAAACTGATGAAAAATTTATTACGAAATTGTTTAGTTGTTGTGTGTTTTTAAATATTACGCGAAAATTACATGAATTACTCGTGGTGGTGATAATAGAAGCCGAGCCATAGCCAATGATTAGTCGTGATTTTAGATAGTTTTTTGACAATAAAAAAGACGCTTTCAGTGAACGTTTATTTAATAAATAATTCTGTTTCTTATTGAATATTAAGTTTTTGTTAATTGGAGGGACGAAGTTTGGAAAACATTTTGAAAAAAGAAGAACGAACTTAAAGGTAAGAGTAACAACTATCATTTCCTTCCGGTGGGTGTGTATGTATGTATATTTAATTAGGTGGCTCTTTATCAATTAATTGATATGTCCTTTTCGTCAAGTTTTTTTTTAAATTCTCAACTATTAATTTTTAAGTGCGCGCATTTCACGGATATTCAATAATCATTTGTCCTTGCTTCCCCCTCTTTCCCTTTTTTCACAATTCAGACGTGTGGTTCATTCGCGGTCAGCTGATTATTCTGAAATTATTAATTTTCTTTTAGAATTTATTCATCTTTACGTTTTCGATACAAGTCACGAGTTTTATAAGGATTATACTGATTGAAAAAAGAAAATTTAACTGCGTGAAAATGATGATGAATTGTTAACCCTAACCTCAATTGTTTCCAACTTCAAGACGGCGCAAAGGGACCAGAGTAGCCGTAACGAAACTGGATATATCACAAATTTACTAAATTCTTTCAATTTGTCTAGTAACGTGCCTGTGAATAATCAGGTAAGTCACTCCTTTTGGGAATTAATATTTAAAAAATCGCAGTAGTTTATTCGATAAAAATCCATAAATTTCCCACGAGTGTCAGCTGCCGACAGATTCAGATTTTTTTTCAAATATTGAAATTATTTTTGCTATTGTTTTGATTGATTAGCGAGATTTTTAATTTAATTTCCAAAACTTTACCCTTACTGCTAGATTCAGTTTTCATTTAATGAGTTGTAAATTTTATTATCATAAAATGATAGTGCAATAAATTATAAATTTCTGACACTTTATTTCTAGTGTTTAGATATCGTTTCTTTCCATCGTTTTTTGCATGTAAACATTGCTGATTATTTCTGATACAATTCGACATTACATGTCAAACTGATAGTTAATCATGAAATGTAGAAATTAGAAAATATTACACATTTTTAGGTTATAAATTTAATTTTTTTAAATTTGATTAAAAAATGTTTCGCCAAAAATGATTGTTCAATCCGTGTATAATTAAAATTCGTCTTTAAATTATTTTTTCAATTTCTTGAATTTTACTTTATGGAAATATATTTAAAAAATCTTTTTTTTGTTTACTTAGTTTGTTAAATGTTTATTTGAATCATTAATGTATGTCTGTCATCATTAATGTATTTTTCTATTTCATTAGATGCTAATTGCTAAATTTTAATTACAGCCAAGGTGGAGAGAGGAGTCAAGTAGTCAAGAAACTTATAGTGCCAGTAAAAGACTAGGTTTTAGTTGGGGAGGGATGCCTCGCAGTAAGCGAAGAGCGCCCTCCAGTACAAATCATAATTCTAGGGACATGTCACCTAGTGCTCAGGAAGATGGTATGCCAAGGCATCCGTCGAAAAGACTCAGACATACCTCTAAGTAAGCGACTTTCTAATTACTTATATTCTCCAAAACTATCTGTACGGAAAAATGTTTTTCAAAGTCCGTTATGGTAGTTAAAAAAAGAATTTTTCTTTTTCGAATAAAAACACTAATTACTAATAGAGATAATTTTAAAAACCATTTAATATCTTCGTTTCTTGCTTAATCTTTCTCTTTTAATTTCGATCTTTTTGTATCTAATTCATCTACTTTCTAATCTGCCCTTTATTTGATGAAGAAAAAAAATACTAAAGAATGTTTTTCATTATGAACCGTTTATTATATTCTATATCACAAGAAGGTAAATTAATTAAATTTTATTTTCCATCACTAGAAAGTAAATTAAATGTAAAAACAAGTAAAAAATCAAATAGTAAGAAAAAAATTACTTGTAGTTTAAAGATAAATATTTCAATCAATAATTCAAAAATTCAGAATTTTTCCAAACAGTAAAAAAATATACAATTTGCAAAAACAGTTGTATAATAAAAAACTTGATCAAAAAGTATATAAAATTTTACAAATAAAAATATTAAAGAAAGCTACTGTCATTTTAAAATAACAATTCTTTTTATTTTTTTTTCTTAATATCAAAAATATGAATAAATAGAAAATACATTTTTGTAATTGAATATTTTAGAAGGTGAATTGTGTGAAAAAGCGATTGAATACTTTTGAGAATGATTTAATTGTAACCTTGACAATAGTAAAGGATCGACTTTATCTTTTTCTCTTTTCTTGTACTCCTACCCACACTAGTCAAGCATTCACCAAAATAGACTGCTCACAATTTTAGTCTGCCCTTCTCTGGTGCTTGAGTTGGTCTGCATCTCGTGCTTGTGAATGTTAAACATTCGTATAAAAAGAATTTTTTCCCTCTTGCAATGACACAAAATTTTTGACAGTTTCATTTAATGTTATTTTTATCATTTTAATGTAATTTTTGTAACTAGAATTATTTAAATTCAAACTTGAAAATTAATCTGTGTAATAATTAAAATAAACAATTTTTAATAAAGTTTGTTTGAAGTAAATAATAGAATTTAAAAATAAAATCAAGTATAAATAAATATTTTGTATATTTGAGTTATAAATAAATCAAGTGTTCTTTTTTATTCAATTTATTTTCATTTTTATTCAAGTGTTATTTAATGAGTATTAAATTGAAAAAAGTATTCTAAAATATTGGTATTATTATTATTATCATTTTTACAATTTTTGTTAACAAATCTTTCTAAATTTTTAGTTTATTAGTATTTTTCAAAAGTAGTTGATTGAATTTAAATTCTCGCTTTTAATTTTGTTTTTATGGTTAATCTTATTGACAGTGCATGGAAGACGAGAGGTTTGTACTACAAACAAAATGATTGTAGAAAAAATAATTTTTAATAATTTTAATTATTAATGATTTTAATTTTTAATAATTTTAATTATTAATGATTTTAATTTTTAATAATTTTAATTTTTGATAATTTTAATTTTTAATAATTTTAATTTATAATAATTTTAATTTTTAATAATTTTAATTTTTAATAATTTTAATTTGAAAAAATTGACGTTTGGTTTTTGAAAATTTCAGTGCTAGGCGTTATTCAAAATCAGAAGATGTCACGAGTACGTCATTTTCACAAAAAAAGTGCATTGCATGGTTCAGGGAGTATACAACACCCGACGATCCCGATACCCTTGGTCCAGATGGAATGGAAAAATTTTGTGAGGATATTGCCGTAGAACCAGAAAATGTAGTGATGCTGGTATTAGCGTACAAAATGAACGCTCGTCAAATGGGCTTCTTTACAATGAACGAGTGGCTCAAAGGTCTTTCAGAATTGCAATGCGACTCAATTCATAAAGTACAACACAAACTAGAAAGTCTCAGGAATTTGCTGAATGATCCTCTTACATTCAAGGGGATTTACAGATACGCTTACGATTTTGCTAGGGTACGTCACTTTTTTTTCCTTTAGTTACTTTTTCTTTCTTTTTTCATTCAGTTTCAAATTTTCATTGGTTTTCTATTCGAAAATTCGATTTACTACTTAAAATACTTCTATTTCTATTTTTAATTTCTCTTTTCTGTTCTAAAATTTCTAAAGTTCGAACATTCAAATGAACGACGATATTTTTGTTTATTTGTGTATTCTTTTTTGAAAAAATTAAAAACAAATTCTTTACTAAGTAAAAATGATTAATTTACATTATTTTCCATTTGGTTTCATTAATTTTTGAAAATAAAAAAAAAATCGTTCATTTGAAGGTTCAGAAATATTATTTTGAATTATGTTGATATTTTTTTATAGAAAAAATTAAGAAGACTTATTTAATCTAAAAAAATGTGAGAATTTCTAAATATGCTAAATTTGCCCTCAGGATAAGGATCAACGAAGTATGGATATGGAAACAGCAAGAGTGATGCTGCAGTTACTTTTAGGAAAGCATTGGCCCCTATTTTCTCAATTTGCACAATTTCTTGATCAGTCGAAGTATAAAGTTATCAACAAGGATCAGTGGTGCAACATTCTGGAATTTTCTCGGACAATTAATCATGATTTGTCTAATTACGATTTAGACGGGGCTTGTAAGTAACAAAAATCCTTCAAGACTTTTATTATTAGACTTAAAACTTTTATTTCGTTCGTTCTTTATCTTCTTAACTCATTTAACTTGTTTATTTTTATATTTATATTATTTATATTATTGGTAATAATTGTAATTAATTAAAAGTTGCAAATTTTATCTATTAGTGAAAAGATATGCTAAATTTTCGAATTTTCTTTCAAGGGCCCGTTATGCTTGACGAGTTCGTCGAGTGGTTAAAAATGCAAAGAGGAATAGTGTCAACGGAAACCCGTATCAGCTGAAACTTCGAATCAAAAATGAAAGGACAATTTTTTAAAAAAAAATAAATATCCATCAACGCGACAACATTCTTCTTCTTCTATATATTCTTTGTTTTAATTTAATTTTTGTTCGTTTTTGAAATTGTTTCGACAGCTTTTGTTATCAAATTAATAATTTTCTTTTCTTTTTTGGAAATAATTATAGCTTGTGACCTAGATAATTCATGACTGTGTCCAAAGTTTGTGTTTGTCTATCGGTAATAAATTCATCAAGTGTTTTACGATCCACTTTGTATTGTCCACACTTTTAATGTTCGTGTCGCGCATTTATCGATGTATATTTTATTAATTATTATTATTATTATTACTGCATATTGTCATCATTTTTGACCTAGTGTTGCACGTATTCTAGAAGAATTTTCAATGGAAACGCAATCTTCGTTCTCGGAATTTTTTTTCATTTCCGAGAGAATATGTAAATAGGTAATCAAATGTGCAACATTTTTTCAAAGATATATATATTTTTTTTACGTAATTCATTGTCCATTATTGCTTCTCGTACATGTTTTCAATTCAGATTTCATGTACACAGTCATGCTCGGTCTTCATTACATTTGTATAACATTGAAACAAACAAACAAAACAAAAAAACAACAAAAGTCGATTTGATACAATTATATCATTGACATGAAACAATCAAAGGTTTTTGTGTAAGGAATGCAAGCTCAATTCTTGTATCTCGAAATGTATTTCAGGCCTGTTCAATAACTAGAAACTTACAGTTAGGTAAATTATATAGTGTAATACTCTTTTGAAAAAGAGCGTCAGTTTTCGTTTTCTTATGATCTGTATAGTAACTACGATGTGATAATTAATTAGGAAATCTTCGGAAGACCTTTTTCTTTTCTTCTTTCTCTTATTTTTTTTTTTTTTTTTTTTTTTTTTTTTTTGTGAAAATTGAACAGTTTTGGATTTTTATCAAACTTTGTTATACTTTGTAGAAAAAGAAAAGTTTTTTGTGAAAGTCAGATGAATATTACTGAGAAAAAAATGAAACTTTGCGGTTCCAATTTCGTGTAATAGGTCCTTTATTTTTGTTTCGAAATTCAAAATTTTATTGTAGACACTTGGAAGAAAATATAGCGGAACTGATTTAATTATTTGACTTGTCAATTTGTTCCCTATTTTTCTTTTTTTTAATTTTAGATAGTTATTATTCATTTTTGTGTACTTTTATAAAAAATGTGCATGTAAGTAATCGTTTTCTAAAATATATTTTCATTTTAATTACTTTTGCATCATTTTTTCTTACAAGAATATATGCGAAACTTGTTTTTCCTGCTTGAGAACTTTTTAAAAAGTTGGTATTAAACTATTCAAGTAAAAATTACATTTAAAAAATTTAGACGTCATTTCAGTGTTTATTATCAAAAAAATCCAATGACCTTTTAGATAAAATTGTAATTTCTCTAAAAAAAAAAACTTTAAAAAATGATAGTATTCAATTATCAATTCATGATATGATCATTATTTTAATTCTCTTATATATTCAAGTTCATATTTTTTATGTACATAAATTTTTTTTCAAATCGAAGATAATGGAATTTTTAGCAATGGTAAAAATAGATAAAGAATAATTATAAAATAGGTAAAGATAATTAATAATATTATATAAAATAGATTAGTCTCAATATATAAAAATAGATTGATATTATTTTCTAAAGTAGATTATATTAATCATTATTACCGTGAAAAAAATTTCATTTCCCAAATAAAAAAAAAGACTTATTTGGGAATAAAATACATGGGAATTCCATCGAACGGCAATAAAGTTGCACTCCAAATTTCTTTCATTTCTTCCGGTTTTCGTAAACTTTTGACTCTAAATTTTCTCAAAAGTGCAGAAAGAACGAATCTCAATTCAACCCAGGCTAAATTTTGACCGAGACAATTCCTTGGACCTGCACTAAATGGAATGAATGCATAAGGATGTCTGTCTTGTATGTTTTCCGGTAGAAAACGATCAGGATCAAATTTAAAAGGTTCTGGCCAAACTTCCGGATCTCGGTGCATTACCAATATTTGCAAATGCACCACTGTTTCCTTTGGAACTTGATATCCGGCTGAAATGATTATTATTTATTTATAATTATTTTTATTAAATTAATATTTAATTAATAATTTAATTTAATTTAGTTAATATTTAATTAATTTAATATTTAAATATTTCGATTTCTAAATACTTCCTCATGAGAAAGTAAAAACTATTTCTTTTAATCCTAAGTAACCTTAAGTTTTGATTGAATATTGGATTTGAAATTTGATTTCAAAGTTGAACTAATATTGATGACTTCACCTAATTCTATATCTTCGGTTAAGCGTCTGGCAACTGTGGGACCTGGAGGATGTATACGAAAACTTTCCTTAATAACTCGTTCAAGATATTTCAATTCCAGAACTTGATTCATTGTTGCTGGCTCTTTGGAGTCTCCGAAAATGTCATCCAATTCCTGGTGTACTATTTCTTGAATTTCGGGTTCATTGCCCAAGTGAAACATGACCCAACCAATTCCAGCAGCTACTGTATCATATCCCTGCGAGGGAAATTTAATTAAAGTAATTAATTAATTTTCGCAATAAATTCAAAAAATAAAATAAAAAAATAAAGGGAAAATATTGTGGAAAAATAATAATTGCAAGTATTTAATAAAAGAGAACGATGTTGATTGAAATCGCTATAAATTCTACTTACACCAAACAGAAAAGTATTTACTTCCTCTACCAATTCGGTTTCATTTAAGAAATTTTTATCTTTTTCTTGTAAATCCAAAATGAGATCTAAAAATGGTTTCTTGTCTCGTTTTTCTAAAAAATAGAATTTTTATCATTTTTCCCAAAGGAAGGAAAAAAAAAGTACTAAACAAAACGGACGTAAAATTATTTGAACAAAAATAGCTATTTTTGTAAATTTCATAAATTTTAATTACCAAAGTCGTCTGAATTATCCCTTCCTATCATTTTTTTACTTTCAACTCTTCGAGCTTCTCTCTTCTTTTTAATTAACTGCAAACAAATGAATATTACAATAAAAATTGAACAAAAAAATAGCTTCAAAGTTAGATTTAACAATAGAGAAATAAATATAAGAAAAAATCTTTTTTAACTAATTAGAAAAACTAGAAAAATAAATAAAATTTCTATTTTGGAAACCGAAAAAAAGTACCATAGCTGTAAATGAGTTTATAGTCTTCGCTGCTAATTTCAACTCATCGCCAAGTTTTGTTTTAAAAAATATAGGATCCCATTGCAGCCAAGGTGAATTTATTCTTGTAATTAATATTTCACCGGCTCTAAAAATTACAATGGAAAATTAAATCGTTTCTAGAATTGAATATTTTATACGATTTTATAGAATCGATTAAAAGAATTTTTTTTAATTCAAATAAATTCAAATAATCAATTCAATTAAAAATTCCAAATACTTGTGGGCCGAATCTGAATATCCGTCGCAGGCGAAATTTTTCTGAACATCTAGATTTACACCCATTATTGTTTCTGAAATTAAAAAATAAAATTTTATTATCAATTAAATAAAAAGAAAAAAAATTTTGTTTACCGCAAATAGTGTCGAATGAAAATCGAATAGCCAAAGAGGCGAAATCCATTGGCTTATTTGGATTTGCTTTAAGTTTCTCATCAATCACTTGTTCGAGAATTTTCGTCTTCCTTAAGACAATATTGGAAAAACCATTTAAAATTTCGAAATGAAACGATGGACTGATTGTTTTCCTCTTTTGAACCCATTTGTCTCCTATAAATTAATTGATAGTAAAACAAAAAATCAAAATCATTTTTTTAAATATAAAAATCTGACCTGTTGACGTTAACATTCCTTCACCAAACCAAGGATCGAGAAATTCATAAAGTTTCGCTTTTGTTATGAGTTTGTTGCTTGATAAAATTACCTTAAAAGTGTAAAATTACATATTAATTTAAAAATACTAATTAATTATTATATTATTATTATTATTCATCATCTAATTAATATTTAGTAAAATAAGAATTTATCACCTCCAGCAGTTCCGGCTTGAAAATATTGACAACCACATCATCAAAAGCTTCGCTGGTTCGAAAAATACCATTTTTGTACTTTTGGCACAATTGATAGAATTTGGTGAATCGATCTATAAAAATTAAAATAATTTTAATAACAATTTATTAAATTTGCCTCTTTATTGGATTTAGTAGTGAATTTTTAAGTATTTAAAAAAAATTATTTATTAAACATTAAAATATTGTAAATACCTTCTTTTGTGACTCGGAGAAATTCAAATGGCAATGCAAATATTGACAGAGGATATGAAATTGGTCCTGGAATTTTATTAACAGTAATGCAGTAATTAATAAAATGATACAATCTTATTACGAGTTTGCATACGAGTAAAAAAATCACAAAGCGAAAAAGTGTAATAAAGACACTCATTTTGTTTCTTTTTGTTAATAAACTTTTTTCTCGTGTAATTTTGTATTGTATTTCACATTCCTTGAAATGAAAATGAACATTTCAAGAATGGAAAATTATAACTTGAAACGAATAAAAATTTTAGCTTTGTCATTTGAAAAGATAGTGAAATTTTCATAATTATATTCAAGAATATTTTATTCGAGATTAGATTAATAAAACAATATTTTTAAAAGAAATTTAATAATTAAATGAGAAAAATTGTATCAATGTTTTCATTATTAATATTTATATGATAATATTATTCGTATTCCTAAATGAAAAAGTTTTACACTTTCGTTTGTAAACAAAATTAGTTGCAAAGATTTTGGTAAAATTATTTTAACTTGGAGAATTTTTTATTAGACAATGAATATTTATTTACATTTAAAAAGTCGATAATGTTATATAATTATAATTTATTCATAATTATGTAAAATCGAAATTCAAAAAGTTGAAGATACTTTGTTGGTCATACTTTGTTCTTTCATTTTATTTGTTACTATGCTTACTCAGCTATAATATTTTCTACTATCGTAGATTTATATTATACCTGAATCCTTGAATTTTATAATTATATTACATTTATTCTATACAATTAAATTTTGCTCGTTAATTAAGTACCGAATTGTTGCTGATTTATTATTTTTCCAAATAATAATATACTCTGCTTCGTAAATATTATTTTTAAATGAGAAGTTATAAATAAATAATAAATATTCACAATGTCACATAAATAATCACATACGTAGAAAAATATAGCAAATCAATCCAAATCAAAACTGTTTAGAAATATTTTTCATTTCAATAGGAGAAATGTAAACAAACCAAAACAAACATTTAATGTCTTGAAGTTGCCAACAAATAAACATTTAATGGAGTGGTACCAAATTAAGAACTACATTTGCATTTTCTTTTCTTTTAATAAAAATTAATATATAAATAGAAATTAGTTTAGAATAGGAGGAGAAATATTGGGATCCCGAAATATTATTAATATTAATAAATAAAGTAAATTTACTACTGTCAAAAAAGACTTTAATTTTATTTCGAATTTTGTATTAAATTAATTTTCATAAATTGCAAACCTGTTATCAAATAACTTCACAGTTATTGTCCATGGATCTTTTCTTCTGGTCTTCGTGCTTCTGGTTCTTCAGTTCTTCATGGTTCTTCAGTTCATTGACTTCAATCTTAATGTTTTGTTTTTTTCCTCCAAACTGGTCGAGACAGGAGACACTGTAAAATCATAGTAAAATCAAGAAAAAAAAATGAATAAAATAGAAAAAAAGGAAGAAGTGAGCAACAAATATGAGTGGAGTGATGATTTTTTAAATCAAATGGCAAATGCCAAAATATTTCCTAGTGATTCTTTTAAAACAGAAGAAATCAAACCTATATTAGCCAGATTTTTCAATTTTTATTTCTCTGGAAAAATATCCCCTGATTGCACAGTACCGTGCACAATTTATTCAGCAATTGCTTTATTGAATGTTCCACATTCAAAAGGATATTTAAAAGTTTTCGCAAAAAAGAATGACACAAAGAAAGAAAAGAAACTCACATTTTTTGACGTCCATGTTCATACAGATAGGGAATATTTTGAACAATCCAATGACTTAAGTCAGGTTAGTATTTGTAAAGATTTTTAATTAAAAATTTACATATTTTTTATTCTTTTGTTTATTACATATTATTTATTATTGCACTAGCTGTGTTCCATTTATTTTTATTTTTTAAATTAAAAAATTTTATAATTTTAAGAATTTCAATGTAAATTCAATTATTTTAAACAATTTTGATAAAATTCTTTTTAAAAAATTATTTTCAAAATTTTTAATAAAATTCCTTCAAAACAATCAATTATTTTCATAAATAATGAAATGTTTCGGAGGAATATAATTATATTTTCAATGCAATTTTAATAAAATTTCTTGAAAGAATAGAATTATTTTTAATAATATTATTCAAATTCAATTATTTTCAAGTGTTTTAATAAAAATTCAATTAAATTAATAATTTTAATAAAATTTTAATCAATATTCAATTATTTTCAACAATTCTGATTAAAAAATTCTGCGAAACAATTTAATTATTTTTATAAATTGTAAAATTCTTGGCAAAAATTCAATTATTTTTGTAAATAATAAAATTATTCTGAGAAATTCATTATTTTCAATAAAATTTTAATAAAATTTCTAGGAAAAAATTTAATTATATTCATGATTGATAATTTTAATCAAATTTCTCTAAGAGGTTCAATTATTTTTAAAAATTTTGATTCAATTTTTCTGAACAATTCAATTGTTCTCAAAAGTTTGTAATAAATTTCATTGTAAATTTGAATTTATTTTCAAAATTTTCAATTAAAATTATTTTTAAAAATTACAATATTTTAACGAAATTTAATGAAATTCTTTAAAAAAAATGTAATTATTTACAAAAACTATAATAAAATTATTTAAAAGAATTTAATTTTCGATGAATAATTTTATTATAATTTAATAGGAAAATTGTTTAATTACAATTAATAATAAACACGATTATTTTAAAAACTTAAAAGAAGTTCTTCATAAAATTCAACTATTTTCCAAATTTTCAGTAAAAATTATTTTTAAAAAAATGCATTATTTGAAAGAGTTTTAATTAAAATCTTGCCAAGAATTAAATTATTTTCAATACAATTTTAATTACATTTTCTCGAAAGAATGCAATTATTTCTGAAAATAATTGTATTCTTGAATAGAATTACATTAAAACTTTTTAAAATAATTGAATCCCTGACAAAAAAATGTATTATTTCTGAAAATAATTGATTTTTTGTAAAATTTTAAAAAATAAGTGAATTTTTGAGAAGAAGAAAAATTTCGGTTTATAAGAGAAATTTATAAAAAAAATATTATCACCTGAGAAAATTAATATTCACATAAATTATTTTTTACAGGAATTATTCCAAAATGAAATATGGAAAATTTTAATTTCATGGGATTATTCGACTACAAAAGAGCAGGCGACATTAATGAGATTAGCAGCTTTTCTGGCTCTAAAATTTTGCATAGTGGCTTCAAAGAATAAATCTCAAACACTATCAAGTTTCTTTAAATATAGCAATAAATTGAGAGAAACTCTTTCCAAACTAGTCGGATGGGAAATGAATCGAAATTATTCAGTGCCAAATCCTAAAGGAATAGACATGTTCATAGAATTATTATCAAATGATAATAATATTCGCTTATCATTGAGATATCTGTTTGCAATTGTAGTTCAGAAATGGATAAATATTGTTCGAATGAATCCAAAGGGAAATCGAATTTCATCACTGTTAATGGAATCATTGCTGGACGCAGCAGCTGGAAATGGAATTGCATTAATTACATTAATAACGACTGTGATATTTTACTTGAATTGCACCTACGAGCAGATAATGAATGTCTTGAAGACGGAGACAAAATGCTTTTCTAAATACGAAAAGTCTTTTCAAAGACTCGAGGAATTTCAAAAGAAATTCGTCAGTGAATCGAATCCAGAGCTCAGCTATCCATGGGGTCGTATAATAAAGCCTAGTTTTTTAATCGAATACGCAGGAACTAATAATATTTACCTGTGTTCTGTTTTTGCGACAATTATTGAGAAGTACGAGGGACAAACAGTGTGGAATACAAGTTGGGCGCATAAGAAAGATTTTGATTATAAAGAACCAAGGAAAGTTGGTATAAGAATTCACGATCGTCTGTTGAGCAAATTAAGAAAATGTTGAAATGAACTTCGTATTAAACGTTACTCGGATATTTAATATCGTTAAATGTTTATTTAAAATTGTTAGAACTAAACGTTTGTTTATTTTGATATTAGTTCATCGAAAAAGAGGAACTTTGTTTATATGTAAGTTAAGAAGTTTTTAATTATTTATTCATACACCGAAGAATATTATTTTCGTTACAAATGATACTTTATTACGGGATTAAACAATTATATTCATCATCAAGAAAAGTTTTAGTGAAATTTGACAAAACGAAAAAAAGAAGATAAGCTAGTTTGAAACTAGTTAAGAAACCTGTTCAGTTACTGCTATAAAAAAACTACGAAATATTTTGTATTTCATATTATTTTTCTAAAATTGATATTTTGAATGCAAATTTGATGATCCAAGATGTTTGTTATATAATAAAATGATTTCTAATATTTTTAGATAATTATTAGTTCGTTTTTAATAAACAATTTCAATTCAATTTCAATTTGTGCCATTTCTTAATTTAATTAATTACAAACTATAATAAATTACATATTCAATGTCACCTACAAACAAATGACTCACGCCTTGAATTGTGAGTTTATTTATTTTAAATTTTAAAATTAATGTATTGAAAATCATCGAATTGTTGCAAAGAATTTTTATCAAAAAATTTGAAAATAGAATTTCTTCGAATTTATAAAAATTATAAAAAATAATTGAATTCTTTTGCAAAGATTTTATAACGAATTAAGAACAAAATTAAATTCTTTCGTGAAATTTTTTTGAAAATAATTGAATTTTTGCAAAGATTTTATAACGAATTAAGAAAAAAATTGAATTCTTTCGTGAAATTTTTTTGAAAATAATTTAATTCTTCAAAGAATTTTACTATTTACAAATATAGTAATTTAATTTTTTTGATGAATTCATAAAAATTTTAGAAAATAATTGAATTCTTGCCAAGAATTTTATTAAAATTTTGAATTTGAAATTATTTCAAAATTCATATTTGAAAATAAAAAATTGTTTATTTTGCATAATAATAAATTGAATATCACGTTTCACGCGCTAGTGCGCGTAACATTTGCTAGTTTAAATATAATTGTCTTTAAAAAAAAAATATTTTACAAACGATATTGGATAAAATAATGCAAATTTTTAAACATTTCCAATTAATTTTATTTATTAAAGTATAAAAACAATTCGAGTAGTAAAACTTTCTTAATTTAAACATTATCACCGGTATAAAATATTTTATGAACTTAATTCAATTACATTATTTAAAAAAACAATAAATAATAAAAATTCCCAATTGAATCTATTTTTTGTACAGGATGATGCTCTAAAATAAAAAAATTTCCCGCTATTATTTATATTTTGAACCAAATAGTGAATTTGGTTGCTTTAAAAATTGTCTCCATTGCCTTTATGATTCTGATTTAATAACATTTTTCAGAAAATCATCCTGTACGTATATTTAATAAGCATAATTTGTTAATAACAGTGTTGGGTCAATTATTATTTTTAAAGCATTTTTTTTGTTAGTTTTTAACAAAAACTCGACAGTTTTTTATATATTTTAAAATTCAAATAAAAATCGTTTGCAAATAAAAACGATTATCAATCACTTTGAAAAAAATACTTTCTAATGGAAAATATTTCTGATTAAAATGTTTTAATTTTAATCATCTATGATTAGAAGTTAAATCTATTAGAATTATTAATTAGAAAATATGAATTTTCTAATTAATTTCTATATAATTTGTCTAAAAAATTATATGTAAAAATTTGTCTAAAACAATAGTTTTAAAATTGTTTAAAATTGACGTATTTTTAAATACGACGGCGAAAACAAGAATATATTTTCTTACAAAAAACGTTAACAACTTTTTGTTCCGAGGAAAAATAAAACTTTTTAAAAATCGAATTCAAATATCTTAAGAAACCAGTTTTCTTTTTGTTTTCTTTCTTTTCTTTATCTTTTCTCTCATTTTTGTTGAGGGAAAATTTGATAACAAACTTTATGACTAATTTTACCCAACACTGGTTAATAAATAAGAAAAATAATTCAATTAAAAAAAAAATTTCCCTTTCTTATCAACTGGAAAATCCAGGATTAGTGTGCTCGATAACACACCTTCGACAATATTGTTTCACTGCCCGATAACCAACCCACGTGACTCGTGAACATTCTCCAATATTAAGTTGCTGAAGTCCACGAACATAATAAGCAAGTGCCTCGAGGCCAGAGTCCGAGACACGTTCGCATCCACATAAAGAAAGTTTCTTCAAATTCGGACATCCAGTCGAGAGTGCCTCGAGTGTTGCATCGCCAATGTCGCATTTCCCTAAATCCAATGCACGAATTCTCGGACATCCGCGAGCCAATGCAACAGTTGCACTATCGCTGAGTGCCTCACAACCACGTGCATTCAAATATCTCAGCTTATAACAATGTCGAGCAACAACCAAAAGCCCCGCATCCGACACCTGATCACATTTACCAACGGAGAAATACCGCAATGACGGTCCCAAACACGCGGCCAATTCTCTCACACCAAAATCCGTGATTCTCGTGCAATCCGACACGGACAATTGTCTCATTCCACCGCAATACGAAGCGATTGCTATCAAACTCGTGTCCGTGATACGAAAGCATCTCCTTAGATACAAACAGGAAAGATGTGGCATCCTAGCCAAACTCGTCACCAATCCAGAGTCATCAATCTCATGACAATCGCTCAAATCGAGTGTTTGTAGTTGTAAAACCGCAACTCTTGTGTATGCCTTCGTTATACGAGCACAATCCGTCATGTCCAATTCCTTCAGGTGAATACAATTATCAAGAATTGTGGTGAGATTCATATCATTAACACGTTTCGAATGTCGAAGCGATAGCGACGTGAGACTACTAAACGGTAGTGAATTGAATATTCCAAAAAGACCCGTCGCACCATCCAGGACGAGTCGACGTATCGATGGATATAAACCACGTCGTGCCAGTGTGTTGAGTGCAATTGTCGCATTCTGTGGATGACGAACCTCCACCTCCTTCCACAATGACGGATGCCACGCTATTTCCCAAAGTCGTCGGCATGTCTGGGCAAGAGAGCAACGCTCTCGTATCGAGAGCCAACTGAAGATTTTCAATAATAACGTATCATCAAGATCGCATAGTCCAAGAACGTAGAGGTGTCTCTGTTGAAAAAGTTGCTTTCGAACTGGCAAAGCAACCGATGGCGATGACGATAATCGACAGACATTATTGTCAAGCGTATGATAACCAAGATCTACAGTGTCCGAATTCGGTCGAAAAAGTGCCAATTTCTGCGAATGATGACTTCCCTCTCGACTTGAAATACTTTGATCTCCATACCGATGGTAGAGTGGACTCGATCCGTCCATTCCATCGTCTTTTCTGCAAATTCGATAAATGGTCAATAATCAAAAACACTTCAATAATTTTTATTAATAATTATTATTAAATTATTATTTAATTTGAATATTTAAATAATAAAATTATTAACTTCAATAGTAAAATAATCATTAAATAAAAATCAGGCTTCGTACTCGATAATTAATTTTAAAAACAATAAATAAAATAAAGTAGTAAATCGTAAGAAAAGTAGTAAATAGTAGGTTTTAGTAGATGAGTGCGAGGCCTGAAAAATAGAAAATGATCATTAAATACTAAATATCAGAGAACAAATCCTAATAAACAATTGTTAATAAACTTAATTTAATAAATTATTAATAAACTTAATTTAATAAACAATTATTAATAAACCTAATATAATTAACAAAATGAATTGTTTATTAACAATTTGAAAAATCTTAATTTCAAAGAAGAAAAGATCCTTTTCGTTTTCGACAAAATTCCAGACCATTAAAAAAAGGTTGGTATTTACAGTTACTGTTGACATCTGGAAAGTGAACAATTTTTTAAAAACCCTTTGAAAGTAGACATATCTGGATATATCTGTCGAAAACATAGGTGTGCCTGGAATTCCTACCTGGATTACGATGACGCAATGAGGAATCAACGACCCTGCGTAACATAGACGAGTTTTGTCGCCATTTTCATCCACTAACTTGATTCAACATCGATCGTGTATCGATCAACAAGAAATTGAAAATAGTACGTTTTCTTTTCCAATTATCACTTGACACAAATGACACTGATAACTGTAACAATAGATTGTTTATTATATTAGTTACAACACAAAAAACACTCTATTAAAGTTCATTTTTTAATAAGAAAAATTAAAAACCTTAAAAACATATCAATGTGGTAAGGAAAATGTAACAGATGGTTTACTTAATTGTAATAGAGGGCACAATGGTACTTTGTAGATAATGTAGTTTTCTACTCACTATTTGTTACTGTTACTTCTTTACCCTCTTTGGTTCTTATGGTTCTTATCATTGATCTCATTGATCTTTAATTATTTGTTATAGAATTAGTGTTTTTAATTTACTGCCGTAATTATGTACAAAATACGTTTTTTCTGCATCTCTATAAGAGATTTGAATATTTTCAGATATGTTTCAAAAGGTTCACAATGATAAGTTTTGAAGTTTAAATATTTTGAGGTTAGGTTTCCCTTTGTTTACGGACATTTAATTTTTAAAGCTTCCTTTCCAGTTTTGGTATGATTTTGGTAATCAAATTTGTAGAACAAATGTATTTTAATTAATTTCTAACATGAGTACTTGTCAGTACTGAATTAAATTCGGTTCAATTCGGTTTTAATTTTATTCTATAAATCATTTGTTGATAAACAAGAGAATCCTTTAGGACTTATTTTAAACTCTTTTAAACGCTTTTTTTACAACATTTACAACATTCCACGTTTTTAAAATTTATTATTTAGAATTTAATTTCAAAAATTGAAAATTTAATTAAATTTGTTTATTAAAAACTCGTGTTTACTTTCTAGGAAACAAAAATAATATTCTATTGATTAATTTGCCTCTCTGCACCCCGAAAATGAAGTTATAAAATCGAATATCAAAATTAAATGTCACGATTAAATGTCAAGGTACGTCTTTTATTATAAATGAATAAACATATTAAATTGCATTAAATAATAATAATAAATCAAAAAATAGAATAAAAGATTAATGATTTTATCCATTTTTTCTTGAATGACATTCTAGGGAATATGTGGGAATATTTATGACAGATTCTCTTTAATATGGTTCCTAGATGGCGAACTGGCGTTCGTTTCATTGTATTGTATTTGTATATACATATACGTACATTTTTACTTGGGTGTTGGTTGAATTGAAAGTGTGTTTGTGTCGGTGTCCGTCATGACTCAGAATTCATGGTCGCCTCGCGTTTCGTAATTATAATTTCCCTCCACTTCATAAAAATGAAATTGTAGTTTCAAAGAACCCTAATCCAGTGGTTTCTGGCAACGCTCATCTATCAGGATGGATTTCAGAGTTGTAATACAATTTCTTTTTGCTGAATTTCCATCCGTTCTATTTGTCAAGGTGCGCGCTTAGTGCCGTTTGGATCTCCTGTCTTTGATATTTCCCCTTGTCCATAAAATATATTTCTGCAAAATTTATCAGGTATTAATTTATACCATTTAATGCTTTAAAAATCAAAACATACTAACAAACACGAGAACATAGTAAGTAGTTAAATTTCTATATCATCAACTTGTTAATTGTAATGGAAAAAAATTGTATTTCTCTGAAAACAAAAGAATAAATCAATTCCGGTTATTGTAGTCAATTTTTAAATTTTTATTTGTGTTTTAATTTTTTGACATTTTGACAAACGTGACCTTCACTAGAATGTACGACTAGGATTGATGAATTTTTGAATCATTGGCAATATATTTTTTTATCATTTCGAAATTGCTAAATACCGAAAAATTTCTAACTATGGAATATTGGTTTTGCTTTCATAACATGTAATAAAATTTAAATGTCATTTTGTAGACTTCAATCTGATTCACTGAATTGATTAGAATTGTATTTGGAAATTTTATTTTTATTTATGGAACTTTTTTTTTGTGTGTAATTTCGGTTATTTCTTTTTAGATTTGTTGACTTAATTTCTGTTTTATTGATTACGTTAATTGCTTTTTAATTTTATTTTTGACAAGAGTAATTTCCATTTGGTAATTTTTTTATATTATTGTGACTGAATATTAATGAGTTAATTCAATTGTAATAACACTGTGTGATATGATTTTAAAGTATCCTAATAAAACAGTTTATTTATTCATGCACATGAAACTTTTTCTGTCTAAAGCCAATTGCTTTGGTAAATTAAATTTTTCATTTGATAATTTGTTGATAATAAATAATGTTATAAATTTTGTTTATGTACACTAGAAATTGTTTATTTTAGTTCGTTTTTCTTTTTCCGAATCATTGTTCCATTTTTAGTCACATAAACTCTTGACCCCCTGGGTTGTTTTATGATTCACTTTTATCCTTACATATGCTTAAAGGAATTTCAGCTACGTAACACTTATGTTATTTTGGAATAAAAAATACTCACGCTGTATCAGAAAACAAACATTTTATTTAATTTAAATAAGAACGTTTTGGGAGAAAAATTAATTGCTTAAAGTGAATCAATATAGTGAACAAAATAAAATCGACAACTGGAGATAATAAAATTAAAATTTCAAAAGAAAATTCAAAAGTCAAAATAAAATTCAAAAATTAATGAAATTGAGAAATTTTTAATAAATACAGTTTTATTGTGATTCTAAAAATGGTTAGCTAATGATTTTTAAGTCAATATTTGCTTTTACATATATTTCTTTTACTTGCACGTGACTTATTTCCAAATTCTCGAGAGATGAGAATAATTAATTAGTCATGAATTGAGAAATTCAGAGAGAATTTAATATTTTGTTGAATAAATAAATAATTATTTTCTTATTGATTATTAATAATTAATTATTAATAAATTATTAATCTTAATATTTCTTAATATTCAAACCGTAATATGTAATTACTGCTTTTAATTGTGAATTATTAAAAAATGTTACTGTCTTTTATCTGAATATGACGAATCTTTTATTGTTTAGAAAGAAAATTAAGTAAACACAATGGATCAAGCAAGGAATAGACCAAGTAGACCCCGCCTACGCTCACATAACAATCCAGCACGAGTACTTGTTTTTGATCAAGTTGAATCAGAAGATGCTACTCCAAAGGCAGAAACAGAGGCTACTCGACGACCTTTGCCACCAAAGGTCGAAAGCAAAGAAGCTCCTGTTCGTCCAGGTGAATTTAAAAAATATTTTCAAAAAAATCTTTTTTTTTACATTATTTTTTCATTTATATTCTGTGCACAATGTTAATAAATAATTTCAATAATTTTAGTTAGTGGAGAAATATCGAATTTGGTGCGAATGAGAAATTCTATGATCGGAAAATCAGCGCCTTCACTATCTGTTCATATGGTTAGTATATAAATTTTCGTTTTTATTTTAGTAAAAATTATTTTTCATAAATTTATTTTTTCTATTTATTGTAATTCGACAATAAATAGAAAATAAATTTATGAAAAATAAACGTTTTTACAGAAAGATATTATAATATTGAGAAATGCTTCTTTAAAATAAAAAAATATGTCAAAAATAAATTTGAACTTGAAAATTGTATATTGGCAGCAAGACAGCGTGCTCTTGATCCTAAATCTAATATTAGATTTTGTCCATGGAAGAAAATTATTAAATTCATCATTCATGTAATATTAAAACATTAAAGTTTCAATAATTTTAACAAAAATAATTATATTTTTCAGCGGGATTTTAATATTCCTCGACGTATCGTGAAGGCAGCGCATCGAAAGTCTTTCATTTCGACAACTTCTCCCACTTTGCCACGATGCAATTCACCATTATCAGGTAATATCTATTTGGATAATATCTATTCAGGTATTTTTACCTGGAGAGGATTTCCTATAGGTATTTTTCCCGAAAAAATATTTACTTAGTTGAAAAAATATTTAATTAACTGTTTTTGTCCTTAATCTTAAGTAACACTTTTATTCAGCTGATAAATTCTATTGGTTTTTACATTATTAGAATATTTTGTTATTACAATTTAATTATTGAGTTCATGTAATTCTTCAATGATATGAGAGTTTGTCGTAATTGATGTTTTAATATTGATTATCAATTTATTTGATTATTGCTTTTACAAGCAGGTAACAAGTTTTAACAATTGTTTCGTTGTATGTTAATTGTCTTTCTATCAACGAAAGTAATTATTGATTTTTTTCTCTCGATGCAATAATTTGTTTTGGTCTATTTGGAAAAAATTAATTTTAATTAAAGCCAAGAAAAAAATAGAAACTTGTTTTTACGACGTTAAATAATAAACTCATTATCTCTGCCAACTTAAATATGTATTTAATTATTCTTAATTAAACTATATACTTAGTGCCGGTGTATTAATCGATTGTACATCATAGAGCAGTGTATATTACCCCCTCGTGGCATAATTTGTCATGTATAACACTATTTTTTCTTTTTTTTTGCGTCCAACTTTTAGATTTTTATAAATATGTTTTTCATTCTAATCCAATTCAGGTTTTAAATTATAATTTTCTACTGAAATTAATTTAATAACTTATTGATTAATTAATTTCTAGAAAAGAAAAAATTAATTAATTTCTAGAAAAGTAGCAAAAGAAAAAAAAAGGAAAAAATTTTGTTTAGTAACTATTTTGGTTTCTGTTGATCATAAAGTTCCTAAATTGAAAACTGACACAAATGTGATACTTAATCCTATAGGTATAATTTTATTCAAAGCTTAAAGTATTTGACACCTTCATAGAAAAATATTTTTAGAATACCACTATTAGTATCGAAAAACAACTTTAGAAAATTGTCGAAATTTTATTTCTTTATTTTATCTACAAAAAAACCCGAGCTTATAGCTATTTCCTAATTTACACAATTTTTCTAATTAAAAAAAAGCTTTTGATTATAAACACCTTTCTTAGATTTCTGCTTTAAAATCGACTTTTCAAATATATTTTCATTTTGCTTCTGTTGAAGATTTTTAATTTGCACTAATAATGAATTAATTTTTCCTTTGTTTGTTTGTTTGTTTTTTTCACAAATATAGCTTTCGTTCCGATTGTAGGCAGTCCTTTAGAGAGTCCTAGGATGTCATCCAGTCCACATTTTGCTTTTGCTCCAATAAAAAGGTATCTATTTTTGCCTAATTAAATTTTTATTTATTAAAAATGAAGAAAGAAGAAAAAGAAGAAGAAGTGAAAAGTTTGAAATAATATGACGATGACGACAATTCTAAACACAGTAACTTTATATTTTTGGCTGTCTTTTAATCAATAATAAAATACTGTGAGATATATTTTACAATGATTAATATGACTTTTATTTAGTACTCTAAGAATAGTAAAGAAATATAAATATGTGTCATTGGAGGTTGGTAACTAAAATGTCTCAATTTCTTTTTTTCTTTTTCGACAAATCAATTAATGGATGTTTGTATTTTTTTTTTAAATAGAATTGGAGGAGCCGCTTCAGGTTCGGCAGATGGAAGACGATGGTCTGTGGCAAGTTTACCATCGAGTGGTTATGGAACAACTCCTGGTTCTAGTAATGTTTCGGTAAATATTTTTGATTTTATTTCAATAATTCAATTTATTGATTAAAATTAAAATTTTAATTTTTTGTCGCGATTTTACAGTCACAGTGTTCTAGTCAAGAACGTCTCCATCAATTACCAAATATACCAACAAAAGATGAATTGCGAATGCTTTCTTGTCATTTTTCCAAACCTGGAACACCATGTTCGTCACATCCTGGATTTCCAGGTACGAATTTTTCCGGTATTCCCGGAAACGGAGCAAGTCTCGATGAAGAGGGTCGAATGTCACCGTTGCATCGTCCCCGATCTCGAAGTTTAAGGTCTGTTTGTAGAAACTATTTTTTACGCACAAGATATTTTTTTAAATTTTTTCTAAATTTTTGACACTTTTACAGTTCTCCGAGTCGTTCGCCAGTAATGGATAATGAAATTGTTATGATGAACACACTTTACAAGGAACGATTTCCAAAGGTGAGTTTTCTTTTAATCTCGTAAAAACTAAAAAGGTATTTTTAAACAACTTTATGAAAAAATCTACGAAATATTTTATTATAGGCAACGCAACAAATGGAAGAGCGTTTAACCAACTTTATCAACGAGAATAAGGAGATTGATGAATATGAAGTTGTTTCGCAAATGACACCAGATTCTCTGCCAATTTTGAGATTTGTTCATCATCAGGTCATCGAAATGGCGAGAGATTGTTTACAGAAGGCTCAGGAGAAATTAGTGACAACAAGGTACTTTTATGAGATGAGCGAGAATTTAGAACACTTACTAATGGAGGTTTGTATTTTTATTAAAATTTAATTAGTTAATAATTAACCCTTTAAGTGCCGATTGCAAAAAGTCCGTCAAATCTTTTCCATGGACCTTAAGGGGTTAAGTAAGTTAACATCTAGTTAATAATTAAGTAGATTAATAAATAATAATAAAGTACTAATAAGAATACTAAATTTCAGACGAAGGACAAGTCTTTAGAAGCAGCAGCACGTTTAACTGGATTAATAAAGAAGCTTCTTTTAATAATATCCCGACCTGCTAGACTTTTAGAATGCCTCGAATTCGATCCTGAAGAATTTTATCATTTACTCGAACAGGCCGAAGGGCAAGCTAAATTTAATGCAGGAATTAAGACTGATATCCCCCAATACATCATTAATAAATTATCTTTGAATAGGGATCCAATTTCAGGTTTGTGTAAAAATTTAATATTTATTTAGTACTCAATATTTGATAGGATTAAATTGGCAGTATTATAATTGTAAATATAACAATGGTAGTAAATGAAAGCAAATTTTCTCCCTCATTTTAGAATTACAAGAAGATTTGAACAAATTAGAGGACTCGGCGAGTTCGAGTGATAGTAATTTACAATTAACATCTTCGAGTCCCAACAAGGAAGATGATAATATTAGATCGCAAAAGATTCCAAGCGAAAGTGATTACGAAGTTTTAAAACATATCAGCAATGGTGCTTATGGCGCGGTTTATTTGGTTAAGGAAAAATCCACGAAACAGCGATTCGCCATGAAGAAGATTAATAAAAATAATCTTATGCTGAGAAATCAAGTAGAACAAGTTTTTGCTGAACGCGATATAATGAGCTTCACGGACAACCCTTTTGTAGTTTCTATGTATTGCAGTTTTGAAACAAAGGTATTTTCGATTCTCAGTTTTTGCTTTTATTAATGATTCGATTTTGATTTTTTCAAGTCAGAAACACTTTTTATTTTGTTTTCGAAATTTGTTATTCGAAACGAGAAGTGTTCACTAGAAACGTCAAAATTGTTAAAAATTAATCTAAAGATGAAAATATTAATTTTCTTCATATAATAATTTTCTTTTCAGAAACATTTGTGTTTAGTTATGGAATACGTTGAGGGTGGTGATTGTGCCAATCTTTTGAAAATCATAGGCCCACTGCCTCCCGATATGGCCAGATTTTACTTCGCGGAGACAGTTTTAGCTGTCGAGTACTTACACAGTTACGGTATCGTTCACCGTGATTTAAAACCAGATAAGTGAGTGTTCAGAAAATTCAATTAATTTGTAAAATTAATCGATTCGTGTCATGAAAATTATTCATTTGTTTCCAGTTTGCTCATCACTGCTTTGGGTCATATTAAACTCACAGATTTTGGCCTTAGTAAAATGGGTCTTATGTCCTGTAAGTATTCTGTACATGAAACAATTTTCATTACAAATTATTAAAAATAAAAAAATTTATTATTACTACAAGGTTGCCACAGGTCAGGGAAATCAGGGAAAAAGTCAAAATTTTGTCTGAAAATCAGGGAAAAACAAAATTAAATTTGTGTGGCAACTCTGTACTATTACTATTATCGAATTTAACGTAATATTTTCTATTCAAGTGGCAACGAATTTGTACGAGGGATATTTGGATAGAGATACCAGGCAGTTTTCTGATAAGCAAGTGTTTGGTACCCCTGAGTATATTGCGCCGGAAGTAATTTTACGCCAAGGATACGGAAAGCCCGTGGACTGGTGGTCCATGGGAATTATTCTCTACGAATTTCTTATCGGTTGTGTACCATTTTTTGGTGAAACACCCGAAGAACTATTTGCGCACACTGTCAATGGTAATTTTTTCATTTGCTGACTAATAGATATTTTTGAATTTCAAAAATAGCTACAAAAGAAAAAATAGAAAAAAAAGTGTAGCAAAAGTATAGAATCATAATTTTTTGATATAATAACGTATTTTGCACCGAAGTAACGAACGAATTTTTCTTTGAAAGATGACATCGAATGGCCTGCCGAGGAAGATTGGTCAGTGCAACCGGAAGCGAAAGATATTATCACCGTTTTATTGCAACAAAGTCCTCGAGATCGTTTAGGAACTGGAGGTTCACACGAAGTGAAGGATCATCCATATTTTTATGGCGTCGATTGGAACAGTCTTCTACGACAGAAAGCCGAATTTGTCCCTCAATTGTTGAATGACGACGACACCAGTTATTTTGACTGTAAAACTCTTCCTTTTTTCTAAAACTTGTGGATATTGTGGATATAACTTTTATTATTCAAAATTTTTATTCTATTTTGTTTAATTCTTGAATTTTTGTTTAATTTTATTTAAGAGAAATGAATTTTTAAATTTTATTTAATAGAAATGAATTTTTTAATTTTTTTATAAGAATTTTTCTCTAAAATATTTTTTTTTAATTGAGAAATTATTTTCCAGCCCGAGTCGATCGTTATAATCACGATATTGGTGAGGACACTGACGACACTGATGATTCCCCATTGTTTGGTTCATTTTCCTCCTATTCGCCACAGTCTCGTAAAATTTCCCAAACTCGTCCACCCCTTGCAAACGAGTCTGAATTAGATTACACGAAAAAGCAATTATTTTCCAAGGAATTAGAGAGAATGATGGCGCAATTGTCGCCAAGTTCATCAGCAGTCTCGGTCTCACCGCCATCGAAACTCATCGATAAAATTCAAAATCTCGAGAAAACACCACCATTGAAAAGCAGTCCTTTGGCGAAAACTGAAAAGTCCGATAATTCATTTACAAGTCCGGCTACAATATCTTCTGGCGATTCGCAATTAACGATTGTTAAGAGTGAGGGAACGAGTGGAACTATTTGCCTCAGTACGCCCGAATCATCGCAAACGGAATCCGATGATATTAGTCCACAGATCCAAAGAAAACGCCACATACATTCCCGGGATAAGTTACCCAGGTTCAGTATTTCCATTCATGGTGATGAAATGTGAGTCATTTGACATTGATCAAATTATTTTGTGTTTCAAAAATTTTGTCAAAATTCAATCTTTTTATTTTTGTTTCTGATTAATTTTTTTACAAAATTCGATTTATAAAAGTTATTTTTATTCATGCATGTTTTTGAACATTTTTTTATTTCAATCATGAATTTTTATTTTACACTTTCATTTTTTGCCTCTTTAATTTCTCTCATAGAATCATTCTCAAATGTATGAAAAATCAATAATTGGAAATTTTTATTTAAATTTCTCTTTGCTTTTTTTTAGATTGGATTTAGCAGCAGCGCATAGAGCGTCAACTGAGGAAAAGAATAATTCAAGTACTGACTCATTTGAATCGTTTACACCACTGCCACTTCTACCAAGTGGGAAACAAAAATCTCGTTCTGTGATTAAATCAGCCTCGACTAGTGGATTATCTCTGGTTATTCCAGCCACTGACTTTTCTTGTAAGTGTCTTTATTTTCGGTAAATTTCCTTTCTTTTTGTATTTGTAGTTTTATATAAATAATAATTCAGATGAAGCTTCAGGGACAGGTCAAGCAATCGAATCACCAGGAGGATCATCGACTGCCTCGTCTAGGGATACATCGCCTTGTCGGGAATTAAGTCCTTTGGTAACAAGTCTAAAACCACCAACAATTATTCGAAGGGGTCCTCGCGGATTTGGATTCACGGTTCATACGATTAGAGTTTATTACGGCGACAGTGACTTTTACACAATGCATCATTTAGTCATGGTACGGAAATTTTTATTTATTCTTAATACTAAGAAATATTAGGAAACATTAATTTTTGTAGTAAAAGGCCAAATTAGAGAAAAAATCGTATTTTCAGGCATCGCATTCCTCTACTAAATAATATAATATAATTTATTTGTTTTGAGCAGTTACGCTCTACAAATGAGATACATGCCAACACTCATAATTTACATTCTATAATAATTTAGTACTTTCCATCAATCCCAATACAAACAAATACAACTTATTGGCGCTTTCTTTATTCTTAACATTAAGTACGTCGAGTACAGTTATTCCTCTACTAAAACATACTATTTGCTATTTTTTTACGATTTGATACTATTTTGATACTTTTTTTTTATTTGTTACACTAAAAAGTACTTTTTTCCATGCTTGAGAATTTACACTTCTTTAAACTTTGGTAACAGTTGAAATAACAAAATTATTTAAAAAAATTTTAATAAAGTTAGTGGAAAAAATTCAATATAATTTTAATAAAATTCTTTAAAACGATTCAATTATTTTGACAAATTTTTCGTAATTCAATGATTATTATACTATTTCAATAAACAATTTCGCAAAAGAATTGAATAATTTAAAAAAAATTTTTATAAAATTCTTCTTAGGAATTCAATTATTTTCATAAATAATAAAATTTTCCCAGGAATTCAATTATTTAAAACAGAATTTTCCTTATATTTTTCGAAAAAAATCAATTATTTAAATAGATTTTTATCAAATTTATCACAAAAATTCAATTATTTTCATAAATAATAAAATTTTCCCAGAAATTCAATTATTTGAATAGATTTTTATCAAATTCATCAAAAAAATTTCAATTATTTTCATAAATAATGAAATTTTCCCAGGAATTCAATTATTTAAAACAGAATTTTTATTATATTTTTCGAAAAAAAAACAATTATTTAAATAGATTTTTATCAAATTCATCACAAGAATTCAATTATTTTTATAAATAATAAAATTCTTCTCAGGAATTCAATTATTTTTTATAATTTTAATAATAATCGTTGCAAGAATTCAATTATTTTCAAAAACATTTTAAAAATTCTTGTCAAGATTTCAATATTCTTTATAAATAGTAAAATTCTTTTTCAAAATTCAATTATTTTCAAAAATTTTAATACATATAATTATTGTCAAAATTGCAATTATTCTAAAAAATTTGTCTCAATTCAATTATTTTTAATATCGATAAATTTAATAAAATTTCACAAAAGAATTCAGTTATTTAAAAAAAATCTATAAAATTCTTTCCAGAAATTCAATTATTTTCAGGAATCTTAATAAAATTCTTTGCAAGAATTCAATTATTTTTATAAATATTAAAACTCATTGCAGGATTTCAATTATTTTTAATACAATTTTAAATAAATTCCGCGAAAAATGCAACTATTCTTAAAAATTTTAATAAAATTCATTGAAAGAATTTAATATTTTAACAAATTTTAATAATATGGTTCTTTATAATAATTGAATTGTTTTCAATATAATTTTAATAAAATTTTTTGATAGAATTTAATTATTTTCATAAATAACATACAATTTTCAAAGAAATTCAATTATTTAAAACACAATTTTTATAAAATTTTTTGGAAAAAATCCTTTCTTTAAAAAGATTTTTTAAAATTCTTCTCAAGAATGCAATTATTTTAAAAACTTTATTAAAGTTTGATGACTAAAATTGAATTCTTTTCATAAATAATAAAACTTATCGCAGAATTTCAATTATTTTTAATATAATTTTAAATTAATTCCACTAAAGAAGCAATTATTCTTAAAAATTTGAATAAAATTCTTCGAAAAAATTCAATTATTTAAAGAAATTTCATATAATTTATTTCTGAGAGTGTAATATATAATTATTTTCATTTCATTTTTAATTACATTTTTTGCATGAGTTTAATTATTATCAAAAATTTTAATGCAATTCTTCGCAAAAATTCTATTATTTTAAAAAATATTGATAAAGTTCTTTATACGAATTCAAATTTAAGAAACATTCCATTATTCAATAAATTAAATTTTGTATTTAAATAATTGAATTCTCGTAGAACTTTCTAATAAGAATTGATTTGGAATTAAATAAAATAAATGATTAAAGTTTTGAATAATTTTATTCATAAATTTCAACTAAAAAAATGATTGAATTTTGAGAGAATTACTTTTGTAATTTTTAGAAATAGTTAAATTTCAAAAATGCGTTACCTACATTGAAATCATTTAAAATATTTTAATTCCTGTAGACAAAATAAATAAGTATTTAAATTTTTATTTTAAAAGAATTATTCTATTTTTGAATGTAATTAAGAAAATATAATTCATTTAAATATTATATAAAATTCAGTCAAGTTTCATTTTTCGATAGCTACTTTTTTACTACTTTTTTCTGTTTTTAAAGTTTAAACTACTTTTTGCTACTTTATTAAAATTAATGATCGAGTACGAAGTCTGTATTTTGATCTTTTATTGCAAAATGTAATTATTAAACAGTTTTTAACAAACAGCAAATATTATTAAATATGATTTCTAATTATCACTTCTAATTATATAGGCAGTGGATCAACACAGTCCCGCTTTTGAAGCCGGATTAAGACCTGGCGATTTGATAACTCACATAAATGGTGAACCAGTACAGGGTCTCTATCACACTCAAGTTTTGCAACTAATGTTAAGTGGTGGCGATCACATAACATTACGTAGCACACCACTGGAAAATACGAGTATTAAAACTGGTGGTCGTCGACGAGAATTGCAACAGAGTAAAATGGCGCGGAAAACTTTACACAAACAACGAAAGCAGAAGCGCGATCATTCGGAGAAGAAACGGAAAACGTCACTATTTAGGAGAATCAGCTCAAAGCGTGCGAGCGTCGAAATGCAACAGGCATGTAAAAGAAAATAGGAAACTTTTTCCAAAAAAAGCAAAATTTAATATTGTCAGCACTGATACATTCAATTCAGAATTTCAGACCTTTATTAACTTTCGATAAGAAAGATTTTAATTAAATTTTCACAGTTTCATCTATTTTTTTTTTTTTTTTTTGATTGAATTTGCACGTTGTAAAAAAGCACAACACTTGTAGTATTATCAATGAAACATGTTTTTCCCTTTTTTCAAAAAAACAGAATTGTGAATCATGATACATGACACTTATACCTTAGCCATGCTAAGCGCATTTTTATCTTTTATTGCAGCCATTAAGTATCAGTTGTCCTTTGTCAGCACCCATTCTACCCAGTGACAGCAAACCTCCACTTATGGTATGATTTTTCTCGTCACATTTTATTTGCCTTGATTTTTATCTGATTAATTATTGCTCGAAGAAGAAAGAAAAAAAGAAAGAACATTTTTTGTGTGTTATTGCTTTTGCACTCACACGCTTTTGAATTTTACATTAAACAAATTAAACACATACACTGAAATATAATGTAAATATATTTTCTTCTAGTTCAAATTAATAATAGTAAGTAAATAGAGTAAAAAAAAAATCTCCAAGATAATGAAGAAATTTTCAATTTTCCAGATGGCTGTGGGAATGTGTTCACCTTCAATGGTATCAGCTAGTCGATCATTTCAATCGTTTACACGATCTCTTCCAGCTCAGCAGCAAGATGCATTTGTGTATTATGGTGGATCATCAAAGGCAACATGTAATCCGTCCTCATCGACTAACCGTCCTAATTCGGAATCATATCATTCGGCTGGAACATCAAGTCCATGTTCAAGTCCAAATTCATCATCTCCAGCTTCGAGTAGTTCCATTGGAAATATGTCAAATTTATCGAATCAATCACATTATCAGCGACCAAGTACTTTGCATGGATTGAAACATAAACTTCATACTGCTGCTAAGAATATTCATTCGCCAAATAGAAGAAAATCGGTAGGACATATACCATTATCGCCATTGGCAAGAACTCCTAGTCCATCACCAATTCCCGCTAGTCCGACTAGAAGTCCAAGCCCTTTGACATTCCCCACTGGACATCAGCCAGGCAGCTCCAATACGACCCAGTCTTACAGTCCAGGTATAAATCTTTCTATTTCAAAAAAAGATTTTTATTATTATTTATTATTTATTATTTATTATTTATTATTTACTATTTATTATTTATTATTTATTATTTATTATTTATTATTTATTATTTATTATTTATTTTTTATTTTTTTTACCTGATGAGGTTGCTAAAAGGCATTGAAACGTTTTCCAAAAAATAAAGATAAATACCGTATAAAAGCCTTGTAAAATTTACTCAATCAAAGATTTTTCTTTTTGTTGCATTCTTTTTTTGAATTATTCCTTTTTTCATAATTTTGTCTCGAAAATTAGTTTTCAATTTGTAACGCGTCGCGAAGAAATTTCGAATTTAAACCTTTTGACATTCAATAACTTATAAGAATATCATTATAAAACATGAAGATATCGATCACTCTGAGTCTTCGACTCAGAGCAATCAATTTCTTCATGTTTTATAATAATTAAAGATGACCGAGTGATAAAATAATTATTTTATATTATAAGAATATTGTTACTGTAACTTCTTCAAAATTATTTTCATTATTTCACCTCAATTATTATTTTTAAGAATTATTAACTATAATTCTTCTTTAAATCAATTATTTTTAATAATTTTTAAAAAAGTTCTTTGAGAATTTTCATATCTATTTGTTCAAAATTCAATTTTATGAAATTTCGATTATTCGGAAATTCATTAATTAAATATACATTGGAAAATAAAAACTTGAAATAATTGCAAAGAAAATCAGTTAAACTAGTTCAAAAAAATTAATTTTACAGAATTGTTAGTTAAAAGTATGAAAAATTAAGATTTCTAAAGATTCTGATTTGAAACATTTTCAAAATTAAATATTTCTACAAATTCTTGCTGTCATGCTTTGAATTTCCAATTATCATCTATAATTTTAACAGAAATTAAATTTTGAATAACTTTTTATTAGAAAATTCTACGGAATTCAATTATTTAATTAAAAAAGTAAATAATTTATTGAATAATTGAATGTTTCTCAAAATTGAATTCTCATCAAGAATTTTATCGACAAATTTTTAAATGATTGAATTCTTTTGATGAATTTCAATAAAATTTTTAAGAATAATTACATTTTCAGAGAAATTTGATTTAAATTTGATTAAAAATAATTGAAATTCTGCAATGAGTTTTAATATAATTTATTATGAAAATAAATGGATCAATGTAAAAAATTTCATTATTTATAAAAATAATTGAATTATTGCCAAGAATTTTATTAAATTTACTGAAAATAATTGAATTTTTAGAAGGAATTTTGATATTTATCAAGGTAGGTAATTGAATTCTTTCGAAGAATTTTATAAAATTTTTTTTATAATTGATTTTTCCGAAAAATTTGTGAATTCTTTTTTAAATAATTGAATTTCTGTGAACTTTTAAATTATTAAAAAAAAAAATTGAATGTTTGCGTACAATTTTATCAAATTTTTTTTTAATTAACTGAATTCTTTCGTGAAATTTTATTAAAATTGACGATATTGAAAATTGAATTGAGACGAAGTTTTGAAAATAATTGAATTTCAAAGAAGAATTTTGTTATTTATAAAGATAATTGAAATCTTGACAAGAATTTAAAAAATATTTTTGAAAATAATTGAAATTTTGACAAGAATTTTATTAAAATTTTTGAAATTACATACCTAATTGATTTTCAAAGAAGAATTTTGCTATTTATAAAGATAATTGAAATCTTGACAAGAATTAAAAAAAAAATTTTGTAAATAATTGAATTTCCGTAAAGATTTTTATAACTTTTGAAAATAATTGAATTTCTGTGAATAATTTTATTACTTTTGAAAATAATTGGATTCTTGTGATGAATATTGTTACTTATGAAAATAATTGAATTATTGCGAAGAATTTTATAAAATATTTTTAAATAATTGATTTTTTGCTATAGAATTGTCAATTCTCTTTTAAATATTTGAATTCGTGTGAAATTTTAAGTATTTATGAAAATAATTGAATATTTACCTAGAATGTTAATAAAATTTTTTTTAAAAAGCTTAATTCTTTCGGAAAATAATATTAAAATAGTAAATATTGAAAATCATTGAATTGAGACAAATTTTTGAAAATAATTGAATTTCAAATAATAATTTTGCTTTTTATAAAGATAATTGAAATCTTGACGAGAATTTTTAGAAAAATATGGAAAATAATTGAATTTTGGCGAAGAATTTTGTTATTTTTGAAAATAATTGAATTTCTCCGAATAATTTTATTACTTTTGTAAATAATTGAATTCTTGTGATCAACTTTTGTTATTTATGAAAATAATTGAATTTTGCAAAGAATTTGATTAAAATTCCTGAAAATAATTGAATTTCTTGAAGGAATTTTGATATTTATTAAGATAATTGAATTCTTTCAAAGAATTGCATTTAAAATTTTGAAATAATATTAAATTTATATTAAACAATGATCTTAACAATGTGCTCATATTTGCAAGATGCTTCTTCTTTCCTCTCTTTGCGTTTAATTATAAATTCTCTTTGTATTAAAATTATTTGATGAATTCTTTCATTTTCGAAATTTTTTATATTAAAAAAAAATGTTGTTTTCTCGAAATAATACTATTTGTGCCATTCAGGGGTGTCAATGTCAACGCCGAACAATCAGAAGAAAAGTTTCAATCGACCGAAATCGGCAGAACCCGGTTCACCGCTATTGAGACGTGCACTGAGTCCTGATCGGCTTCATCCACGTTCGGCGGAGAATAAAACGTCGATCTCACCATTAGCAAATACTGTAGTTAAAGTAAATCCTCGTGTAACTATTGCGCAAACGTCCAATACAGCCACTGAAGACGTGAGTGATATAACAAAAGAAAGTAATGAATCTAAGACTGATAAAAAGGCAGCGTGTGAGCAAAAAGTGACAGCCGATTATACAAAATTAACACACGGAATATCGATAAATATTGGCAATGTTGTAATATCGAATTCCTGTGGAAGTACACAACTTCCAAGAATAGCTGAGGAAAAAGATTCACCCACCGGTACAAAAACCGATGATTATTCATCGAAAGTTGGTGAAATTTGCGAAAGCATGGCAAATGAACAATTACAGGAATCAACGAAAGATGATAATGAAAATAATTCGAATCGACAGAAAACCATTAAGGAAGAAATCCTGCCTGATGAATCAACATCGATCGTAAAGAAAAAAGATGAGGAAGTTTTAACGAAATCCGATAAGAATATCGCCACTTCTTCAACTTCGTCAGGTACGTCGTCATCATCAGCTTTTAATAAAAATATTGTAGAATCGAGTCCAGAGTGTAGGAAAATTTTAAAACGTTATAAATTTGAAGGTTTAAGTTTCGGCCTCACTTCACATGATAAAATGAAACAGGATTCGGGAGAAAACAAGAAAAACAAATAATTTCCAATTGAATTTTTTTTGCTTTCTTTAAAATTCTTTTTTTTAAATTTGTAATTATATTTTTATCATTTATTTTGGATCCGCGTATTTACACAGTTTCAATACAAAATTAATTTTTGATTTTGTTAATAATCTCTAGTCAAAACATTCAAGAAAAAAAAAATGCTCTTTGTATTAAATGAAAAAAAGTACGAGAACTGGGAAATTGAAATTTAAGTTATTCACGTTTCGAAATTTCGAGATAATTTAATTTAATTGACGAAAAATAATATTTAAAAAAATGTGTATACATTCTTAATTAAAAGAAATATGTGGAAAAATATTTAGTTTTCAAATTTAGTTGTTTTAGGGAATTTCAGTTTTTTTTTAAATTCATCTCGTACGAAAAGAAAATTAATTCATTTCAGCTTTTATTTCGAATAACAGTCCGAATCTAATTCGAATTAAAGGGAATAAAATATAATCAAACTTTTTCTTATTTTCAACAATATTATTAAATTCGAAGATAAAAATGAAAAGTTTTTTTTTTTTAGAAAATAGCGAAATTGTCTTTAGCAAAATATTTTGTGATAAAATAAATTCAAGTTTATATTTGAATTTAAATATTTACAAATATATTTTTCTAAAGATCCAAAAATCATCGATTAAAATTTTGCTGCTTTAAATAACACTTTTATAATTATAAATTGTTACGTTATATCTTTATTATAATTAACAACAATAATCAATTTTTATCAGAAATTTATAATGTGAAATAAGAAAAATTAATTTTCATTCTTTTTATTCATGAAAAAAAATGAAATATATATTTTATACATTTTCTACAATTTGAAATATTAGCTGAAATAGATTTAATTGATTGTCCTTATAAATAAATCAACCAAGATCTGTTAATCCGGAATATTTTTAAATATATATTTTAAATAATCAAAAATGTGGACTGATGCAGAAGCTTAAAATGCTTGAATGAAAAGCGATGGAGATTATAATTGAAAGATTAAGAATCGATCCTTCGAATTTTATGAAACTGCTTTCAGTGCCAATTATTGATATATATCTCTATGTGCACGATAAAATAATAAACTGTCGATGTAACAATAATATTTCCATAAGTTTCACGAAAAAAAAAATAATAATTAAGTAGATATGTCTACGAAATGTATCAAAAAAAAAAAGTAGAATTTCTACGCTGTAAATATGTAAATGTTTTCAATTAAATACATGCAGGAAAATTTTCATTTGAAAATGTGAAAACTTGTTTAATTATTATATTATTTTTGGTATCAAAAGTCTTAAAATGATATTTTTTTTAATTCTCCATAAGTAATTAAAAATAATTGTCAGTAATTGATTGTCAGTTAATTGATAATATTAAACTTATAATTGAGAATTTATCAATTAATTGTTATGTTAATTTAATAATTAAATAATAAATTAATAATTGGGAAATTATTAATTATTAATAAGTTAACAATTAAAATAGTTAATTTAATTTTTTTCTCAATTAATAATTGAGAAATTATTAAATACTAATAATTATTGAATTATTAATATTAAGTTGAGAAGTTAATAATCAAATAGTAAATTTATCAATTATTTTTTTATATTAAGTCAATAATTAAATAGTAAATTAGACAGAATTTGTTTTTTTAATTTATTATTCGAAAATTAAGTTCAACATTTTTATATTTTATTTTCTCTTGAAAAATTTCATTAACTGACAAGTTTTCACAATTAAATTGTTCATTATCCTGTTAATGTATTATTAGTTGTAAGATTCTTTCTTCCCTTATTCAATATTGTAAATACGATTAAATTTCTAATCATATGACATAATTGAATAGTGACGAGAAAGAATATTCATTAAAATATGTGATTCTTTAATTTAGCATAATTAAAAAAAATCTCTTTAAATTTTGAATGATTCACAATTCTCTGGTTTATAGAAATTAATTATATTTGTTCAATTATAATCAGAATTTTTTTTAAATTTAAGTGTTTTCTATACGCATTTTGTTAGTGCGCTGGTCGCTGTATTCTTTATTAGAGAAGTTGTTTATAATTAATAAAAAAGGTATCATAGTGAAATGAGACAAATTGAAAGGGAATTAATTTATTAATTAATTAATTAATTTCTGAGAGGCTCAACATTTTTAATTTAATTAAAACAATATTGAGAGATAAAAACATTTTTTATTTAATTAAAACAATATTGTGAGAGAAAAACGAACTTCATTTTCAAATAGTTATTAAAAATTTATTTCATTAAAATTTGCAAACAGTGACTAATATTTTTTAACTTAATTTCGTGAAAATAATTCCTTTTTTGATAAAAATCCCTTTTTTGTTAGAAATATTTGACTAGGATAACAATTATTTTAAACTTAGACACATTTGAATTACTTATAATGTTGAAAATAATATTTTTACGAGAATAATTATTGTTAAAAAAAAATTGTTGTATATAATTTGATATTAAGTAATTTATAAATATCAGTAATAATTTCTCTAAAAGAATTAAGCTGTGTGAGAATTGGTATACATTTAAAATTTGTTATCAACTTTTTCTAGATCAGAGAAAATAATTTTATCAATTTGTTATATAAATGTGAATAAAATTGTTTAAAGCGTGTCATTCAAGAATTTAAGGAGTTAAAATTTTGTTATAACAGAATGAATTTCTGTTTAACAGAATTTAAATTTTGTTTCCTCTTCACCAGTTTTAGGTGAAGAGAAAATATATTTAAAGTTCTCAACTTTTGACTATTTTTTTTTTAAAAATTTTATTTTATAAAATCTGTCAAAATTAATTTTTACAAACATTTTTTTGTCCCTAATAGTTTAATCAGTTTGAAAATTGCACAAAAATTTATTTAAACTTGGAAAAAAAAAATTTCCGTCGACATGTTTAGAACTTTAAAGAAAAATATATTATGAGAAAAAAAAGCGTGCTATTGTTAATAGTAATTTTTTTTGTTATTTGCCATTCCGTCAATTTTGCAGTTTAGGATTGAAAATTGAATAAGAACGGAATGGTTCAATATTAAAGTAGTAAATAAAGTAGTTTCAATTGTAGAATGCTGATACAAACGGTATTAAAAATAGCTTTTTATTTTCATTATTTGTGGTTTTTTTAGTTTTTTCGCAAAATTTTCTTTTTCTCTTATTGAGATTTTGGAGAAAATTGACGTGGAAAAATGTAAAAAAAAACGCAAATGTAGAAAATAAATCTACTACCTATAGATATCTGCGCTAAAAATACAGGAAAATAAATGTCAAATTTTGATTTGTTTTTTATCCGAACAAATATTGTGTACAATGTTTAGTATAATATTCCAATATACGAAAATACTTAATTTTCTGTGAAAATATTACAAAAAGGTGAAGAAAAAAAATTTCCATAGCTTTATTAAGAAGAAGATGATGATGATAATAAATAAGAAATCTACAGTCCTGTGAAAAAAATGTGTGTGATGAACTTGAATTGTATAAGTAAATGTTTTTTTTTTAAATGATTTTCAGAATATTTTTGATTTTTTGTTATTGTACTGCATTCTACTGTTCTTTTAAATTTTAGGAAGATTAAGACAGATTCAGTGATATACGTATAATATTGTCGAATGATTAAAATATTCTCTTAAAATAAATGTGTTCCAGATGTATTAAATTTTTTAGTAATATAGGTAGCATAATAACGTTTGTTCTTTATTATTTTTCAATTGGCGCAATATATACATAGAATGAATCCCGTGTTTCTTAATAAAATATTATTGAAAATACTAAATAAGTAAATTAATATTTATTTCCATATATATCAATTTTATGATCAATTTTTTTATCTATTTTAATTATTTTAATTAGGGAGAATTTAATGAAAATTTACACTTTTTTATTTAATTATACAATTTTTTGTTTTATAAATAATTCTAAAATTCTCCTTTTCTAATTAGGTAGTTCAGATTATTATTTTTAAAAATTATTAAGTTTACTAGCAAATTCTTGTCTATTATTATTCAAAAATTTTAATAACATTTTTCGCAAGAATTTCATTATTCTCATAAATAATAATATTTTTTAGAGCAATTCAATTATTTTCAATACAATTTTAATAAAATTTCTCGAAAGAATACAATATTATTTTTAAAAGTATTATTTAAATTTAATTATTTTCAACAATTCTGATAAAATTCATCGAAACGATTCAATTACTTTTGTAAATAATAAAATTCTCCTTAGAAATTCAATTATTTCAAATACTATTTTAATAAAATTTCTCGAAAGAATAAAATTATTTTTAAAAATATTATTTTAATTCAATTATTTTCAAGAGTTTTAATAAAAATTTAATTATTTTTAAAAGTTTTAATAAAAATTCAATTCTTTTCAACAATTCTGATAAAATTCTTGTCAAGAATTCAATTATTTTTATAAATTATAAAATTCTTGTCAAGAATTCAATTATTTTTATAAATGATAAAATTCTTGTCAAGAATTCAATTATTTTTGTAAATAATAAAATTCTTCTGATAAATTCAATTATTTTCAATTCAATTTTAATAAAATTTCTCTAACAGTTTCAATTATTTTTAAAAATTGTAATAAAATTTTTCTAAACAACTCAATTGTTCTCAAAAGTTTTTGATAAAATTCTTTGTAAATTTCAATTATTTTCAACAATTCTGATAAAATTCTTGTCAAGCATTCAATTATTTTTATGAATTATAAAATTCTTGTTAAGAATTCAATTATTTTTGTAAATAATAAAATGTTTCGGAGGAATTCAATTATTTTTAATACAATTTTAAATAAAATTTTTCTAACAATTTCAATTATTTTTAAAAATTGTAATCAAATTTTTTTTTTAAATTTAATTTAACACGATTATTTAAAAAAATTAAAAGAAAATCTTCTTAAAATTCAATTACTTTTAAAATTTTCAGTAAAAAATATTTTAAAAAACTTTATTATTTTCAAGAAAATTGAAATAAATTGTTCAAAACAATTCAATTATTTTAAAGAATTTTAATAAAAATCTTGCCAAAAATTAAATTATTTTCAATGATTTTCAGTACATCAATAAATTTTGAAATTGAAAACATTTAAAAAGGAGAATTATTTAAAAAGTTAGTAAACAAAAAAGCAAACAGCTTTCCTAATTAGGTTTCTAATTAGGTAGTTCAGATTATTATTTTAAAAAAATTATTAAGTTTATTAAATAAATGAAAATTCGAATTTTAATTTTCGCGCGTTGCAATTCGATTGGCGAATAATTCGGGAAAATTGATTGGCTGCACTGACTCTTTCTTTTTTGTCATTATAACTTCCCAACCCTGTCATAGTAAACAATGGTAAACAATCACAATCGTAAATCGTAATACGAGTTTTATTAATTAGTTGTTAATTAGTTTCTAATTTATAATAGAAAGTATTTATTATTCGTTTTCGAATATTAATTTTTAGTTTTTTATTATTTCATTCTTTGGGAAAGACGACAAACATGTTTTTCTATTCATTCCTAAAATGTAAATTTCCCTAACTGAAGGGCAGACTTTTATTGAAGAAAGAGTCCGAAAGATGAAATTTTTGCTACAAAAAGCAAAAGAATAATTTAATTTTATGCATTTCTTATTGCACATTGAAATAAATCCCTTCGAATTTTAGTGTTTATAGTATAAAACAGACAGAATTGTTTGTAATCTGAATCAATACATAATAAGTACATTAGTTCTGTGTCAGCAAGAACACTTTATAATATTAATTTCTTGAATATAAAATACAATACAATTGGTATTAATTTCTTGAATATGAAACATAATATCGATTTCTTGCATATGAAAAACGATTCTGATTTTTTTATTACAAAAGTTATAATGAACGAAAGAGAATTGTACTCAATTGGCGAAATTTCTTTGAGACATCATCTCTGGAATTCACACGAGAAGAAAAAAAGAAAATATTACAAATAAAGTAAGTATTGGCAATTTTTATTTATTTCTCCATTTTTTATCAAAATTTATCTTTTGGATTTAATATAAAAATAGAAAAAATTGGAAATTCCTCAGGACATCAAAATATCAATAAATTATCTTTCTTCCCATGGACCGCTTATTGAGGATAGAATTTTAAAAAGACTAGATAAACATTATGTGCTATATGTTTATCTTCCAAAGATCAGTTTGCAGAAGGGAAAAATAAGAATTATCTAAAATTGACACAAACTTGGACAACAGAGAATTCTTAAAAAGAGGAGAATTATAGTATTATATCTTATCAGCGGCTTTAGGACCTTTCGACCTCCCTATATCCGTTCAAATCCGAGACACTCGGACCTTTGACTGGCACATGTTCATCGCAGAGAGATCACATCACATTTATGATGAAGTTCATTCTCTCGGCTTGAATGATCCGAACAGGAAGTACTTATTTAAGTGTTAGTAAACGAATCAGTTACTGAGATCGAGTTGTAAATTTGTTTTTCTTTTTTGTTATTATTGTCGTTGTAATTAAATTCTCTTTGTTTTTTTTATAGTTCTAAAAAGTGAGAGACGTCGTTAACTTCCAACAATTTGAGTTCTTCTTACAAAAAATAATGAAGAGAGCGGTTTATAATTGACAACAATCATGCACTTCAATAATTTATTTTTCTCTGGGATTTTGTGGACTATTGTTTTTGTATTTGTAACTGTTAATGGAGGTGAGTGCAAAAAACAGTCTGAAAAGTTTATTTAGAAAAAAATAGGAATTAAATTTGTCTTTTACTCTTTATAGAATAAAATAAATATAAATAAAAATAATTAATTAAAAAGAAAGTTCTATATAATGAATCCTAAAGTTTTAACGTTTGAATGAAACTTATTTGTTTTTTCTATAAATTAATTTTTTACTGCAATAATTTTGGGTCACTGACAAAAAAATTTTTTCTAAATGTGAAATTTCAGTTTTTGATTTTTAGTGCAATCAGTAATGAAAATATTTTTAATAACGAATATTTCTATTATTTGAACGTTCAAAACTTGCGGATTACTTATAATAATTTATAAATAAAATCAAAATAATAATTTAAAATAAAAATAAAATTAGTAAATTATTTTGAATGAAGTTATTAGTTTTATTGATAACTGAATATAAAGGTTTTTATTACAACTTATCGTATCAGTGAAAAATTAAAATTTTATTGAGTTTTAGAAATATTTCCCGCCATTTGGTTGAAAATTGAATTTTAATTTTAATTCTAAATTCAAAAACTCGAAAATTTTAACTGAACGAGTATTATAATTTGCATATTCTTATCTTCTTTTGTATTATGAAACATTTCGTCAATGAAAGTGGAGATATTTTGTAATACAGAATAATTTCGCAGAAATGTTTGTCTTGTAGAAATTGTGCACTAAACGTCAATGAAAATTGTATTTTCAATTTTCTTTTTTTCTTTTTAAGAAATTTTATTTTGCCTTTTTCTTCCTTTAAGATTTCTGGGATTTCTTTTTTATTTTTAAATTTAAACAAAAATCGTTTTTCAAACATTTTTCAAATTATTAAAATTTAAGAGAATTAAAATTATTTTCTTTTTTGTCTTTTTCTTCCTTTAAGATTTCAAGGGTTGTCCATTTTCTTTTCTATTTTTAAATTTAAATAAAAATCGTTTTTGAAACATTTTTCTAATTATTAAAATTTTAGAGAATTAAAATTTTGAGAATTAAAATTATTTCTAAAATTTCGTTTATAGAACTTTTAGGGAAATTATCGTCGATATTTCAAAAGCTTTAATGACTATAATCCAACTGATATAGAGGATTGACCGCAAATTATTTAAACTTCTTCATGTCATTCACTTAAGTGAGTTAGCCGCGATTTTAAACATCAATCAGCTTCTTACAACTCACTCAAATAAAAAAGTTTATGGGAAACATCCTGATTCTAATAAAAGTCCCCTCGAGAAAATATTTTTTATTTACTATTATATTATAGTTTCATCTTTATTATTATTGTTTGTTTTCTTGTTATTTATTCGTTTTATTATTATTGATTATTATTTGTTACAATATTTATTTATTTACTATTTATAGTAAATATTTATTTATTATTTATTGCAATATTTATTTATTATTTATTATAATTACTTTAATGATTGTAACAATGACAATAATGATAGTAACAATAGTAACGAAAATGAATATATATTTTAATAGTAAATTAATAGAATTTTTTTCGAAACTATATTCTAATTGCAATTATTATAATGATAATAAATCTTGTTTATTCGAAAAGTATTTGAATAGTTTACATTTCCCAATATGCTTATCTGACTAACACACATATTTTAGTGATGATCTCTTAAGATTGATGCAAATTTTTCAAAATAAAATTCAATTTCACTGAATGATGATATTATTGCGACTTTTCCTCATTAATCATGAATTTATATTTTAAAATATTTTTTCCAAGAAATTGATAATTTTTTTCTTTTTAATTAAAAAGCGGGAAACTATTTATTTATTTATTTATTGATGTTTTTTCAGATATCAGCAAAGATTCATCATTATGCGGTCGTATGACGTGCATCGGTAAGTTTATTACCTTTCAAAATTTCGGGACTGATACTTTAGAAACTGAAAATTTTGTAAATATAATTTTAAAGCACAAAATATTTATTTTTTCCATCAGAATAGCAGACTTTGTACTGAAAGAAAAAAAATGAAAAAAAATGAATTTTAAAAAAGTAGCAAAAAAAAAAGACTCGGAGTGATCGATTTCTTTATGTTTTATAATAATAATTAAATTTCTTTTTCTGTTTTTTTAGTTCCGGCAGAGAGAAAATTCAAGTACAACGAGAATTTATATTATCAGTATCAGTATAAAGTCGATATAAACACAAATTTGGGAGAACAAGATGAAAATCGACGAGACGAGTCAACATTATTTATTGATACAATAGCGACAGTATATTTCACGAGTCCCTGCGAAGGATATTTGAAATTAAGTAACGCAAGCATCAGTCATGAAAAAATACACAATCCCGATTTTCCCGATCGAGCTGGCGGTGAATTTAAATCGAGCTTGGAGCGAAACACTTTGCGTTTCGCCTATGACGATGGAATCATACGCGAAGTTTGTCCAAATTCCAACGAAGAAATATGGGTACTTAACATCAAACGTGGTATATTGTCAATGCTGCAAAATTCAATGCTGAGATTCGATGTCGATCGTCGTGTTGATGAATTGGACGTGAATGGAATATGTGAGACACGCTATCAACTTCATGAGGCAAAAAAGACCAGTCTTCTTATCAAGAAGACGAAAAATCTCGCCGGTTGTACACACAGTGCAAAACATCTTTCTATCATCCAATCGCAAACCTATCGCAGTCCATTGTCACAATCGAAAATTGCACGACAACCTTTACTTAAATCGTTCAGCGATTGTGAAATTACGATTGATCATAATATTTATGAAAAAGTTGTTTGCAATGATTCACATCAATTTCAACCGCTTTCGAATGGTGATGATGCGGGTGTTCGTACGAATGTTAGTGTGAGTTTACAGCTAATTTCCGAAACGGCGAATATTGATTTGGATCAATTTTCAAATGAGGATGATGACAATGCTAGTAGGGAGAATATTAATTATACACAGTTGCATTATATTCATGGAAAGAGGACTAATTTACTTTATGATCATGGAAAGTCGCCGAAAACAATTCATGGGGAATTACGAACGTCACGGGATCTTTTGAAAAGTATGTGTAGACATGAAATTTTGGAGGAAGTTCAACAGAGTTTTTCGGAATTATTCACGAAATTTGTACATTCGGCGAGGATGTTGGATTATTCGTCGTTGTCGCAGATGTTTAGCAGGGCGAACAGCATTTGTAAAACCAGCAGGTACGAAGTATTTTCATTGTTATTTTACTTCATTAAATCCAAAATCTTCTTTTTCTTTTTTTTCTTTCTCTTTTTCCTTTTCTGTATCTTTTTCATTTTCCTTCTTATTTTTTTCTCTTTTTCTTTTTCTTTTCCCTTTCCCTTTTCATTTTCTTTTTTTTCTTTCTCCTTTCTTCTATTTCTATTCTCTTTCCTTTACTTTTTCGTTTCCATTAATTAAAACTATGAGAAAAAATTTCTCTTACTTCTTTTTTTCAAATTGAATAAATAAAAAATTTATCCATTAGTTAAAAATTACTAGAAATTATTAATTTTTTCTTTTGATTCTTCCAGAGACCAAATTATCAAAGCTTTACCATTCATCGGCAGTAATGCGGCGGTGAATCTAATGAAAGATTTGATAATAAAAAAATACATCAGTCCGGACACGTTAAATACTTGGGTTACTGTTTTCGCCCTGATACCACAGCCGAATCAGGAAACAATTGAAACTCTCGCACCTCTACTCGATTATCAAGAAGAGATGCCAAATGCCCAGTTTATTTTGAGTTATTCGGCAGTAATTCATGCATATTGCTCAATGGATAGTAACTGCCTTAATTTGGAGCCGATTTCAAGCTTTCTTTCATATTTGGAAAAGAAAATCGAAAAAGGATGTGTTCCACGACAACAATCATTATCTGCGATTAAAGAGGTTTTTATTTTATTTTTTATATTAACAGGACTGCCACAGATCAGGGAAAGTAGAATTAGTCAGGAAAAAAGTCAGGGATTTTTATTAAAAGTACTGGAAAAAATTCAATTTTTAGAATTCATGAGAAAGAAAACTATGAAATTACCACGAATTCTCTGATAAAAAAACCTTCAATTTTTTCTATTTCTAACAATAATTTCTTTTTAATTAATTTAATTCTTGAAAAACTATCATAAAACTTTTATTCATAAATTATTTAATAAAGAATTTTACTTAAATATTTAAAAAATAATTCAATTTTAAAAGAGTTGCGTTTACAATTTAATAATTGAATTTTGGAGAAGTTACAAATGATTGCAGAAATTCAATTATTTTCAAAAATTATTAAATTCTTCGCAAAAATTTAATTATGTATTTTCAAAAATATTATTAAAATTTTTATCAAGATTTCAATTATCTTTATAAATAGGAAAATTCTTCACCGAAATTCATTTAATTTCAAATATTTTTATAAAATTTTTGTCAAAATTTCAATTATTTTCAAAACTAACAATATTCGTCAAAAGAATTCAATTATTTTCAAAATTTTTTAATAATTCTTGTCGAAATTTTAATTATCTTTATAAATAATAAAATTCTTCACCAAAATTAAATTATTTTCAATTATTTTTATATAATTCTTGGCAAAATTTCAATTATTTTAAAAATAACAATATTCGTCAGAAGAATTCAATTATTTTCAAAATTTTTTAAAAATTCTTGTCAAGATTTCAATTATCTTTATAAATAGCAAAATTTTTCACCGAAATTCAATTAATTTCAAATATTTTTATAAAATTCTTGGCAAAATTTAAATTATTTTCAAGAATAACAATATTCGTCATAAGAATACATTTATTTAAAAATTTTTTAAAAATTCTTGTCGAAATTTCAATTATTTTTATAAATAATAAAATTCTTCACCAAAATTCAATTATTTTCAAATATTTTTATAAAATTCTTGTCAAAATTTCAATTATTTTCAAAACTAACAATATTTGTCACAAGAATTCAATTATTTTCAAAATTTTTTTAAAATTCTTGTCGAAATTTCCCAAAAGAATTTAGTTATTTAAAAACAATTTTAATAAAATTCTACGTAAACATTTAATTATTTTACAATAATAAAAAATATTTCAGAGAATTTCAATTATTTACAATTTTTTTTTATAAATTTCTTCGCAAGAATTCAATTATTTTCATAAATAATAAAACTCATTGCAGAATTTGAATTATTTTCAATACTATTTTAATAGATTTCCTCGAAAAATGTAATTATTCTTAAGAATTTTACTAAAAGTCATTAAAAGAATTAAATTATTTAAAAATTTGTTTAGAAAATTCTTTATGAGAATTCAATGTTAAGAAATCTTTAACTATCCAATAAATTATTTATCTTTATATTTAAATAATAAAATTCTCGTAGAATTTTCTAATAAAAATTGATTTAAAAATGAATTTTAGTTTAAATTTTAGATAATAATTCAATTTTATATTCAACTATTCAATAAATTATTTATTTTTATATTTAAATAATTAAATTCCCGTAGAATTTTCTAATAAAAATTGATATAAAAATTAATGTTAGTTTAAATTTTAGATAATAATTGTATATCAAAAGCATTATTGCATGAATTTTTAGAAATCATTGAAGTTTGAATAGGTTTCTAATTAAAATCTTTGAAAATCTGAATTTTTCATACTTTTAACTAACAATAAATTCTGTGGAATTAATTTTTTTGAAAAAGTTTAATTGAATTTTTTTTTGAAATTATTTGAAATTTTCATTTTCTAGAAAATATTTAATTGAAAAACTTCTGAATTTTCGAAATTTCATGTAAAATTGAATTGATAAAAAGGGATTTGATAATTCTGAATGAACTGTTTCAAAAATTATTATAAAAATAATTGAATTAAAAAAGAGTTTGCTCGATTATTTTTTACTGACAAAAATTTCATTCTATATTTTCCTGACTTTCTCCTAATTTTCATCGCAAAAATATTTCCTTCTGTCTTATCCTGCTAATAAATTCAACTGCTGCAAAGAATTTTATAATTCAAGAAAGAATTTAAATATTTATAAAAATAATTTAATTCTTGCGAAGAATTTTAAAAACATAATAATAATATTCTTATATTATATAATATAATAACAATATTCTTATAATTTAATTAATTAATATAATTTAATTCTTATAAATATTTAATAATTAATTAATTTAAAAATATGAAATTCTTGCAATGATTTCAGACTTTGGAGGCTTTAAAAGCTATAGGAAACATGGGCGTTGAAAGTAAAACGTTAGTAGAAAAATTACGAGTGTGCATTGAAGATTCCAGTGGATTTCTACCGATGGAAGTGCGTTTGGCCGCTATTGACTCGCACCGGAGACTAAAATCTTGTGAAGAAACAAGAGATGTCTTCTTCCTGGAAAATTATCGCAATTTTACAATCGACTCAGAAGTGAGAATTGCTTCCTATCTGCAAGTAATGCGATGTCCCGATTATCGAGTAATTAAGACAATCAGACACATTTTAGAAGAAGAAGAAGTAAATCAAGGTAATCGTATAAATATTTATTTCTACTAAATATTTAGAAGTGTTTAATATTTATTTCTACTAAATATTTAGAAGTATTTAATATTTTTTTAAATACATTTTTATAAACGTATCTAACTTTTCGATAATCGTATTTTCACTTCTCTTTCGAAAAACAGTCGGTTCCTTCGTTTGGAGTCATCTACAAAATTTACTCTCATCCTCATCGCCAACAAGAGTTGAAATTCAAAGTCTCTTGACGGACAAAGACCTCGGCATTAAATTCAACAGTGATTTGAGAAAATATTCACGAAATTATGATAATTCTTTTTTCTCCGAAGAATATAATTTCGGTGGTAATTATCAGGGTAATTTGATATTCTCCCCAAAATCCTATGTACCAAGACAGGCGACATTTAATTTTACTCTCGATTTATTTGGCGAATCGGTGAATGCATTTCAAATGGACGTAAGAATGGAGGGAATGGAATTCTATATTGAGAGTCTATTTGGACCGAATGGACCATTCAGTGGTGAAATAATGGGAAATCACTTGAAACAATTTTTGAGACAATTCAGATCGGCGCCCGATGAGAGGGAAGACTACTGGAGACAAGTGAATCGATTACCAAATGTGATTGACAATAATTTCGATAATCCGAAAATCAGTTTAGGCTATCGAGTATTTGGCAATGAATTGAAATTCGCAATGCTTGAGGGCGATGAAGAAATACGGAAGAAATTGGCGTCTTTTAATCCATTGGCGAAAATAAAACAAATTCTTTCGGGGAAGGAGATTCATTACGAGAATACGGCTATGCTTCTTGATTCGTCATACGTGATTCCAACAACTTCCGGTGTTCCGGTTCGATTAGATCTTACCGGATCGGCGGCTTATAATTTCAAATTGTCCGGATTGTTAAATAGCAATCGTTTGAACTTTGGCGAACTTGAAATGATTGGCAGTATTGCTCCAAGGTAGCGACAAAATATTTCATTTACAAATCAATTTTTTCCTCTTAACGAATTTATTCTATTATATTTATTTCTATTCTGTCAAAATGAATAGAATTAATTTTAATAATCAAAAGAGATCAATTTTATCCTTAACAATTTGTCGGTTAATTGTAAAATAAAATTGAAATTTGATAAATTTTGTTTTGTAATTTAAAAAACAATTGTAGATTAATTTATAGTATTTGACTAAATTTGATTAATTTAGTATTGAAAATTTTCAGTGTGAGTCTGGATATAACTGGAACAATGACGGCGGATTCATTTTACAAGAGTGCAGGAATTAAATTAAGAACAAATATTTATTCGACTAGCGCCGTTGAGACGCATGTGAATATCAAAGGTCCAAGACTTGTTCATTTGGGTTTGAGTTTGCCGAATCGAAAAATGGAAATTTTTACATTCCACTCGAATGTACAGATTGTGAAGACAAATGGAGCGGAAGTGCATGAGAAAGAAATTGGCCATATATTGTCTAAAGATGAACAAAATAAATTTGATCAACAATCAAAGTATGTGGGGAAAATTGTCAGTAATACTACGTGCAGTTGGCCGGCTCTCGACAGACTCATTGGACTGAAACTCTGTACTGATTATCAATTTCCAAATGTGTCAAGAAATCCAAATGCTTCTTATTTTCTTCTCAATGGACCAACATTGTTGAAGGTTTCGGTCATTAAAGCTGATCCAACGGCGAAAAGTTATATTATTGAATATCGAATGGAACGAAATGAAGTACATATTTATTTTATTATGCCTCTTCTTCTTTTTCTTGAAAAAGTATTTTTTTAAATTTAAATTCAGCTTATGTTCTTGTCTTTTTTACTCTGCTTTTCCGCATTTTTCTATATTTGCTTTCTTTTTCTGTACAGAATGAAAGTTTTATTAAATTGGCATTCGACACACCTGGATCGCAAATGAAACGAGAACTTAGTGCAACAATTTCGTTTAATGTCCACAGCAATAATGTAACATTGGCTCTGCAATCAGCCAGCAATTCTTTTCTAGCTAAAGGTAATAAATTTTCTTGTAGAATTTATTTTCAAATTTATTAGTACCTATTTTAATATTGTGTTCATATTTGTTTCAATTTTTAATACTTGAGACGGGCTGCGAAGAAAAGTGAATTTATTTCCTAATTTTTGTGACAGGTACATATAAAAGAACGGACAATGAAACTTTTATAAACGTGGGATTAGACATCAATGGTACAAAGCACTTGGATGCTAGTGTTGGATACACTGTGAAAAAAGTGAATTACGGCTTCACCTACACGCCGAAATTATATTTAGCCATAAATGGTGAACGAATAGCTGAACTTACAGGTAAACTTACAAAATTTTTTTTAAAAATCTCGTCAAAATTTCAATTATTTTTAGAAATAGATAAATTCTTCTCAAAAATTCAATTATTTTCAAAAATGTTAATAACAGTCTTGGCAAAATTTCAATTATTTTCAAAAAGTTGTAATATCTACTATTTTAATAAAATTTTCCAAAGAAATTCAATTATTATTTAAAAAAAATATAATAAAATTCTATGCAAACCTTTAATTATTTTCATAAAATAATAAAAATTACACAGGAATTTAAATATTTACAAATTATTTATAAATTTCTTCGCAATCATTCAATTATTTTCATAAAATAATAAAATTTTTACAGGGATTCAATTTTTTTCGTAAATAATAAAATTCTTTTCCGGAATTCAATTATTTTTATTAATAATAAAACTCATTGCAGAATTTAAATTATTTTTAATTCAATTTTAATCCAAATCCTCGAAAAATGTAATTATTCTTTAAAATTTTATTAAAATTCATCAAAAGAATTCAATTATTAAAGAATTTATTGCTAACATTCTTTATGAGAATTCAATTTTAAGAAATATGCAATTATTCAATAAATTGTTTTTTTGTATTTAAATAATTGAATTCTAGTAAAATTTTCTAATAAAAAATTGATGTAAAAATTAATTTTAGTTAAATTGAATACTGTAAAGAAATGTATTTGAAAATTGTCAAAGAACTTTTTCGAAAATTATTAAAAATAATTCGATTTAAAGAAGAATTTTAGTTAAAAATTCTTGAAAATAATAATTAAATTGATGATTTTATTACTCGTTCTAGTATATAAAACATAAAGAAATCGATCACTCCGAGTCGAAGACTTGGAGTTATCGATTTCTTCATGTTTTATATTTATTAAAAATTTAATTTCTAGTTTTAAGTAAAATGTTCTATTATTTGACTCGGACTTATATTTTTGTCCGTAAATGTTCCGTAATTTTTCATTTTAATTCCTTAAAGTCCGTAAAATTTTAATTACTTTCACTGAATTCGAGCCCTGAATTTAGTCGTATTAAATAGGAAAATTCTCCTTTTACAGGCATGATACGAAATCAACAGAAAAATAACGTCTCACAATGCGACATCACTCTTCTGTTTCAAACGAAAAAAGTCTGGAGTCAAATATCCGGCTACATTATGAAACGAAATACGAGTCTATCGGGAAATGTGAAAATTGACTATCAATTGCAAAAAATGCCAAAGAAAGAAACTCTTCAAGTGGAAGCTTCATTGATAAATCGATCGTCAAAAACCTTGACGTACAAAGCGGCTAATGTGAAACTATATTCCACTGCTTATCCACAATTGAACACAATAATATCATCATGGTATCAGCAGGCAATGGGTCATGTTGAACTCCACGTCGAAGTAAATTCCAGTCCTCATCTACAAGACGATCGACATAAACTCATTGCTCAAGTTGTTGTCACCTATTCGAAAGCTTACTTTCAAAGTCAAGGGGCAAAAATCAGCGCTTTCGTCGCCCTCACAAAGCCGATACAAAATCTTGACATTAAAGTTGGCGTGAATTATTTCGCTATTGGCGATGAATCGAAAACTGCTTTTCTAATACGATACGGTCCAGGTAATTTGATATTAAAAATGAGACGCGGTGTGAAGAAAGGTAGAAGCGAAAAATGTTAAGTTTTTTTTATCTCAATAGAATTTGCTCTCAATTTATTTGCGTCTTCGTTAAAACTTTGATTTTGGGTAAATAATTAAAAAGTTCCCATTAAGTTCCGATTAAGGTAAAATCGTAAATATATTCGTTCGCTTCTTACCTTTCTTCAGAGTACGTCAAAAATATTTTTTTTTCGACTAAGAGAAACTAAGACTAAGAGAAATTACTTTTTTGCAGGTAAAGAAATCATTTTCACCCTGAACACAATAATGCCACGAGGAAACATGTTTGCAATCGAAGGACACGCTAATTTGACAATTCCAAATTTTAATTCCATGTTAGTGAGTGCAAAAATAACGGAGAGGTCACGTAACGAGTACGATATCGAATTAGCCGGAACTTGGTTCAGTGGTCACAATATCACAGTTCGTGGTACCTACTTAGACCGTTCGACACTATCGATAACAAATTACAATTTAAAACTTGTTCTAAAATCGCCCAGCTTTCCGAGGGAAATATTAGTAAATGGCAAATTTTACTACGATGTCACAAATCTTCGAACTTCCTTCTATGTCGAGCAGTCGGAATTGGAAAAGTATGCATTACTGCTGAATTACACGGCTTTAAATCTAGGTCGTCTTGATACGTACCTCGAAGGAAGATACAAAAGTAACATTTATTCGATTTTGACGAAAATTGACAGCGAACGGGAGATTAGAATTGAAATGCACTTGGATCGATGGAGGGATGTTCATTTGATTGGTACGGCTATTAATAAGCCGAATAATAAGGAACTTGGATTTGAAGTGAAATGGGACGCGAATCGTGATCCGGCTCTTAAATTTGCGACAAGTGTTCAATTGAATAGGTACAATGCAATTGATGGTGAAAATGAGAATGGAAAAAATCTTAGTGCTTTGGTGACTGTCACGTATCCTGGACGATTAGTAACTGCTTATTGTCTGCTTGCAATTAAGCACGAGAATAATTATATTATCGATTCCCGGATTAGTTGGAGTTTGGATAAAAATATCGAATTGAAAATTGATGCTGATTACGTTTGGTTGAAATCACTCAAGTTTGAATCGAAATTGCTGTCGCCTTTCGAAAATTGGAAGAAGACTTCTTTAAACGCAAAGTAAGTGTACTTTTATAAATTTGCATCATCAGGGTTGACACAGGTCAGGGAATTCGGGGAAAATTCAGGGAAAGTTAAATTGGTCAGGGATTTTTATTAAAAGTACTGGAAAAAATTAAATTTTTAGAATTTTTAAGCAAAATGCTGAATTTTGGCGTTTTATTTATTACATTAATAAAATATGAAATTATCACGAATTGTAATACAAAATCTTCAATTTTTTCCATTTTTGACAATAATTTCTTATTTAAATCTTTTTAAAAGTAATAACATTCTTCGCAGAAATTCAATTATTATAAAAAGTTATTTAAAATTCTTATCAAATTTTCAATTCTCTTTATAATAAAATAAAATTCTTCACCGAAATTCAATTCTTTTCAAAAATTTTTATAAAATTTTTGGAAAAATTTCAATTATTTCCAAAAATAACAATATTTATCACAAGAATTCAATTATTTTCAAAAATAATAAAATTCTTCAGAGAAGATAAATTATTTTCAAAAATTATTTTTATATTCTAGTCAAGATTTCAATTATCTTTATAAATAGCAAAATTATTCTTCAAAATTCAATTATTTTCAAAAATAATAAAAATTTCACAGAAATTCAATTATTTACAAATTTTTTATAAATTTCTACACAATAATTCAATTATTTTTTTATAAATGAAACTGTTTACAAGGTTTCAATTATTTTTCTTAAATTTTAAAATGCTTTACACGAATCCACTTATTTTTATTCAAATTTAATAAAATTTATCGAAAGTATTTAATGAAGAATTTAAGAATTCAATCATTTACAAATTTTTTATAAATTCTTCTGAAATTAGTTACATTTTTTAATATATATTTAATTAATTGTTAAAAAAATAATGGATTTATACAAGAATTTTTGATTAAAAACATTTTTAAAAAATTGAATTTTGGAGAGGTTTCAAATTATTGCAGAAATTCAATTATTTTCAAAAGTAATAAAATTCTTTACATAAATTCAATTATGTTAAAATTGTTTTTTAAACTTCTTTTCAAAATTTAAATTATTTTTATAATCAATAATAAACTTATTCTTCGAAATTCAATGATTTTAAAAAAATTTAATCAATTTCTTAGCAAAAATTCAATTGTTTTCAAAAATAACAATATTTATCACAAGAATTCAATTATTTTCAAAAGTAATAAAATTCTTCACAGAAATTAAATTATTTTCAAAAGTAATAAAATTCTTTACAGAAATTTAATTTTTTTTTTAAATTTCTCTTCAAACTTTTAATTATTTTTATAAACAATAATAAAATTCGTCTTCAAAATTCAATTATGTATTTTCAAAAATTTTAATCAATTTCTTGTCAAAAATTCAATTATTTATAAAGAATTTTAATACAATTTAAATATTTTTAAAAATGAAAAAAAATTTCACAGGAATTTAATTATTTACAAATTATTTATAAATTTCTTCGCATTAACTCCATTATTTTCATAAATGATAAAATTTTTTTACAAGAATTCAATTATTTTCATAAATAACAAAATTCTTGTTAGGAATTTAATTAATTTAATTAATTTCACAAATAATAGAAATCATCGCAGAATTAGAATTATTTGTAATTCAATTTTAATTGAATTTCTCGAAAAATGCAATTATCCTTAAAAATTTTATTAAAATTCGTCAAAAGAATTCAATTATTCAAGAGTTTCTTATAAAATGTTTTACAATAATTCAAAGATTTCCATAAATATTAATTTTCTTTTCGAAATACAATTATTTTCAAAAATAACAAAACGTATCGTAGAATTTTAATTATTTTTTATACAATTTTAATTAAAATTCTCGAAAAATGCAATTATTTTTAAAAATTGTATTAAAATTCGTCAAAAGAATTCAATTTTAATTATATAAAAGTTTCTTTTAAAATTGTTTATTAGAATTTAATTTTAAGAAACATTCAATTATTAAAAAAATTATTAATTTTTTTATTAATTTATTAATTATTATTAATTATAATATTATTAATTCTCGTAGAATTTTCTTATAAAAATTTATGTAAAAATAAATATTAGTTAAAATTTTATATAATTGAATATTAAAAGCATTGCAGTCTGGATTTTTAGAAATAATTGAATTTTAAAAAGGTTTCAAATTAAAATCTTTGAAAATTTGAATTTTTCATATTTTTAACTAACAATTCTGTAGAATTAATTTTTTCCAAAAAGTAAATTGAATTTTTTTTAAAAGACTCGGAGTGATCGATTTCTTCATGTTTTATAATTATATTCTTATAAGTTATTGAATTTCGAAATTTTTGAATATCTTCATTCTTATAGAAAAATAATAATAAATATTTACCTAATATTTGAACGGAATTTTTCTATTTGCAGTTATTTACAAAACGAGTCGCAACTATCAATGAGTGGAAGTGCATACTGGCAGGATTCCCAGCACGTATTGGTCAATTTACACGCTAATTCGATGAATCGTCAGAAATTTATTGAATGGAATGCCAATTGTGGATTGTCGAGTACAGTTCATTCAATAAAATGGGTTTCGGCGAATTTCACGCATAAGCAATCGTTTGGTCATTGGACGGATTCTTGGATACGAATCAAGTATCATCCGGATAAAGTAATCGATCTTCGGAGTATATGGCAATTGCAGAAAGGAGAAGCAGGAACTTTCAATTTAACAGGAAATTTATTACTCGTCTCGCCTGTGGTTAATTACAGAAAGGGTGAAATGAAGTGTCTCTTGAATCTACTGCCGAATTTGAGATTTCTAGGAGGTGCTAATATTGATTTAGATAAACGAAAGTACACCGCTCATATGATTGGAGATTTGGCTCAATTTCGAGAATCGATGGTAACATTAAAATAAAATTAATTAATTAATTAATTATTAATTCAAATAAAATTCACATGGTAAAAATAAAAATATTATTTCACTTAATAGTTAAGAGAATAAATCTTTATTTTTTCAGGTACAATTTAATATAACGACTCCTCACGAGCGCTACGCGTTTGTTAGGGGAAGATTTGGATTGTCGGAGAAAAATAGACATATTGTGGCGGAAATAATACGACCGGCTGGACCATTAGGATTTGAGGGAATTTGTCAAATACTGACGAGTGCCTACGATTTTAATTTAAAGTTGTCATTGGCTACTCCGATCGAATCGCTTGAGAAGGCGTTATTTATTGCTAAACTTAACAAACAGGAAGCCGATTTTCGTGTTTCGTATAACAACATAACTGCTGGTTTCCAAGGTGTTTGGTATTATGAGGACATTACGCATTTTGATTACACTTACATTCTCTACACTCCGGTGCATGGATTACACGAAATTGGAATTATCAGCAAATTAGTTGTGACGAAAACCGAGCCTGATGGTCACTTGGACGTTGATACGGAATTTTCTCTGAGACTGGTGGAACTGAAAGTTGGTTTTCGTGCAAAAGGTGGTCCGAAACCGCCGTTATTGCACATTCCATTGAGTACGGGTATCAAAACGAATTCGCAGATCGAAACATCGGAACAAGACTCCGATAAGGAAGAAGAAGAAGAAGAAGTGGAGACGCTTGTGGAAGATATCGAAAACTTCTTCTATTGGAAAGGAGAAATTGAGGTTCTTGTTGTCTTCTTTATTTTCCTTACAACCCTTTCTTCGGTGCTTATGCCAAATGATCATAAAAAATATGTGTAAAAATTTACATATATTTCCTATGATCATTTGTCATTATAATTAAGATATAAATTCAATAGGTAAAATTTCAAAGTAAATTTTTCTTTTGCAGTTGAACATGGTAATTATTGAGCCGATCACAGGTTCACTGGATGTTGATAAAGAGGGTAATAAATACAAGATTTCCAGTGTCTTGAAAATACCACAAGGTCGAATAACCGTCGATGACACTTTGTATATGGAACACGTTTTTAATATGAAAAATGATTTGAGTATTGAAACGCCATTTAAATATGCTTCTGAAATCAATTCAGCTTATGTCCTTCATGTCGAAGATAGTAACATTTTATTGGAGGTTGATTTAAATGTTTGCAATTACACATCATGGATCGAGGTAAGTAAATTATTATTAAACTTTCAGGCCTCGCACTCATCTACTAAAACATACTATTTACTACTTTTTTTACGATTTGCTACTATTTGGATACTTTTTTTTATTTTTTACACTAAAAGCTACTTTTTTCCATGTTTGAGAATTTACACTACTTTAAAATTGTTAATAGTTGAAGTAAAAAAATTATTTAAAAAAATGTTAATAATGTTATTGGAAAAAATTCAAAAAATTTTAATGAAGTTCTTTAATACGATTCAATTATTTTCACAAATTTTTCGTAATTCAATGATTTTTAATATCAATTATTTTTATAAAAAATTTCTCAAAAGAATTGAATAATTTTAAAAAAAATATTTATAAAATTCTTCGCAACAATTCAATTATTTTGATAAATAATAAAATTCTTCTCAGGAATTCAATTATTTTTCAAAAATTTAATAATAATTGTTGCAAGAATTCAATTATTTTTATAAATATTAAAACTCATCGCAGAATTTCAATTATTTTTAATATTATTTTAACTTAATTATTTGAAAAATTCAATTATTTTTACAAATAAAGTTTTCCACAAGAATTCAATTATTTAAAATAAAATGTTCATAATATTTATGAAATTTCGAAAAAATTAATTATTTAAAACAATGTTTATAAAATTCTTATGAAGAATTCAATTATTTTCAAAAATAAAAAAAATTTTCACAGAAATCCAATTCTTTTTTAACATTTTAATAAAGTTTTTCTCAATATAATTCAATTATTTTTATAAATAATAAAATTATTCTCAGGAATTCAATTATTTTTAAAAATTTTAACAATAATCGTTTCAAAGAATTCAATTATTTTTTAAAAAATTTTAATGATATTCTTTATAATTATTGAATTGTTTTCAATATAATTTTAATACAATTTTTTTTAAGGAATTCAATTATTTTTATAAATAATATACAATTTTTAAAGAAATTCAATTATTTAAATACAATTTTCATAAAAATTTTTGAAAAAAATCATTTTTTTAAAAGATTTTTTTAAATTCTTCTCAAGAATGCAATTATTTCATAAACTTTGTTAAAGTTTGGTGACAAAAATTCAATTATTTTCATAAATAATAAAACTCACCGCAGAATTTAAATTATTTTTAATATAATTTTAAATTCCCCTAAAAATGCAATTATTCTTAAAAATTTGAATAAAATTCTTCGAAATAATTCAATTATTTAAAGAAATTTGATATAATTTGTTAATTAAATGTTGTTGTAATTACATTTCTTGAATAAATTTAATTATTATTAAAAATGTTAATGTAATTTTATGTAAAAATTCAATTATTTTAAAAAATGTTGATAAAGTTCTTTATAAGAATTCAAATTTAAGAAATATTCGCAATTATTATTCAATAAATTTATTTTTTATTGAAATAATTGACTTCTCGTACTACTTTCTATTAAGAAATGATTTAGAATTGAATAAAATAAAATGATTAAAGTTTTTAATAATTTTATTTATAAATTTCAACAAATGTCTTGAAGCTACTTGTTGACACTTTTTTAAAATTAATTATCGAGTACGAAGTCTGAATCTGACGTGCTTCTAAAAAAGAAGAAGTAAAAAATAAATAAATATCAAACAAAAATAAATTTTTAATTCAAAATACAATATTATAATATAATTATAATTATACTTATTTACAGACTGGACTCTGGATGAATTACACGGTTCAAAAGGGTATCATAGACACGTGGAAAATGCATTTATTACATTTGACTTTCAAGACCCCATTACAATCCATAAAACATGTGGATTCAATTATTACCCTGGAAGTCGATGAAAATGATACTAAAGCCAACATGATTGTACGAAATTCCGAATCATTTATGAACATCTCCGGTTTTTTGGAGGTAATTTCTTCGTAAAAAAGTTGTCAATTATCCGAAAAATCTAGATTTATTACATTATTTTCCACTTGCAGGTAGAAGAAGGTTTCGTCGATTTAGTCACCATTGTTTACGTAAACACATCCGTACTTTTTGTTCCCAATACGAAAATTTCCCTAAAAAGAGATTTAACCGATAAGGAAAAATTGATAGAATTTGGCTTCGTTGTCAATAATGGAACCGAAAAATCAGTGAGTATAAAATTCAAAGCACCCTACAATTTAATTGTAATATTAAATATGAATCATCGCAAATATATATGAACAAATAGCAATTTTAAATTTCAATTTTAAATTTCAAATTTTTTACAGACGAATTTAAAGGCATCGTGGTGTGTGGAGAATCAAGATTTCCTAAAATCATCCGTAATTCTCGACACTTGGATCGATGTGATAAAACATATTGAAGTTGACATTTTATACAACAATACAATGAAGATCGACAGTACTTCAAAATTGAACATGTCCCTAAAACTTCCGTCTAACGATGAATATAAATTAACCGGAGAAATGAAAAACGAAAAAGTGACAGCTGATTTGCATGTTCCTTTGGGAAAACAGCATTTACAATTTGAAGGTACTTTAATACCTGTCAGGGAAAATTCATTTAATCTCGAAGGTGAATTAAAAAATGCCAAAGTAATTTACAAAGTCACAAGTTCCGTGTCACTCGAAAAGGATCAATTAACAATCGTTGAAGCAACAATAACTCCCGTGAATAGTGCAACAAAAAATACGAAATATTTTCTAACTTTGAAAAAAGAAAAATATGGTATAGATCTAAATATCAAGAGTGAAACACTAAATGGAACTATCAGCATGAATTGTATCAATGCCTTAAATTGGGATCTACGCTCGAAAATCGATACACTAAATAATATGAATAAATACGATAATTATCAATTAAATACATTCATGAATGTTCAAATTAATGGCAATGCGACATTGTTCGTTTATGTGAATACACCCTGGAAAGAATTGACTACCGCGACAATTGACGGAAATTTACTATTATCCAACAATGGAGGACACGTTCGTTTAAATCAACAACGAAACAACGAGGCGAACTTTATTTCACTAGATTGGAAATTGGAATCTTTGAATGATATGTTCATTAAAATTGTTGGCAATCAACGGTATGATGAAATTAATACAAAGGACGTGGTTATTCATTTGTTCCTCAAAAGTTCTGTGCAAGCCGTTCAAACTGTTAATACTGGTTTTGATATTGATATTGATAAACAACTTTGGAGATTGGCATCGAATGCGACGGTTACATTTTTCGATCAGGAGAATTTTGATGTTGTTTTAAATGCCTCTTTACCACCGCCTGAGAAAGATGATCATCAGTTCTTGTTTAGCTATCATGCGAATAAAGGGATTCGAAATGCGTCTTATCTTGTCAGTTACAAGACTTTGCGAAGTAATATTAATTACTCTTCAGATGGCTCGGTAAGTTTTTTTATTTGATATACAAATTATAGTCTAATTATTGCAATTATTTCTTTAATTGTAAGATTATTCAAAAACATCAATAACTTCTTTTTCGAATAAATATTTAATTATTATTTTTCCGTAGGAATTAAAATTTTACAAAATATTCAAATTCAAACCTTTTTTGAAATTCAGTAACTCATAAGAATATGGTTATAAAACATGAAGAAACCGATCACTCCGAGTCTTCGACTCGGAGCAATCGATTTCTTCATGTTTTATAATAATTATTAAAGATGACCGAATGATAAAATCATTCTTTTGTATTATATATGAATATTGCACTGTAACTTCCTCAAAAATATTTTCATCATTTCAATTCAATTATTATTTTCCATAATTTTAACTAAAATTCTTCTTTAAATATATTATTTTTAATAGTTTTTGAAAAACTACTTTGAGAATTTTTAAATCCATTTGTTTACAATTCAATTTTACAAAATTTCGATTATTCGGGAATTCTTTAATTAAATATTTTTATTTATTTGTTTATACAGCCGTCTAAAAAAACACGCTATAATACTTTTAATATTCAATTATTGTCTAAAATTTTAACTTAAATTAATTATTAAATCAATTATTATGAGAAAATTCTAAGGGATATCAATTATTTAAATATAAAAATAAATAATTTATTAAATAACTAATTACTTCTTACAATAAATTGAATTCTCCTTAAAGAATTTGATTGCAAATTTTTTAAAATAATTAAATTCTTTGGACGAATTTTAATAAAATTTTTTAAAATAATTACATTTTTCGAGGAATTTGATTAAAATTGTATTGAAAATAATTAAAATTTTGCCATGAGTTTTATTATTTATGAAAATAATTATATTATTGTGAAGAAATTTATAAAAAATTTATAATTGAATTCCTGCGACATTTTTATTATTTATAAAAATAATTAAATATTTTGCCAAGAATTTTAATAGAATATATTTGAAAATAATTGTAATTTCGACAAGAATTTTTTAAAAAATTTTGAAAATTATTGAATTTTTAAAAACAATTTTGCTATTTATAAAGATAATTGAAATCTTGACGAGAATTTTATTACTTTTGAAAATAATTGTATTTCGGTTAAGAATTTTGTTATTTAAAAAAATAATAGAATTCTTGTGATGAATATTATTATTTTTGAGAATAATTGAATTTTTCTATTTATAAAGATAATTGAAATCTTGAGAATTTTTAGAAAAATTTTGAAAATAATTGAATTTCTGTGAAGAATTTTATTACTTTTGAAAATAATTGAATTTCTGTGAAGAATTTTATTACTTTTAAAAATAATTGAATCCTTGTGATGAATATTATAATTTTTGAGAATAATAATTGAAATTTTGCCAAGAATTTTATTAAAATTTTTGAAAATAATTAAATTTGGAAGAAGAATTTTTCAATTCATAAAGATAAAATTGAAATCTTGAGAATTTTTAGAACAATTTGAAAATAATTGAATTTCTGTGAAGAATTTTATTACTTTTGAAAATAATTGAATTATTGCGAAGAATTTTATAAAATATTTTTAAGTATTTTATTTTTTATCTAAAAACTGGTCAATTCTTTTTTTAATATTTGAATTTCTGTGAAATTTTAATTATTTATGAAAATAATTGAACGTTTGCCTAGAATTTTAACAAAAAATTTTTTTAATTAACTCAATTCTATCGGAAAATATGATTAAAATAGTAAATATTGAAAATCATTGAATTGAGACAAATTTTTGAAAATAATTGAATTTCAAAGATTTTATTTCAAAGATTTTTTTAAATTTTGCTATTCATAAAGATAATTGAAATCTTGACGAGAATTTAAGATAAATTTTAGAAATAATTGAATTTCTGCGAAGAATTTTATTACTTTTGAAAGTAATTGAATTTTTGCAATTATTTATAACTTTTCCAAAATTCAATTTTTTTTAGTGTTTTTAACTAAAATTTTTCTGTAAATCCATTATTTTTATTAATTAATTAAAATACTTAAAAATTTAACTAATATCAGAAGAATTTGAATTTAAACTGTACTAAAAATAATTAAATTTTTGTGATGAGTTTTATTATTTATGATAATAATTGAATTGTTAACAAAATTTTTATTATTTATGAAAATAATGGAATTATTGAGAAGAAATTTATGGATAATTTGTAAATAATTGAATACATGTGAATTTTTATTTTTCATGAAAATAATTAAATGTTTGCGTAGAATTTCATTAAATTTCTTCAAATAATTGAATTCTTTCGGAAAATTTTATTAAAGTAGTAGATATTAAAAATCATTGAATTGAGGAAAATTTTTGAAATTTTACCAAGAATTTTATTAAATTTTTCGAAAATAATTGAATTTAGAAGAAGAAGAAGAAGTTAAAAAATTGAAATTTTGAAGAGAATTTGTTTTAATTTGTTGATTGATTTTTAATCTCTTTGCTTTAATTTTTTTTAGTTAAAAATGATCACCCGGGACATTGATGGACATTTACGATTCACTTGGGGAACGTTACAATCTTTGAAGACAATAAAAAATTTCATTAATGCAACGTTTGACGAGAAGGGAATGAATTTGAAATATTCTCTCCACACTCCAAAATACAAACAACAAGAAACTTTTGTTCTTCTCTTTTCCTATGATGCTGCACACGAAACGTATACTTTGATCGATGCCGATTTGTATTTACCAGCTGACAAAAAACTCGGTTCCACTCATATTTCATACGCGAGTCTCGTCAATGTCAACGGAACAATAAATGCGACAACTGCAATACCGAATTTCTCTTTTGTTGGTTGTGATTTCATCGTTTTAACCACTTTGTAAGTATATAAATTAAACTTAATTTTCAATTTTCTAAATTGCATTTTAAGTTAAATAATAATAATAATTTTAATTTGAAAAAAGTAATTTTCAAAATTGATTTTTCTTTCAGAAAACAAAGCAAGCGACTTGTGAAGGCTTTTTGGCCGAATAACACAGCATTGTTGGACTCTGATTACATGTATCATAGCGAAAGATTGGATTCAACTTTAGATGGTCATTTGCATTTGCAAGTTCCATTGAGTACTCGTCACGAAGGTCATCTCACTTACGGCTACAAGAAACGACCTCAAGTCACTAATGGTTATTCGAAATTATTCTACAACAATCAGGAAATATTGAATGGACAGTACAAATCGAAAAGTGAATCAAGAGCCGGTTTTGAAAAAGACGAAATTAAAATAACCGTCGAGAATATATTGAAACCTATCGGTATTTTCTACGTCAATCAATTTGAGTACAGCGGTGGTAATGAAGGCACGAATTATCCGACAACAGAATTGAAGAAAGTGCACATTTATCGTCTCGACAATAGTTCGAGTTTCAATGTCAGTGGTGAGTCGCGAATACACACAACTCACGACGGTCAGGATGTCTACTTGAAAGCAGTCCACTTCAATCGTACCGTTCAATTGCGAGCCGATTACAAAATTCTACCCGGCGAATTCGATCAAAACACCTGGTTGAGTCTCGCCGACGACGCCTGGGCTTCGTACCACATCAATATTCTCAATAAATCCGTAGAAAACATCGAAAATCAATTCATCGTACTTGGATTGGTTTATCCACAGAGAAATTTTACAATTAATGGCACGTACTTGATAACAAGCAACGAGTTACAGTCCGAAGCGCATCTTATTTGGAAACACGATCAAACGATTCCACGTATTCTTGGCTCAGCATTTCACTGGAAGAATATATCGTCAAATTGGAATTCACTTCAGCAGCAGGCGATTTTCAGCTTGAAACATCCAAGTTTCGAGAAGGATATGACAATCACTGGTCAGATTATTAATCGGGATGAGAGAGATTTATTCAATGCGGCATTTATCGTTGATTACTCGAAGAACATTGGCAAACTTCTCAACGTATCGGCAACTATACGGGACGAAAGTGATTTACCGATTGATCGCAAATATACCTATGCAATTTTAGGCAATCATGATGAAATTAATTTACATCTTGATCTACATGGGCATGTTCTTTTGCATTCGCCAAGTATTCTCGAAACTAAAAATAACGTCGATTATCAACGTGGAAATTCTGAGAAGGAAACTGGAGAATTATTCGGTCGCATTAATATAGCAACAAATGAGATTGAAATAAATCGTGAAAATACCGATACACAATATTCGAATAATAAGAATGTTAAGTATCTTTGGGCTCGATATCATGGTGACTATCCGGTTTATACCCTAAATGGAAGTGTTATTAATTCGCCGGAACTTAATTGCACTGGTAATTTATTCTTGAATTTTAGTGACAAACTCACTTGGATGATGGTGAATTACACACCTGGTAAGATGATAATTACAGAAATAATTATTTTTGACAAATTAATTCTCTCATTAACATTGAAAATAAATATTTATTATGTTAATGAAGCAATTCATTAACATAATAAATTAATAATAAATTTTTTTTAAATTAAATTAATTAATTAATAATAAATTAACATAATAAATATTTATTTATTATGTTAATGAAAGAATTCATTTTTACTTTCATTATTCGAAAAATTTTAGACTCTTTATATAAAATGAAATAAATTTTGGACAAATAAATTTATAAATGAAAGTAAATTAAGATGGGATTAAATTGATTTTAAAAATGCCTAAATGTTTCAGATGCTGTAGAAAGTCTGAGGATGTACGGCGATATTCCCGATGTGAGGAATGCTAAATTTGACATTTGGAGAACTTACGATGAAGATCTTACCATCTCGGACGTTACCTTCTATTTACGATTGAATCATTCTCGTCTTGTCACATCAACTTTGCGTTGGAGACCTGATTTGAGGGCAGACTTATCGGTAATTTTGGTTTATTTATAATTTTTTCCAACTTTGGACAAATATTTGTGACGAAGCAAAATTTTAAAAGTCATTTTTCTTATCTCTTTACTTTCACTGAAAAAAAATTTTTTTTACATTTACGGATTTTTTATGTAGAATTTATTTGAAACGTAGAGAATTACGTCTTTATAAACATAGAAGAATATTAGTTAAAAAGACGAAAAAAATTAAATTTTGGAGAAGTTACATAATATGATTGCAGGAATTCAATTATTTTCAAAAAAATTTTTAAAATTCTTGTCAAGATTTCAATTATTTTTATAAATAGCAAAATTCTTCTATTAAAATTGAATTATTTTTAAAAATTTGTCTCAATTCATTTATTTTCAATATCTACTATTTTAATAAAATTTCCGAAAGAATTTCAGTTATTTAAAAAAAAATTTGACAAAATTGTGCGCAAACATTCAATTATTTTTTTTAAATAATTTAAAATTTAACAGAAATTCAATTATTTAAAAAGGATTGACAATTTTTTCGAAAAAAACAATAATTTAAAAAATTTTTATGAAATTCTTCGAAAGAATACCTACAATTGTCTTGATAAATATCAAAATTTTTTAGAGAAATTCATTTATTTTCCGGAATTTTAATAAAATTCTTTGCAAAGTTCAATTATTTTTCAAAATGTCAGTAATTTTCTTGTCAAAATTTCAATTATTTTGAAAAATAACAATTATTTTGAAAAATAACAATTATTTTGAAAAATAACAATTATTTTGAAAAATAACAATATTCATCACAAGAATTCAATTATTTTCAAAAGTAATAAAATTCTTCGCAAAAATTAAATTATTTTTATAAACAATAAAAATCTTTTTAGGAATTTAATTATTATTTTAAAAAATTTTAATAAAATTCGTCGAAAGAATTCAATTATTTAAAAATTTGTCGAAAAAATTCTTTATGAGAATTCAATTTTAAGAAGTAATAAATTCTTAATTAAATTATTTATTTTTATATTTAAATAATTGATATCTCTTAGAATTTTCTAATAAATATTGATTTAAAAATGAATTTCAGTTAAAATTTTAGATAAATGAATTTTAAAAAAATTAAAGAGTGAATTTTTGTAATAATTGAATTTTGAAAAAGTTTCAAATTAAAATCTTTGAAAATCTGTATTTTTCATACTTGTGACTAACAATTCTGTATGGAATCAATGTTTTTGAAAAAGTTTAGTTGAATTTTTTTTGAAATTAGTTGAAGTTTTTATTTTCTAATATTTTATCTAACAATTCTGTATGGAATTAATTTTTTTGAAAAAGTTTAATTCAATTTTTTTTGAAATTATTTGAAGTGTTAATTTTCTAATATAGATTTAATTGAAGAATTTCCGAATAATCGAAATTTCATATAAAATTGAATTGTAAACAAATTGATTTGAAAATTCTTAAAGAACTTTTATAAAATTATTAAGAATAATTTATTTAAAGAAGAATTTTAATTAAAAATTTTAGAAAATAATAATTGAATTTCAATAATGAAAATAATGATTTTATCACTTGGTCTTTTTTATTTAATATAAAACATGGAGAAATTGATTATTCCGAGTCGAAGACTCGGAGTGATCGATTTCTTCATGTTTTATAACAATTCTTATAAGTAATTTAAATTCAAAAAGGTTTGAATTTAAATTTTTTGAAAAATTTTAATTCCTACGGAAAAATAATGATTAAATTAAATATTTAAAAAAAGAAGTTATTGATGTTTTCGAATAATGTTACAATTAAAGAAATTCGTAAATAAATGTAACAGAAAATTTTTTTGAGTATCTAATAATTTTTGGAGTGATTCAAAGTCTTCTTTAGGGTCATTACGTTTAATACAATTTTTCTTATTGTTTCACAGTAATAATCTAAATTTTAATATTCCTGAGAAAAATATTATTCAAAATTTTAATTTTCAGCGGTTTATTAAAACTACTTTAAGCGATATATACGAGCGTATGAACAGCGATGTTGATTTCTGGAGGCACACCGTTAGAACTGAGACAATTAACGTTATGTCTCAAGTTTGGGACAATGCGAAAGAAGACATGGACGAATTTCTTGATGACTGGAGGTAAAAATCATTATTTTTCATAAAGTTATCGTAATTAGTATTATTATTACTATTATTATGAGTATTATCATTAGTATTAGTAATCAGAAATCGTAAATTAAATTTATGATTGTAAATTATAATCGTAAATTAAATTTATGATTGTAAATTACAATCGTAAATTAAATTTATGATTGTAAATTACAATCGTAAATTAAATGTATAATTGTAAATCATCATATTCTAATTGATTATATTATGAACTAAACAATTCAATTCAAAATTATATTTAATATTTAAAAAAATTTAATTGATTCAATGGAATAATTTTCAAAAAAATCCCATTCTTTTTCAGTGAGTTGAGAATAATAGAACAGGATTTCGACGCTTTGAAAATCTACCTAAATAATTCGTACAATGCAAATGATTTCTACGTAAAGGACATTGTTGCCCTCGGATTTTACGTTATAGACGAACTTTCATTGCGGAGTCACATTCAATCCCTACCGAATCTCCTGAATGAAATATGGGAAATTATGGGCGAATCAGGTGAAGCAATTCGTAATTCATTACTCTGGATAATTGAGACTATCAAGAATGCCTATAGTAAATTATCGGAAATTGTGAGCGCAATATTAAAGGGCGATTCCGTTTCGCAAATTGCTCACATTGTGGAGAATCTCATTGAGAAATACGATTCATTCATCAAAGATCTTCACGTTTCATTCATCAAGTACATTGAAAATCTTTGGAATAAAATTTCACATTCAATCTCTCAGCAATGGTACAAATTTCTCCGTCTACTCGAACCGATGTTTATACGTGTGATTCATTATTTGGAGACACTTATTTGGAAAGCGAGCAAGGAAGTACTTGATTTTCTCTACGATCGTCGAAATGAAATTATCACATCGCCTTATTATGATCGTTTCACAAATTTCACGCAGGACATTGATAAATTTTACCGTGACATTAAAGCTAATGATATTATCACCAATATTCAGAAATATTCAACTATACTGATAAAGTTCATTAAAGAACGTTATTTTACGTTTGTACCATTTGGAAAGGAATTGAAGGATGTTCTCGACGAAATACTCATGGAATTGAAGGAATTGAAAAAATTACCATCGGTGCAATATACACTCGATAGAATTGAACAAGTTTACGTGAAAGTCAGTGAGATTTATGAATATTTCCAAGTGCGAAGTAAAATAGAGGCGACGATTCGATTAATTCATTCAAAATTAATGGACATTAGTCAAACGGCACTGCAGGCGGAGAGTCGTTATCGAGAAGCGAAGACTAAATTTATATTTGATCCGAATCGTGGTTTAATGTGTTTCGAGCAAAAGCTTCCAATGTCTTGGCACGCTTTTAATCAGACACCGGAATTTCAGGAGATACCCGAATATAGAGCAATCACGGACGTGGGTTCTTATTTTGCCACATCGAACGCCACTTTCTGGACTTTGTATTATCAATTCAAACCCTACACGGAACCTTCGAATTGGTTCCCGCCATTCAAAGGTGAATTTTTCTATTCATCTTCTTGTCTTTATTATTTAATTAAATTAAATAATTATTAATATATTAATATTAGGACTAATTATTCAAGATTAAATTAAATTAAATAATGAAATAATTATAGTTAATTCATTGTTTTAATTAGTTTAATCTTTAACTGTCTTTAATTATTTTATTTACTGATTAGTTTTAATTTTTCAGCTCATGGAATGATTGTTGGTGCTCAGAATCTTATTACTTTCGACGGTCACTTTATTCAGTTTGCTGGTTCCTGTACTTATTTACTTGCACGTGATTTTGTCCGAGAGCAATTTGCTGTTTTGATTAAATACGTTGAGGATTCGAGTTCGGAAAATATTACACACCAAATAATTGTATTGTTTGGAAAACAATCGGTAGTTGTGGACTTATTTAAAGACGTAAGTTTAAATAATACAAAACCTTCTATTTTTTCTATTTCTGACAATAATTTCCTTCTTTAGTAACTTAATTCTTGAAGAACTATGATAAAATTATTATTCACAAATTATTTAATGAATAATTTTACTTAACTATTTCAAAATTAATTGAATTTTAAAAGAGTTGCGTTTACAATTTTCATAAATTTATAGATGAACTAAAATAAATTTTGGAGAAATTACAAATGATTGCAGAAATTTAATTATTTTCAAAAGTCATAAAATTCTTCGCAGAATTTCAATTACGCTAAAAATTTTTTAAAAATTCTGTAAATGTTACAATTATCTTTATAAATAGCAAAATTGTTCTTCAAAATTTAATTATTTCAATAATTTTATTGTCAAAATTTCAATTATTTTCAAAAAATTTTAATAAAAATCTTCAGAGAAATTCAATTATTTTCAAAAGTATTGAAATTCTTCGCAGAATTTCAATTACGCTCAAAAATTTTAAAACATTCTAGTCAATGTTTCAATTCTCTTTATAAATAATAAAATTCTTTACCGAAATTTAATTATTATCAAGAATTTTAATAAAAATCTTCAGAGAAATTCAATTATTTTTGCAAGTAAAAATATTCATCACAAGAATTCAATTATTATCAAAAGTAATAAAATTCTTCAGAGCAATTCAATTATTTTCAAAAATTATTTTAAAATTCTAGTCAAGATTTCAATTATCTTTATAAATAGCAAAATTGTTCTTCAAAATTCAATTATTTTCAAAAAGAATATACAATTTTTTCGAAAAAATCAATTATTTAAGAAAATGTCATAAAATTTTTCTAAAAAATTCAATTATCTTGATAAATGTCAAAATTATTTCCAGGAATTCAATTATGTATTTTCAGGAATTTTAATAAAATTCTTTGCAAAATTCAATTATTTTCAAAAATTTTAATAAAATTCTTGGGAAAATCTTAATTATTTTCAAAATTTTTCCTCAATTCAATGATTTTCCATATCTACTTTTTTAATAAAAGTTTCCAAAAGAATTCAATTATTTGAAAAAAATTTTGATAAAATTCTACGCAAACATTTAATTATTTTCATAAATGATAAAAATGTCGCAGGAAATCAATTATTTTTTATACAATTTTAATTAAATTCTTCGAAAAATGTAATTATTTTTAAATATTTTATTTAAATTCGTCAAAAGAATTCAATTTCAAGAAGTAATTAATTATTCAATAAATCATTTACTTTTATATTTAAATAATTGAATTCTCGTAGAATTTTTTTCATAAAAATTGATTTAAAAATTAATTTCAGTTAAAATTGTAGATAATAATTGAATATTAAAAGCATACAGGGTGGATTTTTAGAAATAATTGAATTTTGAATAGGTTTTAAATTATTAATTTTGAAAATTTGTATTTTTCATACTTTTAACTAACAATTGTGTAGAATTAATTTTTTTGAAAAGCTTTAATAGAATTTTACTTGAAATTATTATTTGAATTTTTTATTTTCTAATATATATATATGCAATTGAAGAATTTCGAGTAATCGAAATTTTATTAAATTGAATTGTAATCAAATGGATTTGAAAATTCTCAATGAACTTTTACAAAATTATTAAGAATAATTTATTTAAAGAAGAATTTTAGTTAATAATTCTAGAAAATATGAATTGAGTTGAAATAATGATTTTATCACTTGGACATCTTTAATTATTGTAAAACATGGAGAAACCGATTATTCCGAGTTGAAGTCTCGGAGCGAGCGATTTCTTTATGTAAATAAATATAAATTATTAATAATATTAATTCGTTTCAGACTGTAAGCATAGCAGGCACCGATAAATCACTCCAATTACCCTTGGAACTGGAAAATGGCACCGCATTTGTGTATCAAGAAGAAAGTATTGTCATTATCGAACGCAAAGATAAGCAATTCAGATTGGAATGTAATTTGAAGTACGATTTTTGTAAACTCGAATTATCCGGTTGGTATTATGGAAAAACGGCTGGAATTCTCGGTACAATGAACAATGAACAAATGGATGATCAAATGGCATCGGACAAGACAATTGTCACTGACGTTGGAAAATTTGCTCATTCCTGGTCGCTGGAGGGAGAAGAATGCAGTAGCGATAAAAATCGAGCAATTGTTCGCGATAATGGACCAAAACAATTTTGTCAAGATCTCTTTGTCAACAGAAGTTCTGATTTTGGTTCATGCTTCAATGTAGTGAATCCTCAGCATTATTACGAGATTTGTCTGAATAGTGCAAATGAACGCGAGTCTTGTACAATTGCAATGGCATACATGCATGCGTGTATGTTTTACGATACGTATTTGAGAATTCCAGATAAGTGCACTACATGCTTCATGAATGACGGTACCCACGTGCCCGAGGGACAATTCACGAAACTCGAGGGAGAGTCATTTTTAAAGTCAACTGATATTGTGTTTATTGTTGAGGCGAAAGAGTGTAATGAGGATGTTAGAAGAAATCGTAGTCTTGATTTTTTGATAACACAGTTGAATAAGGAACTTAGTGATCAAAATTTTATTGATAATCGTTGGTCACTTGTTCTTTTCGGTGGTGATGGTGTATTCGATCAACCTAGAAGTTTGATTCTTGATAGTCAAATTTTCACGAATAATTCTTTGAAGTTCGTCGATTATTTTAATAATATTCCAATTGGCGATGGCAATCATGACGTATTTGCGGCACTTGGCTTTGCAGCACAACTTGTCTTCAGGCCAGGAGTTTCGAAGACGTTTATTTTGCTCCCTTGCACGCATTGCGATCCAGAAAATCAGACGGTGAGTTTTTTTTCTTTTCAAAACAAAAACCAGGGTTGCCACGCTTTTGCTCATTTCAAATTCCCTGATTTTCCAGGTTAAAAAACGGAATTTTTCCAAGTTTTTAAAACTAAATTTATATTTTACAAAATTAAATAATTCCAATAAATTTTTACAAATACATGGAACTTTCATTCCGCATTGTTATATTTATCTTTTTTAAATAAATATTTATTTATTATTTTTTCATAGGAATTAAAATTTTTCAAAAGATTCAAATTTAAACCTTTTTGAATAAATTAAACAATTTATAAAAAATTGTTATAAAATATGAAGAAATCGATCACTCCGAGTCTTCGACTCAGAGCAATCGATTTCATCACTTCAATTCAATGATTGTTTTTCAGAATTTTTAACTGAAATTCTTCTCTAAATTAATTATTTTTAATAATTATTGAAAATTTTCAATTTCAAATCCTTTTGTTTACAATTCAATTTACGAAATTTCATCGATTATTCGGAAATTCTTCAATCAAATATATAATATAAGTATCAAATAACTTAAATAAAATTCAATTAAAGTTTTTCAAAAAAATTAAATCTACACAATTTTCAGTTAAAAGTATGAAAAATTCATACATTCAAAGATTATAATTTGAATCCTTTTCAAAATTCAATTATTTCTAAAAATTCACGCTAAAATACTTGCTCTCTAAATTTGAATAAGTTAAAATTTTTACTAATTGGCATTACTTTAATATTCAATTATTATCTAAAATTTTAATTGAAATTCATATTTGAATCAATTATTATTAGAAAATTCTACCAGAATTCAATTATTTAAATACAAAAATAAATCATTTCAATCACAATTTTTTTTTAATAACTGAATTCTGTCGAGAAATTTTATTAAAATAGTAGATATTGAAAATAATTAAATTGAGACAAATTTTTGAGAATAATTGCAATTTTTGACAATAATTCTATTAAAAGTTTTGAAAATAATTGAATTGTGAAGATCAATTTTGCTATTTATAAAAATAATTAAAGTCTTGAGTAGGATTTAAAAAAATAATTTAAAAATACTTGAATTTCTCTGAAAAATTTTATTACTTTTGAAAATAATTGAATGCTTGTGATAAATATTGTTATTTTTCAAAATAATTGAAATTTTGACAATAAAATTATTAAAATTTTGGAAAATAATTGAATTTTGAATAGAATTTTATTAAAATTTCTGAAAATAATTGAATTTCTGGAAAGAATTTTGATATTTATCAAGGTAATTGAATTCTTTTGTAGAATTTTATAACATTTTTTTAAATAATTGATTTTTTCGAACAAATTGTCAATTCCTTTTAAGAAAATTGAATTTCTGTGAAATTAAAAATTTTTTATGAAAATAATTGAATGTTTTATCACAATTTCATCAATTTCTTCTGATGAATATTATTATTTCTCAAAATAATTGAAATTTTTGAAAATAATTGAATCTATGTAAGAAATTTGATTATTTATGAAAATAATTGAATTATTGCGAAGAAATTTATATAGAATTTGTAAATAATAGAATTCTTGGAAAATTTTTATTATTTAATTAATTCATTCAAAATTGGAATTTTACAAAATTTCACATGAAAATGATTTTGTGAAATTAAAAACATGACTTTCTGCTTGTCGCATTTTTTGATTAATTAATCAAAGTTAATTTTCTTTTCAGTTGGACTATTCAGTTTTACATCAAGTATTACTAGAACGTGACATAACTCTGCATATATTAATGGACGGAGATTTTCAATTCAATAAAACACGATTGAATAAAATGTTTTATGGCCTGGACGCCACAAAGTCATACACGAAGAAAGATTCACGAATTTTGACGGGAGACGTTGATTTAAGAAGACAAGTGAAGTTACCAAAAACTGCCTTGGGTTATTGTACACCCCTATCATTGGAGTCAAATGGCACAATATTTAGCGGTAATAAATTGAGAACTGGCAAAATTCCGTCAGTTAAAAAATTCGTCACCGTTTTCTCGAAAAGAATTGTCGTCTCGGCGGAACCAAATCCTTGTCAACATTGCGAATGTATTGCGGATAATGACGGAATCACAAAAATGGAATGTACCGCATGCGATTATCCAACGCCTGTTAATGTTGATTACGTAAACGTAAGTAATTTCACTAAATTAGAAAAATAATAAATTAATAGAAAAAAAATATGTAAATAATTTTAAAACCGAATATAATTATTATTCAGCCTAAAATAAAATATTTTTTTTGCAGGAGACCTTCGACGAGGAATTTTTGTCAGTCCTTCAACCATCAGATCTAGATTACGATCAAACCGAAACTGATGAAGATTTATAAGGTATAGCAAATCTACATAAAACTTTTTTTTAATTTATTTAAGATTATTTTCACTTCTTTTTTTTACAATTAACTTTAATTTCGTAAGTATTCTCTACGTGACTGTTTATAACATAGGAACTAGTCTATTGCTCAATTGAATATTAATAATAAAAAGAAAAATTACCAAAAAAATAAATAAAATTTCAAGTAGAGAGGAAAATAATTTATTTTTTAAATAAATAAGATCAGTGGAGAAAAAGCGAAAATCTAAAATAATAAAAGAAAAATCATAAAAAAATAGAAATTTCAGTAGAGAGGCTTTAATTTATTCTTTAAATAAAGTAAACAAATAGCGAAAATCTAAAATAAAAGAATCGAAATTCCTATTTGCTGGTTGAAAAAACAAAGATTCAAATTCAGAGATGTTTATGTTTTTAATAATACGTAAGAGTTAACATTGGCCAGTGTTTTTAGTTTACAAACGAGTACGATTACTTGTACAATAATATTAGTCGACACTGAACTCACATTTCGGAAGCAAAAAAAAAATAAAAAAAAATTAGACATAAAAAATGTTCTTTTTCAAATTTATAATTTGAATTACATTGATTTCATTCTTTCTTTCATTAAAAAATGGAACTCCCATCATTCGTATAAAGTTCCAAAAATTCATTGTATATAAATCGATCTTTTAAAAAATATATCTTACACAAGAAAAAGAGAACAAATGAATACAAGTTTTCTTTTTTTTTTTTTACTTAAAAAGACTTTAAAAATGTTATAACAATATTAAAAATGTCAACAATTAACCAACTGCAGAGAAATATGGTCACCTTGAATCACTTTGCAGGTGATTGGGGGCATCAGCAAATGTGAACTTTAATTTGTAGGCTTCCGCAACCAAAACTCCAATTTCCGAATCTGTCCAATTTTGTGTTGGCAGATTTTGAAGCATTAACATTAGTCCCTGAAACGAAAACAAAAAAATAATTAATTGAGAACTTATTTTTAATAAAACAAGAAGAAAGCGATTACTCCGAGTCTTCGATTTCTTCATGTTTTATATTCTAGTTAATCAAAATTATTTTCATCATTTCAATTCAATTATTATTTTCTAGAATTTTTAACTAAAATTCTTCTTTAAATCAATTATTTATAAAAAGTTCTTTGAGAGTTTTCAAATCCATTTATTTACAATTCAATTCTACAAAATTTCGATTATTTGGAAATTCTTCAATTAAATATATTGTTAGAAAATAAAAACTTCAAATAATTTCAGAAAAAATTCAATTAAACTTTAAAAAAAAATTAATTCTGCAGAATTTTTAGTTAAGAGTATGAAAAATTACCATTTTCAAAGATTTTAATTTGAAATCTTTTCAGAATTCAATTATTTCTAAAATTTACGCTATAATGCTTTAAATTTTCAATTATTATCTAAAATTTTACCTAAAATTCATTTTTATATCAATTTTTATTAGAAAAATCTACGAGAATTCAATTATTTAAATACAAAAAATAATTGAATTCTTTTGAAAAATTTTATTAAAAAAGTAGTTATTGAAAATCATTAAATTGAGGAAAATTTTTGAAAATAATTGAATTTTTCAAAGAATTTTATTAAAATTTATGAAAATAATTGAATGTTTGCACACAATTTTATCAATTTTTTTTAATATCTGTATTCTTTTGGAAAATTTTATTAAAATAGTAGATATTGAAAATAATTAAATTGAGGAAAATTTTTGAAAATAATTGAATTTCAGGAAAGAATTTTGACATTTATCAAAGTAATTGAATTCTTCAAAAGAATTTTATAACATTTTCTTAAATAATTGATTTTTTCGAAAATATTGTCAATTCTTTTTTAATCATTTGAATTTCTGTGAAATTTTAAATTATATTTCTGAAAATAATTTAATTTTTGAGAAGAATTTGATTACTTTTGAAAATAATTGAATTTGTGCAATCATTTGTAACTTCTCCAAAATTCAATTTTTTTCTAGTTTTTAACTAAAATTCTTTTATAGGCTTAATTTTTAATAATTTATTAAATATAATATTGAAGAAAACGAATTTCAGAATAGTTTGAATTATTAAAATTTTTCAAAAATCTAAGATCTTTAAAATGATTTATCATTAAAAATTGAAATTTAAAAAATTTCAAATTAAAACCTTTTGAAGTTCATCTATTTATGAAAATTGTTAAGGAAACTCTTTTAAAATCCAATTAATTTTGAAATATTTAATAAAATTATTCATTAAATAATTTGTGAATAATAATTTTATGATTGTTCTTAAAGAATTTTGTCGCGTTAAATTATAAAAAAAACAATTAAAACCGAAAATCGTATATCAACAGAATATTAATATTTTAAAAATATATATTTACTTGAAAGTCTGGTTGAAGAAGGAGATGTCGCCTCCATCTTAATAGAAAAGCTGCACAAACATAAAGTTGAAAAGAAGCAAAACGATCAGATTCTGCCAGATAGGTATCCCAGAGACGAATTGTACAATGTAGAGGAATTTCTCTTGTTAATAAATTATTCATCCAACGAAATGAAAATTGCAAATAATCCACTCCGTGTTGATGTAAATGCTGATGTAGTGGAGCTAAAATCATTTTTCAAAAGATTTTGTCCAATTAATAATTATTATTCTAATGAATAAATTGTTTAAAACTAAATTTGATTATTAAACGTTTAAACAAAAATTAAAAGTTGAAAAAATTTAATGAAACAGTAAATTAATTACCATCGATTCTTTGTATCAATTCTTTTAATTGATTAACTTTGTGCTGAATTCCTAATTGAGCAAAGATGTAATTGTCTTGAATGCCGTCTAAAAATTTCGACAAGCACCAAAAACTATCGGCTTCTATAATATCACGCTTATCTTTAGGCAGAGATTCTACGACGTAATTTTCAAGATCATGCCATGCAGATCTTGGTACTGCTTCTTGAAGGAATACAAGAAAGAACGGAGTCACCAAGTCATTCATACCCTTTAGAAAATAATTTTGAAAATTTATTATTAAAATTTCTCAGTTATTATTGGTAGAGAAATAGAAAATTTTGTTCAATAAATTACCTGTACATATCCAGAAGCCGGATGTCTTATAGCCCATATATAAAGAATTCTTTCAAATATCATTTGGACAGATGTTTGTTGAAAAAGTGAGATAAGTGGTGACATTCTTGGAATATCAATATGTATTTGTCGATATGTATCTTGAAATCCTTCATCTCTTTCAACATCATAATATTGTTTAACTAAACTCCAATAATCCATACGTTTTCGTTCCAGTACCTGTTGTCTCCGTTCCAAATTTGTCGGAAGATACTCCTAACATATTATTTCATTTAAATTTTTTCAATCAATTTAAAAAATATGTCATCTTGTCTCTATTTTTTTTTAAACTTACAGAAAGCAGTCTCCATGTTACAGATCGTAATTTGGCAGGTATACCAGACCAAGAGAGTTCTCGTAATTCGTTTAAATTAAGTAACGACGATTCCAATAACGATTGGAATTTATCTATTTTACTTTCACCATCTAAAAATATAGTAAATGGAGAAAAATTGCATAAATTTATAAGAGGAATTTTTAAATTTAAAAAAAAATTATTGCACTGAAGTTTTATTTACAGGGTTGACACAAATATTTAATTTTATTAAATAAAAATTAAAAGAGAGGAAAAAATGTTGAATTTTAAGAAAATCGGATTTTTGAACTTTTTCGAATTTTTGATAATTTTAGATTTTTTACCAAAGAGTCGAGACAATTTAACAAGTAAAGTATTTTCCAAAAGCACAAAAATAATGAAGCTAAATCCCATAAAAGAGAGGAAAAAATGTTGAATTTTAAGAAAATCGGATTTTTGAATTTTTCGAATTTTTGATAATTTAAGATTTTTTACCAAAGAGTCGAGACAATATAATAAGTAAAGTATTTTCCAAAAGCACAAAAATAATAAAGCTAAATCCCATAAAAGAGAGGAAAAAATGTTGAATTTTAAGAAAAACGGATTTTTGAATTTTTTCGAATTTTTGATAATTTTAGATTTTTTTCCAAAGAGTCGAGACTATTAAATAAGTAAAGTATTTTCCAAAAGCACAAAAATAATAAAGCTAAATCCCATAAAAGAGAGGAAAAAATGTTGAATTTTAAGAAAATCGGATTTTTGAATTTTTCGAATTTTTGATAATTTAAGATTTTTTACCAAAGAGTCAAGACTATTAAATAATAAAAGTATTTTCCAAAAGCACAAAAAAAAAGAAAGCTAAATCCCATAAAAGAGAAGAAAAGATGTTGAATTTTAAGAAAATCGGATTTTTGAATTTTTTCGAATTTTTGATAATTTTAGATTTTTTACCAACGAGTCGAGACAATTTAATAAGTAATGTATTTTCCAAAAGCACAAAAATAATGAAGCTAAATCCCATAAAAGAGAGGAAAAAATGTTGAATTTTAAGAAAAACGGATTTTTGAATTTTTTCGAACTTTTGATAATTTTAGATTTTTTTCCAAACAGTCGAGACTATTAAATAAGTAAAGTATTTTCCAAAAGCACAAAAATAATGAAGGTAAATCCCATAAAAGAGAGGAAAAAATGTTGAATTTTAAGAAATTCGGATTTTTGAATTTTTGATAATTTTCGATAATTTTAGATTTTTTACCAAAGAGTCAAGACAATTTAATAAGTAAAGTATTTTCTAAAAGCACAAAAATAATGAAGCTTAATCCCATAAAAGAGAAGAAAAAATGTTGAATTTTAAGAAAATCGGATTTTTGAATTTTTGATAATTTTCGATAATTTTGATTTTTTACCAAAGAGTCCAGACAATTTAATAAGTAATGTATTTTCCAAAAACACAAAAATAATCAAGCTAAATCCCATAAAAGAGAGGAAAAAATGTTGAATTTTAAGAAAATCGGATTTTTGAATTTTTCGAATTTTTGATAATTTAAGATTTTTTACCAAAGAGTCGAGACTATTAAATAAGTAAAGTATTTTCCAAAAGCACAAAAAAAATGAAGCTAAATCCCATAAAAGAGAAGAAAAAATGTTGAATTTTAAGAAAATCGGATTTTTGAATTTTTTCGAACTTTTGATAATTTTAGATTTTTTTCCAAACAGTCGAGACTATTAAATAAGTAAAGTATTTTCCAAAAGCACAAAAATAATGAAGGTAAATCCCATAAAAGAGAGGAAAAAATGTTGAATTTTAAGAAATCCGGATTTTTGAATTTTTGATAATTTTCGATAATTTTAGATTTTTTTCCAAAGAGTCGAGACTATTAAATAAGTAAAGTATTTTCCAAAAGCACAAAAATAATAAAGCTAAATCCCATAAAAGAGAAGAAAAAATGTTGAATTTTAAGAAAATCGGATTTTTGAATTTTTCGAATTTTTGATAATTTAAGATTTTTTACCAAAGAGTCAAGACTATTAAATAATAAAAGTATTTTCCAAAAGCACAAAAAAAAAGAAAGCTAAATCCCATAAAAGAGAAGAAAAGATGTTGAATTTTAAGAAAATCGGATTTTTGAATTTTTTCGAATTTTTGATAATTTTAGATTTTTTACCAACGAGTCGAGACAATTTAATAAGTAATGTATTTTCCAAAAGCACAAAAATAATGAAGCTAAATCCCATAAAAGAGAGGAAAAAATGTTGAATTTTAAGAAAATTGGATTTTTGAATTTTTCGAATTTTTGATAATTTTAGATTTTTTACCAAAGAGTCGAGACAATTTAATAAGTAAAGTATTTTCCAAAAGCACAAAAATAATGAAGCTAAATCCCATAAAAGAGAGGAAAAAATGTTGAATTTTAAGAAAAACGGATTTTTGAATTTTTTCGAACTTTTGATAATTTTAGATTTTTTTCCAAACAGTCGAGACTATTAAATAAGTAAAGTATTTTCCAAAAGCACAAAAATAATGAAGGTAAATCCCATAAAAGAGAGGAAAAAATGTTGAATTTTAAGAAATCCGGATTTTTGAATTTTTGATAATTTTCGATAATTTTAGATTTTTTTCCAAAGAGTCGAGACTATTAAATAAGTAAAGTATTTTCCAAAAGCACAAAAATAATAAAGCTAAATCCCATAAAAGAGAGGAAAAAATGTTGAATTTTAAGAAAATCGGATTTTTGAATTTTTCGAATTTTTGATAATTTAAGATTTTTTACCAAAGAGTCAAGACTATTAAATAATAAAAGTATTTTCCAAAAGCACAAAAAAAAAGAAAGCTAAATCCCATATAAGAGAAGAAAAGATGTTGAATTTTAAGAAAATCGGATTTTTGAATTTTTTCGAATTTTTGATAATTTTAGATTTTTTACCAACGAGTCGAGACAATTTAATAAGTAATGTATTTTCCAAAAGCACAAAAATAATGAAGCTAAATCCCATAAAAGAGAGGAAAAAATGTTGAATTTTAAGAAAATTGGATTTTTGAATTTTTCGAATTTTTGATAATTTTAGATTTTTTACCAAAGAGTCGAGACAATTTAATAAGTAAAGTATTTTCCAAAAGCACAAAAATAATGAAGCTAAATCCCATAAAAGAGAGGAAAAAATGTTGAATTTTAAGAAAAACGGATTTTTGAATTTTTTCGAACTTTTGATAATTTTAGATTTTTTTCCAAACAGTCGAGACTATTAAATAAGTAAAGTATTTTCCAAAAGCACAAAAATAATGAAGGTAAATCCCATAAAAGAGAGGAAAAAATGTTGAATTTTAAGAAATTCGGATTTTTGAATTTTTGATAATTTTCGATAATTTTAGATTTTTTACCAAAGAGTCAAGACAATTTAATAAGTAAAGTATTTTCTAAAAGCACAAAAATAATGAAGCTTAATCCCATAAAAGAGAAGAAAAAATGTTGAATTTTAAGAAAATCGGATTTTTGAATTTTTGATAATTTTCGATAATTTTGATTTTTTACCAAAGAATCCAGACAATTTAATAAGTAATGTATTTTCCAAAAACACAAAAATAATCAAGCTAAATCCCATAAAAGAGAGGAAAAAATGTTGAATTTTAAGAAAATCGGATTTTTGAATTTTTCGAATTTTTGATAATTTAAGATTTTTTACCAAAGAGTCGAGACTATTAAATAAGTAAAGTATTTTCCAAAAGCACAAAAAAAATGAAGCTAAATCCCATAAAAGAGAAGAAAAAATGTTGAATTTTAAGAAAATCGGATTTTTGAATTTTTTCGAACTTTTGATAATTTTAGATTTTTTTCCAAACAGTCGAGACTATTAAATAAGTAAAGTATTTTCCAAAAGCACAAAAATAATGAAGGTAAATCCCATAAAAGAGAGGAAAAAATGTTGAATTTTAAGAAATCCGGATTTTTGAATTTTTGATAATTTTCGATAATTTTAGATTTTTTACCAAAGAGTCAAGACAATTTAATAAGTAAAGTATTTTCCACATTAAAAAGTTTGACATTAAAAAATATATAAGAAATGCCAATACTTAACCCACAAAATTTAATTTTCAAAACAAACAAATGAATGCAGATAATTTGTTAACGGAAAGGAAACTTACGATTATTATAATGTATTATAATGTATTATTTTTAATTTTGATTATCATAAAATTTTTTGAAAAAAATTTAATTATTTACAAAAATCCTTAGCAATAATTTAATTACTTTACAAGCAGTAAAAGTTCTCAAAAGAATTCAATTATTTAAAAACAAATGTAATAAAATTCGTTGCAAGAATTCAATTATTTTAATAAATAATAAATTGATTATTCGGAAATTCATTTTTAAATCAATTTTTATTAGAAAATTCTACGAAAATTTAATTATTTAAATTCAAAAATAAATAACTTATTGAATAATTGAATTTTTGTTAAAATTGAATTCGCATAAAAAATTTTATCAACATTTTTTTAAATAATTGGATTCTTTTGACGAATTTTAATAAAAGTTTCAAGAATAATCACATTTTTCAAGGAATTCGATTAAAATTGTATCAAAAATAATTCAAATTCTGCAATAAGTTTTATTATTTATGAAAATAATTAAATTACTGAGAACAGTTTTATTATTTATAAAAATAATTGAATTATTGTAAGAAAATTTATAAAAAATTTGTAAATAATTGAAATCTGGAATATTTTTAATATTTATAAAAAAGAAATTTGTTTGCGTACAATTTTAGTAGATAATTTTAAAATAATTGAATTTCAGCGAAGATTTTATAAAGATAAAGAAAAAAAAATCATGACGAGAATTTTTTTTTAAATTTCTGAAAAGAATTTTCGAACTCTTGAAAATAATTTTATTTTCGTGATTAATATTGTTATTTATGCAAATAATTAAATTTTGCAAAGAATTTTTTTTAAAATTTTAAAAGTAATTGAATTTGTGGGAAGAATTTTGATATTTATCATAGTAATTGAATTCTTTAGAAAAATTTTATAACATTTTCTTAAATAATTGATTTTTTCGAAAACATTGTATATTCTTTTTTAAATAATTGAATTTCTGTGAAATTTTAAATTATTTATGAAAATAATTAAATGTTTTATCACAATTCCATCAATTTTTTTTTAATAACTGAATTCTGTCGAGAAATTATAGTAAAATAGTAGATATTGAAAATAAATTTTTTATTTATAAAGATAATTGAAATCTTGACTAGAATTTAAAAAAAAAATTTGAAAATAATTGAAATTTTGACAAGAAATTTATTAAAATTTTTATTGAATTTTGAAGAACAGTTTTGCTATTTATAAATATAATTAAAGTCTTGAGTATAGAATTTAAAAAAATTTTTTGAAAATAATTGAATTTTTCTGAAGAATTTTATTACTTTTAAAAATAATTGAATTCTTGTGATGAATATTGTTATTTATGAAAATAATTGAATTTTGCAAAGAATTTTGTTATAGTACTTTTTTAAATAATTGAATTCTTTTGGGAAATTTTATTAAAATAGATGTTTAAAATCATTGAATTGAGGAAAATTTTTGAAAATAATTAAGATTTTCCCAAGAATTTTATTAAAATTTTTGAAAATAATTGGATTTTAGAGAAGAATTTTATTATTTATAAAGATACTTAAAATTTTGACAAGAATTTTTAATAACTCTTTAACATAATTGAATTTCTGCAATTATATTTATAACTTCTTCAAAATTCAATTTCTTTCTAGTTTTTAACTAAAATTCTTCTATAGATCCATAATTTTTAATAATTAATTAAATATGTATTAAAAAATGTAACTAATTTCAGAAGAATTTGAATTATTAAAATTTAAAAAAAGCTAAGTTCTTTAAAATTTCTAATTAAATTCATTTAAAATTGAGAGTTTTGTTATGAAATTTAAAAATTCTATTTTTTCCTGTACTTTTACTAAAAATTCCTGACTTTCTCAGATTTCCCTGATTTTTCCCTGAATTTCCTGACTTGTGGCAACCCCGATTTAGTTTAGAATTTTGAAAAAGTTGATTTTAGAATCTTACCTTGATCTTTGGACGCTATATAAAATTTACTCGTGGCATTTGCCTGTTTTAATGGCTGTGGTCTTCCTGGAAATTGTGAATGTTTATGATGTGGCGAAATACTAGACTTAACTGCTATTTGCTCCAAATTATGTGGATTTTGGCGATTAATAACGGCAGTTCCTAAATTTGCATTTCTTAATTGTAACGGTTGAACGGCCAATCTTTGAAGAGCCTCGACTTTCTTTTCTTCGGGAATTATTTCCCTTGGACGATGTTCTTTTAAATTTGTTTGTGATTCTATACATGTTGTGGCAGATCTGTGACTATTAATGACACTTAACGCCGCTGATTTACTCACTCTCTTTGATATTCTCACGTCTGAAACAGTACAAAATTCATCGTCACCCGAATCCCAAGCGTCATCGACACTCGATTGAAAATCTTGAAATGACGTCGAACTTGAGGCACTACCACTGCCAGTCGCCCCACCAGAACCTCCTAAATTACTTGCATAATTTAATCCTGCAGCATTTCCTTTACCATGTTTCGCGTCTTGTTTTGGACTAGGCCTGGAAATTAAATGAAAATAGAAAGCGAGAAATTGTTAAGTTTCAAATTAAAAATAAAAAATTCAAATTAAAAATCCAAACTTTAAATTAAAAAAAGATCCAGAGAAATTATAAATTCTACCCTAAAGGAGAAAGGAAATATTACGAACCTGCCTGGAATAGCTCGATTATTCTTCTTCCAAAACGACTGATAACTTTGGTGAGTTTGATGAAGGCGATTTTGATTTTCCATTTCTTTTTCTAATATCACAATCAGTTAACGCATGTCGACTGAATTTTAAAAATTCGTTGCATTTGTTTCACATCATTGAAATCTAATAAATAAAAACTTATTAGTGTAAAAAATATTTACAAATATTTAAATATTAGGAAATAAAAAATATCATTTCTAAAATGAAATTTACAAATATTCAGATAAGAATTACTGTATCTTTTGGAGAAAAATGAAAACTAAAAAAACAAGTGGATTGTAAAATGTGCATAAGTGTTATAAAAAGTAATACGTTATTATTTCATTATCAGCTAATATAAACACGTCATAAAAAGAACTTTAAACAAAGCAAAATTATTGAAAAATCCTTATTCTTTAAAATGTATGTATATTTTTTGTCAATAAAAAATTTATAAATACATTTTTATAGCAGTTGAGAAGTGAAGATTAATTTTTAAACGTAATAATCAAGTATATGAGCCATGATAAGAATGAAATACAGTGACCCACAGGGCATTTCGTGCATTTAATTACATGTCATTGAGGTTATGTTTTTCATATAAGTAAATGAATAAGGAAATTAAATACATTGACATACCACGCATCTCTTTACAGTAAAATAACGAAACGATTTAAAAATAAAATCCAGCAATATTATTTTGAATTTAATATTATACAGACTAAATTTACTAATATTAATTAGAAATAGAGATTAATTATTATTTAATTAAAGTGTATTTTTACCGTTTTCTCCAAAATTTGAAAACACAGTGATTGTTATTGTAAATATATTTACCAGTCATCTAATTTCTTGTAAAATTGGTAACAAACAGACGTGACAATTTGACAATTAATAACAGCTTTTATAAATAGAAATTGTGGTAGTGATAGTAGCAGACGTGTGACAATTAGTTAACAAAGTAGATTTTACCGTTAGTGTTACCGATAGAACAAAAAAGAAGTCGGTAAACTTAATTTCTACTATGTTATTTAAGCATTGTGAACGGGGCTTTAGATCATTTAAGTGGCGTTCACTGTGTAAAAAGGACATCAATCATCAAGAATGTAGTTTCCCAGCCTTGCTTTTCATGCAAGCAACAATAGGTGTAATCCTACCTTTAACCTATATTTATACAACATCCTAATCTGTCATCAGTGGATACAAATGGCAAATTCCATAAAAACACCTTCACTATTTGTTATTATTTACTTGTGTATACTTATATGATTTATTTATTCATTAGTGAAAATAGTTTTCCAATGATATATTTTTATAGTCTTTATTGATATAAAAGTATAATATAGTCAATTTCATCAATTTCTAAAAGAAGCATTTAGTGATAACGTTTAGTGTATATGTATAGTTTTACCTAATTATTGGGGATAATAATTCATGACAATAGGTATGTAGAATTAAATAATATATTAGAATATTAAGAAATTTTAAATTTGAAAATTTGGAAATGTTCAGAATTACAGTGAAACATTTTCTTGTATTTTCCTTCGTAGTGTTCGCACAAATTGCCAGCTATGAGTCATATTTTCTATACTTATAACATTTTATTTTTAATTGATTTTTTCTAGTCATTTTTTATTTACAAAATTAATTTCCTACAAACAGAATATAAATTATTCTGAAACATTTTTCTTTTGTATATGTGAAATATGGTTTAATTTTCTTTTTCAAATCATAGATTTGCAGACAAAAAACTAGGTCTTCCTTTCTTCAGAAAGCTGAACTAACTTAATTATATTTTCCATTATCGTGTGGTCTACTTAACTATACTCTTTCTAGTCTTTATTTTTATTTTAACTTAACTATCGAAAGTTTACGAGGAACTTGACTTATAATTATAATAAAATTTTTAAATAATAAATCGCAATAAACATTGCTTCTATTTCCTATCTGTAATTACAGTCTAACTGTTGTAAAATATATGTACAGTTTTGATTTTCAAGAATTTCACCAGAGCACTATTTTTATTTACTAATATTTACACTTAGATTTATGTGAATTTTTACGAATTTCAGAAAATAATCTTTGATCTTTGATTTCATAATGAGATAGTTATGTATATCATCACGATTATTTATCTTGATTTTTTTTTTTTAGATTTTCATTATTGACTTTTGAAACATGTCGGATGTGGAAGGTGAAGATGAAGTGAGTGAAAAGTTATAAAAGAATTTTTGCTTAAGAATAACGAAAATTTTTTTTATTCTACAATTTTGTATTTTATATTTCAGTTCCAAGATGCTCAGGAAAATTTACCGCAGTATGTATTTTTCTTTTTGATTATGTGATTAAACAACCTTATCATCAATCATTCTCGTAATTGTTATGTATTATTCAAGTATTTTTGTTTAATGTGACTTATTAACTTCTAAATTACTTTTTTTTTCTTGTGAAATCTAATTTGATTTTTAATGAGTAATTTATTTCTCCTTTTTGCAAATAATTTTTCTAAATAGTAGAAAATTATTATATATATTTTCTCTTTTGAATATTTATTTTGTAATATTTTGGTTTTAATAATTATTTTTAATATTAAAATGAAATATTAATTAAACATTATTTAGTATTAGTTCCAGTAATATTTACAAATAGTTGGAATTTATTAATTTTTTTCTGCATTTTTCTAGACTTACTTCCATGGATTTGGAGACTGCGTTAATGGAATCAAAACAAGCTATTCATTACTTTTTCAATAATGATTTTGAGAAGGCAAAAAAAATTATGGAACCATGGGCCAATAGTAGTATGTATCACGCATTAGGAAACAGTGTCTTTGCATTTTTGGAGGCAATACTCACGTTCGAGCACGTAAGTAAATTTTATTAAATTGTTATCAAAACTATTATTACATTGAATTATTCAAAAAAAAGAAAAATTGAACAATTTAAATTAACGTTTCAAAATTAAGTTTTAATTTATTTTAAAATTTATTTTTTCCTTCTTCAAATTAAAATTTTTTTATAATAATTTTGTTATCGATAAAAATTAATCTAAAAGTTTCTAAAGGTAAAATTAAATTTTTTTAATTTTTCCTGTAATCGGTAATTTATGAAAATATTTTTAAATAACAAATATTTCGTTCATTTGAACCTTAAAAACTTGAGGATCACGTTTTACATTTAAAATACATTTTTTTCAATTCAGAAATACATCGAAAAAGCATCAGAATCATTAAAACAATGCATAGCCGTTTGTTCACGACAACGCAGACATTCTAGTCTTACACAGAATATTGGAAAAATGGTGAAGAGAACGAATTACGATTCCTATACACTTGGTAATGTATAAAAAAAATTATACAGACAAAAAATATTAATTTTTGCAGCTTAGATGCTTTTTATTCGCATGCGACAAAACTTTTTATAAAGTGACTAATAACAATTGTCAGATAAAACAAGTAATATATTTATCGCATTAACAAAAATAATGGTATTTATTGAAAAATTTATCATACTCTGTTTGTGCTAAATCTCTAAGACATAAATAATTATAAAAACGACAGCAAAACAGAAAAAAAAACCATTATTACAATTTAAAAACTGTATCTCAATTTATTCACATTTTTATCGTATTAATTGTTTTGTAGTTATATTTATACTTCTTTTAGTGATAAAAAAAAATATAGCGACTGTTTTCGTAGAAGAAAAATTGACGTTATCTTGTTAATTACTATTTGTTTAACAATTTATAGTAAATGGCATGTGAAACTTTAGTAAATTGTAATTCTCTTGGGTAATTTTTTTTGCAAATTTTGTTATTTTGTAATTTTTTTAATTACGGAATATTTTATAATTTTATTGTTAAATTACTTTGCTGTTGATAAATTTTTTTGCATTTTTTTAATTGATAAATTTTTTTTGTATTTTTTTAATTGATAACTTTTTTATTGATAATTTTTTTTTATTAATCTTTTTTTTTATTGATACATTTTTTTATTAATCATTTTTTTTATTGGTCCATTTTTTTATTGATACATTTTTTTGGTCCATTTTTTTATTGAAACATTTTTTCACTTTGTCACTGAGTAATTAAAGAATTATTTTGTATTTTTTTGTCTAAAATTCGTAATTTGGTGAATTATCGAAATAATAATGTAGGTTGTAGTGCATGCAGGGAATGACATTAAAATTACTATTACAGAGGAAGTGCATGCGGAACTGTGCTATGCAGAATCACTCCTCTTGAAGTCGATGCTTACATTTGTGGAGGACGAAACACTGGTCAGCTTTGTCAAGGCTGGATTGAAAATTCGAACCTGTTTTCTTTCTTACAAGTATATCGCGCAACTTGCTTTTGATATGCTTAACACAAATTTTCAATATTTTTACTCTATATAACAAAAGATGATTTATTATAATTTTCCATTTTTAGGGAATGTGCATTGATTTTGAAAACACGCAAATGGGAAAATGAAGCGCAGAAAGCACATTTCGAGAGTGGCGTTCAAATGGGCCTTGGATCGTTTAATTTGGTATGAAAAATATTTATTGTTAAAATTCTTTTTTAGTTAATATGTTTTTAGTTCTATATATTTTTTTTCAGTATTTATTTGTGACCCGCTCCAAATTATTAGCAATAATAATTGATTCTCTGTATTTTTTTCCAAAGATTATAAACATTACCGAAAATTTATTGCTTATGAGTAAATTTTTTAAACTGTTACTTTTTCGTCTTTGTTAGTTTGCTTTTCTGTTTTCAAAAATTAAATCAAATTTTCTTTTCAGATGATATCATTGCTGCCGGGAAGAATAATAAAATTACTTGAGTTCATTGGCTTTTCAGGCGACAAGGTAAACATTTTATTTACATTTTATTCAATATTATATTCTTGGAAAATTCTAGAAAATCGTAAGTATACAAATTTTTTCTCTTTTTGCAGAATTACGGTTTATCGGAATTGCACGCCGGTTACAATGATCGAAGGGGCATTCGTCAAGTATTGTGTGCGATGAATCTTCTCTCCTATCATTTAATTGTCTCCTTTGTATTGAGTCACACCGACGGCGATTTAAATTGGTGTGAAAAAGCTCTTGAACAGGAGCTAAGTCTCTATCCGAATGGCGTTTGGTTCTTGTTTTTCAAAGCACGTCTCGAATTCGCTCGTGGAAATTTGGAGGATTGCGTACAATGGTACATAAAGTCGTGGAAGAGTCAAGAATTATGGCCACAATTTCATCATCTTTGCTTTTGGGAATTAATGTGGGCGCATTCGTTGCAACAACAGTGGGATCAATCTCTAAAATACGCCACATTACTTGTCAAGGAATCAAATTGGTCACGAACTATTTATCTCTATCAACAGGCGGCAATTATGATTATGATGAGGAACGCCTCGAAAGATGACGATCGTCATTCAATTGATAGTTTATTGATGCAAGCGCCGACATTTAAGCAACGAATTGCTGGGAAATCATTGCCAATGGAGAAGTTTGTTATTAAAAAAGTTGAACGTTATTTTGCACAAAAGAAACATTTAGTTTTGCCAATGTATGAATTGATGTTTGTTTGGAATTTGTTCCGTGTTGCTGGCAAGAGGCAGGATATCGTTATGAAAATGTATCAGACCATCGAGGAGGAGGATCGGATCTTTAAGGATGCGCCGTACGTTTTATTTTTTAGTAATTTTTCTTTCATTCTGGTACATTTTTTTTATCCTTTATTTTTGAATCAAGTATTTTATTTTCTGTTAAAAGGAGAATTATTGTAGATAATTGCAAATTAAATTGTGTTTTGTTTCAGGAAAACGGAATTCCAGATGGACAATGAGGCACTTATTTTATTATTGAAAGGAGCATGCTTGAGACAAATGAAGCATCCTTTACAAGCTGAGGAGTGTTTGAAGAAAGTAATTCAATCGGAAAAGCAGATTAGAGAAGATAGTTACCTACTTCCTTATGCAGCTGTCGAACTCGCTTTGTTGGCTCGGGACGAGGGAAACATTCAAAATGCAATATCACTCCTCGAAGATGCCAAGTAAATATAAATTAATTTTTTTCGTACCCTTGGAAAATTGTAATCGTTTATTACAATTTGATTGAAAAGATTGAAAAGATTGAAAAAAAAGATTGATTGAAGAAGGACAAAAAGTTCGTAAATTGTACGATAAAGTTTGGAGAGTTTTAAAGAAATTACAAATGATTGCAGAAAATCAATTATTTTCAAATTACCAATAATAATTCTAGTAAAAATTTAAAATTATCTTTAGAAACAAAATTCTTTTCCGAAATACAATTATTTTCAAAAATATTCAAATTCTTGGCAAAATTTTAATTATTTTCAAAAATTTTCCTCAATTTAATGATTTTCAATATCTACTATTCTAATCAAATTTTCCAAAAAAATTCAATTATTTCAAAAATATTTAATATAATTCTACGCAATTTTTAAAAAACAATAAAATTCTTCTTAGGGATTCAATTATTTTCACAAATAATAAAACTCATCTCAGAATTTCAATTACTTTTAATACAATTTTAATCAAATTTCTCGAAAAATGTAATTATTTTAAAAAATTTCATTAAAATTTGTCGAAAGAATTCAATTATTAAAAAATTTGTTGATAAAATTCTTTATGGGAATTGAATTTTAAAAAACATTCAATTATTCAATAAATTATTTATTTGCATATTATCTGTTTTTAAAATAATTGAATTAATAATTCTAATAGAATTTTCTAATTAAAATTGATTTAAAAATGAATTTCAGTTAAAATTTTAGATAATAATTGAATATTAAAAGCAATTCAGCGTGAATTTTTAGAAATAATGGAATTTTGAAATTAATTTTTTTTAAACAGTTTAATTGAATTTTTTTTATATTATTCGAACTTTTTATTTTCTAATATATATTTAATTGAAGAATTTACGAATAATTGAAATGTCGTAAAATTGAATATTGTAAACAAATGGATTTGAAAATTGTCAAAGAACTTTTTCGAAAATTATTAAGAATAATTCGATTTAAAGAAGAATTTTTTGTTAAAAATTCTTGAAAATAATAATTGAGTTGATAATGATTTTATCACTCGGTCATCTTTAAGTAATTTTTTTAGTTTTGGTCCGTAAAGTCCGTATTTTTAAATACTTTCACTGGTTCGAGCCCTGCTCTTTTTTCAGAATGCGTTTTACATTTAAAAAACAGAAATTAGCAAAATTAGATAAACTAAAGAAAACAATTTTTTTTCAGGAAAAATTACACTGGATATTCATTGGAGTCAAGATTGCATTTTAGAATACACGCAGAATTAATGGATCTTACAGGTAAATTATCAACACCAAAATTACCAAATGTCTATGCAATGGATCTAAATGGCGATCTCACTGGTCAATCCAAGCAAGAAGTTAATGTCAGTAATATTAAATTAAAACATTCAAGTTCCACAAAATCTTTGAAAAACAAAATTTTAAACAATTCATAGTTTCGTATTTAAGGTGCTCACCTATTACGTAAAATTCTTTTTTTTTTACTCTTTAAGTTTTTTTCTTAAAGTTTGTAAATTAACTACTTGAATATTAATTTTTTAATTATTGCAATTGACGAATTTTTTTGTTAATTTAAAGTTTATTAATTATTATGATTAACTTCTTTGTTAATTTATAAATTATTAATTATTATAATTAACTTCTTTGTTAATTTATAATTAATCAATTATTATAATTAACTTATTTGTTAATTTAAAATTTATTAATTTTGTATCAATAATCTTCTTCCAGTTCATTCGAATTGTTGTATTTTATATTTTTTTTTTCGTTATTGAATTCTATAAATATTTTATTTCTGATTTGAATGATTCTTTTTGAAAAAGAAAAACAGAGTATTAAATTTTATTACTGCATATGAAGTATTAAGTGGAAAATACTCGAACTTTACTGTCAAAAAGTGTATTTAGTTTGACAGTCATGTTGCATACAATGCCTGTACGTTCAGTATTTAGATTATTAAAGAAATAGTCCTTGAGAATTTATTTATAATAGTCAGTTTGATTCGAATTTTTAATTAAATTAGTAATAATTCCTCTTATTTTTTATACAATTTATAATTTATTTATAATTTATTGAAAGAAAAATAATCGAACAAAGAATTGAGTAGTAAATTACAAAGAAAATTACAAATTTAATTAAAAATTTTTATTTCCTTTTAATTCCACTGAAATATTAATTTGCGTAAAATTGTTTAATTAGTTCAATGTTTTTCTTCAAGGGCTATTTATTTAAATGAACTAATACTGTACTGTGTACATAACATTTAATAATATCGAAATCTAATAACGTACACGTAACATCTTTTCAAAGTACTTTCCAATGTATACATAAATTTTGTAGGTTTGTACATAATAACATGAACATTTTATTTTGTGCATTTACGAGAAAGAGTATTAATACACTGAAAAAAATTAATTTCCAATAATTCGTTAACTGACTAAATAGAATTAATTTAGTTATCAAATGAGAGATATTTAGTGGATTTTTTTTTGCTACTTATTTTACGTTTATTTTTACTTTCTTATTTGATACAAAATAAAGTAAAAATGTGAATTTAATAAATATTTCTATTTATAAAAATAGAAAAATAAAAAAATAAAAATAGAAAAATAAAAATATAAAAAAATAAAAATAGAAAAAATAATAAAAATAGAAAAAAAAATAATAATGGTTTTTTAATTATTGTTAATGATTTAAGTAATTATTAATTCGGCATTAGACAAAAGGGAATTATTTGAATCGAATAATTTCTTTCAGTGTAAGAATATTTCTAGTGACAATTGATATTATGGCTGTTGATGCAATACAATGACTTGAGCATTTGAAGAACGAATCTATGTAATTACAACAGTAAATCGTGGATTATATCTGCGATTAATTTGATAATCATTATCAGGTACATGAGCTTTGCTTTTTTTATAATAAAATATACGAAAAAAGGGTATTTATAATTTAAGATATAAAAGAAAAAAAAAGTAATATACTTCCGGTGATTAGATAAAAGTAATCGATTAAGAATTCTAATTATTTTCAACAAATTTATAATTTAAACAAAATTTTTTTATTTTGAAAAAGTTTTTTTTGGATAAATTAATTTGAATTCTTAATGAAGAACTTATTAATGATATACGGCATTATTAAAAGTCTGCCCAGTATTTATACTCTTGTTTTTTGTGTGCAGTGCTTTCCAGTAGTAAATATATATAAAAATGAATTGTTAATTAGTTTTTTATTATTTATTTAATAACTTTATCATGTTCATTGTTTATAATAATTATTATATTATTATATAATATATACAACACACGTGGTTTATGTGCAATTTATAGTATTTCTGTTAAAGCAATTTTTAATTTATATATAATATATTATACACACAATATGTGTAGTTAATAATTGGAGCAAAATTTTGTTTGTAGTTAATTTACAGCAGAAAATTGGAAATAATTAATAGAATCAAAACAAGGATTTAATCTAGAAATTAATATGCTTATTGGTAAATAATAGAGTTAAATGTCTTTTTGTAGGAGAGAAAAAAAGTTAATGTCATGTTTAACACGTTTTTTTCTGATACGGCGAGAAAAATTAATTAATTCAGGTAATTAATTATCTTGTTTGAGACAAGTGATGTGTGGAAATTTCTTTGAAAATATGTAATTCGAAATCGACGGAAATGTAAATAATAAAAAGAGGATTTATTAACTACATTTATTATTGTCCAATGAATGATTTATATTAATTTTGTGATTTATTATGTTTGTTTGTTAATTTTTTGAATGTCATCGGTGTAATTAATATTATTTTTTAATTAATTTTATATTTTAATTATTTCTTAATTTAAAAAATCAATGAATCATTGTTGCCAACACAAAAAAAAATGCATTCAGTCAGCGTGTGGATTGCACTTTAAGCATAGCCAGAGTTGGGAAGGTGTGATATTAAAGGTATTTTTTCCAGTTTATTAAGTTTAATTATTTACATAAATCCAAGAAATAACATTAATAATAAAGTTGAATTAAGTTTTTAGTTTCTAATTTGATCAATATATTGATTGGATTTTTTTAATTCGATTAATTCGGAACATTCGGAAAAAGCTGGAAATTTGAGTGAATGCGCCATTTTACTTTTTTTCTAAGCGCGTTCTCTGATTCGCCTGCGCTCAGCCAATAGGAGGTCGTTGGAAGGGAACGAAGGTGGAGAGGACGCGCAGCGCGTCAGTACGTATTTGGATCTCGAAGAGGTAAGTGCATTTTGTTGTTTTGTGGATTTTAGCCTTTTTCTCGCAGTAAATTAGTGTTTATTACAATTTCTGTGTAATTATATTATAAATAGTGTTTTTTAAGCCTGGCGCAGGTAATAATTGAGTAATATATGTATTTTATCTTTACAAAAGGTTGAAATGTTGAGCTCAATCTAGGGATGTTTTCGTTGTTAAAAAACTCAATTTAAATTGATAACTTTTCTTGTTCTTCAGATAAATAATAGCTGATATAATGTATTTTAATAACATTAATGATCGCGTCATTTAAAAAAATGCAAATTTGCCTATTTCCGCCCAAAAAACTTTCAAAGCAAGGTTGGGTCGATCGCTACGGGTTTCGATCATAGAAAACAGTTTTTTAAAACTATTTTACGTGTTTTTTTTACAGTATTAAAATATTTCATTTAGAAAATTTTATGACTTTAGTATATTTTCGTGCTGGGAGTATTTTATATTAATCAGTAAAAATAAGGATTTAATTAATGTCCTCAAAAACTTTGTCACGCGTAATGGCTGAACCCTGACTTGGAGAATACTCTGAAGTTGTCTTCGAATATCCTTCACACTGGTGGCACTGCGGACGCCATTGTTCCTTTTTTCTCGACCTTCTCGACTAACAGTTTCTGTTCTTTTTCATAAATAATTTACAAAACAATTATTTTCTTGTTACTATAGTTCAATACATTATGTCATTATTTATGTCCCTTCGGATTATTTCGTTATTTCTTTTCGAGTAAGTGAATGTTTCAGGGATTAAGTGAATTAAACAGAAACTTGTATTTAACGTAAAAGTAACACAAACATAACCTTCAAATAAATATAAAAAACGTATATTTTTTTCAGATTCACAATAAAATTTACATTTATCATATATTTACAACTATTTCACAACAAATAAGAATGAATTTTCGAAAATTAATTCACCCCTTTTTTTGTTCCAGAAATTTCTACAGTTGATGAATTACCAAATATGAATAAAATATACATGGAAAAAGTGGATGGAGGAAACTTCCGAATTCTAAATCGTAATTTGTAGAAACGGATTTTTTGTGTCAGGTAAAGTAAAATTTATCTGAATTTCATAATCTATTTGATACATCTTTAGCATTTTCCCTGCCATTGGCAATTCGCGAACCAAATTGAAATGCTCTTTTCGGAAAATTTGCAGCATTCTTGAGATTTAATTTTCTCGCGACTAATCTTAAAAGTAATTTATCTCCCAATCCACAAGGGAATTTCTCAGTTGGACAGCATCTAGGTGAAATAAAAAGATTTATTCACAAGTTTTCATAAACATAAAAAAAGGGAAAAAAATTTCTAATTTCTAAAAGATTTTAATTACCTCTCCCATGGAGGTATGGTTTGAACAAATTCCACTAGATTTTCGTCCAAATAAGGAAATCGTGCCTGCTTTCCATGATCCGAAGTCACTCTGTCATCTCGACCCAAATTTCTATCAGAAATTCTATTTAATTCCAATTTTAATTCCTCGATCAAAGCCTCCCATCCTTTCTGTCTTAAAATTGTTCTGTGCCTCATATAACCTCCAAATAATTCATCAGCTCCCATGCCCAGTAAAAGAATTCGACAGGGAGACTCGTATGGTTCTTCATTTAGAATTCCAATTCCTCGACTGGCAAACCAGAGGGCACAACCCAAACTCTCGTCGAGAATTGTATTCAATGGATAAATTAAATCCGAAATACGAGATGATCGATGAATGTTTAGTTCTTCTTGCGATATATTTACCTTTGAAAAAAAATTAAAGTGTTCTCTAAATTTGAATTAGTAAAAATATCTACTAATTCGAATTAGTGACTGGCTTTTTATTTTTATTAAAGTACTGGAAAAAATTTAGTTTTGGAGAAGTTACAAATGATTGCAGAAATTCAATTACTTTCAAAAATAATAAAATTCTCATCAGAAATTTAATTATGTTCAAAAATTTAAAGAAACTCGTCCAAATTTCAATTATCTTTAAAATTAATAAAATTCTTCTCCAAAATTCAATTATTTTCAAAAAATTTAATAAAACTCTTGGCAAAATTTCAATTATTTTCAAAAAATTTCCTCAATTCAATGATTTTCAATATCTATTATTTTAATAAAATTTTTCAAAAGAATTCAATTATTTAAAAAAAATTTTGATAAAATTCTTAGCAAACATTCAATTATTTTCATAAATAATAAAAATTTCACAGCAATTCAGCTATTTTCACAAATTTTTTATAAATTTCTTCCCAATAATTCAATTATTTTCCTAAATAATACATTTTTTTACAGAGATTCAATTATTTTCATGAATAATAAAACTTTTTGTAGAATATCAATTATTTTTAATACAATTTTAATCAAATTCCTCGAAAAATGTAATTATTTTTAAAAATTTTATTAAAAGTCGTCAAAAAAATTCAATTTTAAAATTTGTTGACAAAATTCTTTATTAGAATTAAATTTGGAGAAACATTTAATTACTCAATAAATTGTTTATTTTTATATTTGAATGATTGAATTCTCGTAGAATTTTATAATAAAAATTGATTTAAGAATGAATTTCAATGATTAATGAATAAAATGATTTAAAAATTACAATTCTGTAGAATTAATTTTTTTGAAAAATTTGAATTGAATTTTTTTTAAAACTTATTATTTTAAATTTTTATTTTTTAAATATTTAATTGTAGAATTTCCGAATAATATTTCGTAAAATTGAATTGTATAAACAAATGGTTTTAAAAATTCTTAAGAAACTTTTGCAATAATTATTAAAAATAATTGATAATTGATTTCTTTCGAAAAATTTTAATAAAAATTTAAAAATTAATTACATTTTTCAAAGAATTTACCTAAAATTGAATTAAAAATAATTAAATTTCTCTGCATTTTATTATTTAGTAAAATAATTGAATTCTTGCAACGGATTTTATTAAATTTTTTTTTTTAATACTTGAAATCCTGTGAAGAATTTTATTATTAAAGAAAACAATTGAATTTTGGCAACGAATTTTATTAAATTGTTTTTTAATAATTGAAATTCTCTGAATTTTATTATTTAGTAAAAGAATTGAATTCTTGCAACGAATTTTATTACATTTTTTTAAATAATTGAATTCTTTTGAAAAATTGTATTGAAATAGCAGATTTTGAAAATATTTGAATTTTAGCGAAGAATTTTAGTATTTGTAAAATGTAATTGAATTCTTGCAAACAATTTTTAAAATAGTTAAATTTTTCGAGGGATTCATTTAAAATTGTATTAAAAATAATTGAAATCCTATGAAAAATTTTATTATCTTTGAAAATAATGAAATTCTTGCGAAGGATTTTTTAAAAATTGTTGTAAATAATTTAATGTTTTTTTTTTTAATTTTATGGAAATTTAAATTATTAGAAAACATGAAGATATCGATCACTCCGAGTCGAAGACTCGGAATGATTGATATCTTCATGTTTTCTAATATTATTCGTATAAGTTGTTGAATTAAAAAAAGGTTTGAATTTGAAATTTTTTTGTAAATAAATGTAGTAGAACATTTTCTTGAATAATATTAATTTTTAATTAATTAAATTAATTAATTAATAATAATTTTGAGAGTGAATCAGAATATTCTTTAGGGTGAGGGAAAAATTCAAAATTTTGTCTGGAAATCAGAAAAAAACAAAATTAATTTTTTATGTCAATCCTGGGTAATTTTTCTGTATTTTAAAGTAAAATTCTGTCTTTTATGAAAATATGAAAACAAACCTCTACGAAATTCCAATTTCTGTCCGGACATATTGTTTCCAATTCTGCTAGACTTTGTCTACCGGTTTTTCTGTCAGGAACATTGTATATTTCTCCTAGATTTTGATTTTTTGGATTTTTATTCACTTTCTCAAAGGCAACATTTATGAGGTCGATACTTTCAGTCTTTGGAACGAAATTGTCCGCAAGTACAGCCAAAATTGAAGAATCTAATCCACCCGAGAAGAGAATTCCAATTTTCGTGTGAGTACATTTGACAGTTTCTTGACTTAAAATTAATTTTATACAATTCTTGCAATATGATGGTTGTTTCTTAATTCTTGTTTCAATCGACGCTTTTAATAGTCTTTCGATTTTTTCCATCCTCTGGAAAATTTCTTCCTTTTTTAAAAGCAAGTCCATTATGTCTTCTCTTTTTTCACTATCTACATTGACATGGAAATATTTTTCGTCAACATTTACCAAATTTAGAGATTCCTCCCGTGAGGGGAAAATTACATCTTCAATTTGTATTCTACTATTGAGAAGATTTTCTAATTTTCTAATTTGTTCGTGAAAACTATCATTTGGCATACGCCAGGGAAAACAACTGAGACTAAAATTGGAAGGATTGAAAGTTTGTAAATTTAAAGCAAAAAGTCCAATTGCGGGTATTTCGTGTGTATTTTCGAATTTTCTTCTAGTCACCGATGTGAAAGTTAAGGAACTATTTATGGAATTGAAATTTAGAAGTAAACTGTGTCGCCCAAATAGATCGCGAGAAAAATAAAGAATTTTTTGGGATTTGTTGAAATATACGAAACTGTAGGGTCCTTTTATTAATTTGAGAGTAGGGACGATGTTTAGTGATTTAAACGATCGCAGGATAAATGTTGTGTCACTTTCTGTATTGTCATTTGAATTTCCAGAGAAAACGTCTCCATTCCAGAGAAGAATATTATCATCCTCATCCACGCAAGGTTGGATTGTCATTTGGGAACCTTGAGTCCATAAAATACTAGCAGCAAAATGAAGGCAATGTTTCTCTGATAATTTAATTTGTTTTTCGCATAAACTATCTGGACCTCGGGAAGAAATTCTTTCTTTACAAATATTCCACTGAAACAGTTGATTAATTTATGGATTTTTATATAATGCGATTAATTATAGATTACTGAATATTTGTTATTATTACTGACATTACTACTGGCCCTGCTGGCAAATAATTTTTGATAAATTTTGCTATAAATATAAGAAATATATTTAGAAATATTAATAAAATTTCTATCGTACCTCGAGTGGTAATTCATCACTTTGAGAATTATGTAAACAGCAAAAAATACCACACATTTTTATTTTGAAATTAAATGAAATGTGTAAACAAACGAAAGGTAAACAGAGCAGAAGCAAAATTCGAAACTGTCACAGAATCTAACCTCAAAGACAAACACGTGGAATTCTCAGATGTGAGAGAGGTAGACGCATGTAACCGTCTCTCTTTCTCTTACTCTTTTCTGCGCTTAGTATCGTTCTGTGAGTGAACCTTTAGCTTCCGCCAGGTTAGGACATTTGTTTTTGCAATTGTTGCAATTCAATCTAGTTATTTTCGACTCTGGTAACTATCTATTTGAAACTGTCAACTTTTTACTTCATTTACTTGAAATTACTTGAAATTGTCAACTATTTACTCGAATTTGTCAATTATTTAATTTAATTTGTCATTTACTTACTTGAAATTGCAACAATGTTTAAATTGTTGTTGAGTGTTTGATAGTTTTTTTTAATGAATCACTTGGATTATTGTTTATTGATGTACATTTTTTATATCATACACTACCTCCAAGTATAATGGGAATAACAATGTGTTTTGATTGTTATTATTTTAATTTTTGATTGTTTTAACTTTAATAATTAGAAAAATTAGAAATTCTTGTAGTGTTAGTTTTAGAAAAATTGTAATTTTTTTGGTTTTTACAGTTCTTGCTCAAGAAGCAATCTGAAGGAAGAAGGAAATTTGAAGAAAAAAAGAAAGGATGTGAAAGAAGAAAGAAGTTCGAAGAAAAATATTCCCAGACTTCGCAAAAGGAATTCACCGAGAAGTGTTCTTCGAGAGTTTCACAACGAAAAGGAGACGCAATGGTACAACAAAAGGTATTCAACCACCAACGTGGAATTCAAGGTCTGATGAGTAAAATGAAAATCTTTTTCTAATTTAACTCCTTCCCTGTTAAAAATTACTTTTTGCTTTATAATTAATTGAAAAATTGAAAATTAAATTTGATGACTTTTAGTTTGAATTTTAAATTTGAAAAATAATTGTAAATATTTTGAAACTAATAGTAATTTGAAGTTAATAATAATTTGAGAATCGAAGTATTATTTTAAAAAACAGGGAAGGAATCTGAACAACATAGTGACACCATTGTCAAAATTTATTATTTTGTACTATTTTTGCTGTTACGTATTATTAACAAATTATTATTATTACGCATCATGTATTAATAATAAATTATTGTTATTACGTAATTATTGTACAAATTAATATTTTTGTCAATGCTTTTATTCATATATTTTTATATCTTGTATTTCATGTTTTGCTTTTTCATTATTTTCATGTTTTATGTAATTTTTCTTCCTTGATTTATATTATAACTTTTTTTCCTTGCAAAGTCTTTGTTTCTCTTTTGAAAAATAATGATATTAAGAAATAAATTTAATTTAATAAATAATTTTAATTTAATTTAATTTTTTTATTTTAATTTCTTGCATTTAAAATTTTTTAAAATAAATAAATTTTAAAATTAAAAAAAAAAGTTTAAAATTTTCAAGTTATCAATTGTAGCTTTTTTCAATTTTTTGGTATCAATTTTCATAAATTTTTTGAAGTTAATAGTTAATGCATTTGAAATTTAAGAATTAAATCTTTTATTTTTGATAATTTTTTTTTAAATAAATGAAAAATGTTTCTTTTCAGCAATTTGTATATTTTTGAGCTCAGGTGTCGGATGCGTCCCGGGACGTATGGGAGCCTAACGTGCCCCTTTATCCCTAGTTTAGGTTTAATGCACCGGGGCGGAATGTGAGAGAATCGTGGAGTGTTGATGAGTGTTTGTGAAATTAAAAAATAGGTTTAAATTATGTAGACAGGGGGTAGGTAGGAATAACTTTTTTTGTATGAAGGAGAATTATTTTCGATTTATTTTTGTGGTAGGTAGGGAAATCGGGATTTTTTTTTGTGTGAGTGTTCCAACCACTAGGTACCAGTGGTTCCTGGTACTGTCACTGCTACAAAGAGTACCAGTGAATTTATATTTCTTTTATATTTAATATTTTTTCTTTTTGTCACTATGTTGTTTCAAATTTTATTTTATGTTCTATACATATATTTGTCTATTGTGTTTGACACTATTTTATGTTTGCCTAATATTGACAAACAATTTTTACATATGTCTCGTTTTGAGAAATAATTTTTTGTGTTTGTCTAATTTTGACGAATAATTTTTTTTATTTGCCTAATTTCGATCGACAAACAATTATTTGTGTTTGTCTTATTCTGGCGAACAATTTGTTTGTCTTATTCCGACAGAAAATTTTTAATTATTAAATTTAATTATCAAAATAATTTTTAATTTAATTGTTTGTTTTATTCCGACAAACAATTTTTTTGTGTTTGTCTAATTTTGACAAAAGATTTTTTTTTAAATTAAATCGAATCATCACATCGTGGTGGAAAATTTTACTTTGTAACTATTTTTAAAATTACTTTAGTCGATTATTTCTATACAATTATTATTAGAAAACTATATTTGAACTAAATGTACAATTTTTTATAGACCTATTCTTTGGTTATAGAAAAAAATTGCCTACTGTTTAAAATAAATTTTTCTTAAATTTTTTCTAATTGTTTGAGTCAATATTTTGAATATTACTCTAATTTTCTAATTAGATTCTAATTTTGAATGTTTTTGGAAAAGAATTACGACAATCGGGAGAAATTGAAAAAATAACTTTTCGTAAAAGTCTTTAAAATAAACTCAATAACATTTTATTTCTCACAAAGTTCTAATAATCAAATACATGTTATATAATTACACATATAATATTATTAATATTTATATACTACAATTTTAATACGACTTGTAGACAAACTTACACATATCATATCACTTACGTATAGATATATCACCAATTAATATATATTTACAATAAAAATCTCCTCTGTTCGTCACATGATCGAAAATCGATCAATATTTTCTTTTCTTTTTTTTTTGTATAAAACTTTCATCATTATGATAAAAAAAAAATTGCTGTACTGCAGTTTCTAATACTCTGTTGAGTGATGAGGATTCCCTTGATGACTGGCCTCGTACCCGATGGTCGGGAAAGCTCCATTAGGACCAGATTTAATTCAACCTTCAATATAATCAATAATTTCAGTAGTAAACTACAAAAATATTTCGTTAAAATAAAGCATTTCTTTTTCTACTTTTGAAAAAAAGTTGTCGTTTTCTATATTAAGCTTTGTTAGAAGCAGTTCTTCTTTTCTCTTTGATGAAAATGGTTAGTTATAAGCATTTCTTTTTTCTTTGATGAAAATAGGATAGAAAAAATTTGGAATTGTTTGGATTTATAATAATTTAAATTGATTAGTCAGTCCTTTGGCGAATAAATTATATGCCTTTAGTAATGAGTGTTCGTTGGTTTGTGAAACTTGTTTTTTCTCTTGATGATTTAATTTAATTGTATTCTTGTTGCTTGTAGATTTGCTGATTTTGGACTTACTCGTAGTCTTCCTCTTCAGGTCGAACCTGAGGGAACCTTCGAAGCTGTTGGGGTGCTTGAGGTCGTCTCTGCTGTAGGGGAATGTTTACTTCTTCAGGACTTCTGAAAACTTGATTTACTGGTAGACGATATTGGGAGAGATTTGGTTGTGGGCGTCCACCGGATGGCAAACTGTTGATACTTGAGTGTTGTTGTTGGTTTAGGTATAACTGCTGAAAATCAGGGCTTTTGTTATTGGGAATTTTATTCTATTTTTGTTTTTTTATTTTTAAATGTTCTTTTTATTTTTTAATTATTTCATTTTTAAATTTAATTTGAACCAAATATATTTACTGGCGAAAAGTACATTTCTATGTGAATTAAATAAAATTTATTCGCAACAAATGGATTTAATTCGAACCAAATAAATTTATTGGGGAAAATTAAATTTCTATTTGAATCAAATAAAAATTTATTTGCAACAAAATGATTGTTATTTGAATCAAATAAAATTTATTCGCAACAAATGGGTTTTATTTGAATCAAATAAAATTTATTTGCAAAAAATGAATTTTATTTGAACCAAATAAGATTTTTGGCAAAAAATGAATTTTATTTGAATCAAATACAATTTCTTTTCATCAAATTAATTTCTATTTGAATCAAATAAATTTATTAGCAAAAAAATGAATTTTATCTGAACTAAATAAGATTTTGATAAAACTTTTGATTCGAAATTGCAGATTTGAAATTGTAGATTTTTAAGTGTAGATTTTTTGTTCCAGATTTTATTACCTGATTGAGGGGTTTTCTGTTGGCAGAATTTGGAAATTCGTTTTCTCGTTCATCGGTGTAAATGTCAGCTGGATAATATCTCTCGCTGTATCTCAAGGTTACATTGGGTTTGCTCTCGGCTTCGGCCAAGTTCAATGGTTTATAGAGATATTCATTCACAAAATGATATTGAGAACTCTTCTTGCAACTGATGTCACCGCTTGGAGGCATGCAAATTAAGTGAACCTGTGAGACGAAAAAGAGAAATTTATTATTATTGAAAATAATTTTTAGTTTTTAATTAGCTTTTTGGAATTAGAGAAATTTAGAAAAATTAGAATTAGGAAATTAGAAAATTTGTGGATAAAATTTGTTATTTGTTTTTAGACTCACTTGGTGGAAAGTGAATCCTTCGGGACAAATCCATGAGTGCTTGGCATTATCTTGACAGTAGTGGAAAACTTCGCAATTGAGTTCTTCGTCAGCGTAGTATCCAGTTTGTTTGTTAACACAATCGAATTTACTTTGGGGTAGGAGAATGCTTAGACGATCGGGTTCCTCTTTTTCTTCCTCCAATTCTTCTTCGGGAAGTCTCTGTTCGAAATTATTTTTATCAGACAAGATTTTCTTATTGGTAATTAAAAAATTTTTTAAATTTAAGTTGATTTAATTTTAGATCAATTGAAATTAATTTGATCTAATTTAATTCAATTTCAATTCATTTAATTTAATTTAATTCAATTTAATCGAAATTCAATTTAAATTCATTTGATTTAGTTTAAATTTAAATGAATTTAATTTAAATTGGCTAAAAATTGCTTTTTTAATTTTTTAAGTTCAGTGGAAATTACAATTCAATATTATTTAAATTATAAATTAAAAACAAATAGTTGACAAATTTTTACCTGGCCATTTGGTCCTAGTGGAGGTGGTCCACGGAATGGACCACGTGGTTGTTGATTAGCTGCGGGTTTGCGATAAATCTGAAAATTTATTTAGTCACAATAAAATTTTAATTTGAAAAAGAAAATTAATTTCGTTCGTTATGGAATTTAAATAATTATGTTTAGGTATTAAATTTAAATAATTGCATTAATCACTAATTGTACAATTAAAATAATTTAATATAAAACGTGAAAAATCGAAAAAAGAGAATTGAAAACTCAGAGAAATTATTTCAACTTGAGAGATATAAAATTGATTAAATAAAAACATGAAATTGTTAATTAAGAAGACAAGCAACAAATATTTACAAGCAGGAAATGATAATGATTAACGAGATTTCTTAAACTGGTTTACAAGATCGATATGACCAAAGTCGAGAGTTGTTTTCATTTGAATATATTACATAAGGCGAATTAATTTAAAGGCAATGTGAATAAATATAAATATATATACATGAGCAATATAATAAATTACTTGGGAAAATCCGGAAGTCAAAAAGTTCAGGGAATTTAATAATTTTTTAGTGTTGCGTAATAGTTTCTTAAAATACAAGTCGTTCTATAAACCGCAAATGCATATACAGCAATATAATAATAATAATAAAACAGTAAAAAAGAGAGTTAAACAACCTCGTTTGAAGTAATGTGTACCAAATTATAATTTTACGATTTTATGCATAATCTGTCGGTTGCGGTTTAAATAAGTCATAAACAATACATAAACGATGTCCTTTTTTTTATTTCTTTTCTGACTTTTTTTTTTAACCAATTCGCGAAAGTTCTTCTTTTAAATATGTAGGTTTATATACTTTCTCAATTAACAATTTTAAATTTTTATTATATTTTATATTGTGTAAATGTTTCTCTTGGGAGAAATTTTTTGTAAACGATTATTTTTGTGTATTTTTGAACGATTTGTGAAAATTGTCATTGAACTAATATTCAACTAATTATTTTGAACTAATTTTTTGAATTATATTTTTTATTCCACTGAAAAAAATTGATTTGATTCAAATAACCGATTACTTGTCTATCATCAAATAAATATTTACTTGATTCAAATAATTTTTATTTAAATCAAATAAATTTCGGAGAAATTCAAATAAATTGTATTTGAATCAATAATTTTAGTATTTGAAACAAATACAAATTTAATTGGCTCAAATAAAAATTATTTGATACAAGTAAATATTTATTTGATTTGACAAGTATAATCGTTTCTTTGAGTCAAATAAATTTTTCCCAGTGTTCAGTTTAGTAATTTTCAAAAATATTGGAGCACAGAAAAATAATTCGTTTATTTAGGAGTTCAAAAAAAAAAAAAATTTTCTTAAATTAAATAATAAAAATTAGATTTGTAAATTAGTTGTTATCCACTTGCTTGTTGTCTATAAACTGATTATTATTTTTAATTTAATTATCATTTAATTAACTTAAGTTATTGATAGAAATTAATTTTGTAAAGTTTGTATCTCTTTGATTATTAATTATTTAATTTAATTAATTAATGGGAATTAATTTCGTAAATTTTTGGTCTTACTGGTTGTTGTTGTTGTCGATAAACTGGAGTAGGGGTGGGAGTCACAGCATTATCCTCGTAGCTATTGTCACGATATCCTGACGATGAGGATAGTCCTTGAACATAAAGTGGGCCCAAGCTACCTTTGCTGGGATATGAAACTGACCTTGGCTCCAAATTGTCATAATTCTGTGCTGTTGCAGCCGCTAAACAAAATAATAAGCACACCCGGTGCATTTTTCTGCAAAAAACAATAAAAAATCTAATTTAATAATTTAATTATTAGTAATTTAATTATAAATAAAATACTACTCTGGGAATTATTTTATTTAAACCAAATAATATTTATTTGAGTCAAATAAATTATATTTGTCGCATTGAACCTACTTAATTATTTATTTGCTTTAAATAAAAATTGTATTTAGCACAAATCAAATTGTTGTTTGAAGAAAATAAAATTTCTTTGGATCAAATAAAATTTCTTTGAACCAAATAAAATTTCTTTGGAAAAAGTAAAATTTGTTTGGACCAAATAAAATTTGTTTGAATCAAATAAAATTTCTTTGGACCAAATAATTTTGGTCCAAATTTATTAGAAGCAAATAAAATTTATTTGAAATAAATAAAATTCATCTGAAACAACCTACTGTTGAGGAAATTTCGAAATTTGTCAAAATGCGTGTCTCGATGAATATTTTTTCTGGTTTTTATGTGCGCGACAATGGACCGTAAAAAGAAACAGAAGTAAAAAATACGAATTCGCTTTATAATGAAATCGGGTTAATGATGCAAAAGTAGGCAAACGTTTCATTTGGATAATAATAACTCTCTCTCTTTAAAAAGACTTTAAGTCCCCCTCACATATCTCAGAACTTGAATTCAAGAAAGTGTAGAATAGCATTTTACTCATCTGTCAGGTGACCTAGAACTTGTATTAGTGGAATTAATTAATTCTGAAATGCAGTCACACGGACGAGTGTGTATATCATTTCGAATCATCCTTGGATTAAATGAGAGTGTCATTTTCTGAGAAAAATCCCTTGCGCAGAGAAAGTGAAATTATTGTTCGTTTTATAAAATGACTCTTTATTGGTTTTTTTTTTTTAAATTAAGAGAATTAAAATGATTATTTAAAATTAAAATGATTATTAAAATGATTGTTTAAAATTAAAATGATTATTAAAATGATTATCTAAAATTAAAATGATTGTTAAAATGATTATTTAAAATGAAAATGATTATTAGAATGAAAATGATTAATAAGTTATGTATTTTAGAGTAATTATTTGCTATATGTACATATAAGACTTGCATCAATGATAATTCGCAACTTTCGCATGTGTTTATAATTTCACTTTCGGTGGAAGTCAATTATAAATGCGCTTGAACTCGATCAAGTTCATTTTCCTTTAGAATGAAAGTGAATGAATTGGCTCCGTTGATTGTTGTAGGTTTATTTTTCGATATTTTAATTATAAATCGGTATTTTCTGGTAATTTAATTTTTAGTGAAAGGCTGAATCTATTTTCTAAAATTAATTAAGTTGATTTTTTGAAAATTAAGTTTTTCTTAATATTAAAAAAAAATTGAAGTGGTTTTCTCGATTTTTGAAAATAGGCACTTTTACAATGTAGTTTGAATTTTAGATTAGGATTAATTTACTTTTGGAAAAAATTTCGATATAAGGAAATAAGTTGTAATTTTCTTCTTTTAGTGCTAAATTGAATTTAAGTAAAAGTGTTGCATTTTAATGTTCAATAATTTTTTTTATTAAATTTAAATTTATTTATTATTTATTTATTTTAATTTTTAATTTACTTTAATTAAATGTCTCTCTCAATGTAAATTATTGAAAATTCAGCTACTATTTTATATTAATAATTGAATATTTACTAATTTTAAGTAAAATATTACTATTTTGTTTATTTTGCATTTTTTTACTGAAGTTTTAGTAAAAATTGACTAAAAATTAGTAAAAATTCTTATTAAAATTACAAAGTTTCCTAATTTGAATTAGAAGCACAATTTCCACGAAAATTCAAAGTTGGAAAAATTATCTCTATAATTTGCACTGAAAAGAAAATTTTTTTGACTTGAATTATCAATTACTTGACTGTTATCAAATAAAAATTTACTTGAATCAAATAATTTATATTTAAATAAAAAAAAATTGTATTTGAACCAATAATTACAGTATTTAAAGCAAATAAAATTTACTTGATTCAGATAAAAATTATTTGAAACAAGTAAATATTTATTTAATAATAGACAAGTAATCGTTTATTTGAATCAAATAAATTGTCTTTTCAATGTGAATTCAATGTGAATTGTTTGTGCAAATTAGTTTGTTTCTCCTTTTAATTATTATATTTTATTAAAAATTGTTTCGTACATTAAAAAAAATAATTCTGAAGTAATTAATTAATTCTGAAGTATTTTATTATTTTGAAGTAATAAAATTCTAAATTAACATTCTTTTTGAATTCAGTTTAATATTTTTGTTTAAATATTTAAACAAAATTATTTCGTTTATTTGATTCGGTTATTTATTTATTTATTTGCTTATTTTCTCTTTACCATTGTTCTTGCAATGAAGGTTTTTAATTAAAAAAAAAAATGTTTTTTGAAACGAAATTTAAAATTCAGATTTACGAAGCAAATAAGAAGGGGATATTGGACATTTTTATACGATCTGCATGTAAAGTATTTACAATATTCATACCATGGAAAGCGTCTTACTTTCTAGAACGTGCGTAAAACTCGAATAAGGTAGTTTCTCGATTCGTTTATAAAAGTCCTTTTAGCTACACTTATTTATATATATTTATGTATAGGTATATATAGCTGTATATATTGAAACGATATTGTTAACAAAAATAGTTACAGAAAATATTATTAATTATAGTCTTATCGCCTTGTCTGACATTTACTTCGTGTTCCGTCATATGAGTTAATGGATCATAATATACTCAATGTGTGTATAAATATATATACATATATGTATGAATCTTGACCTTTTACTCCGTTAAGAATGCGTGCAGAATTCGAAAGTTATTTCAGGAAATGAATTTTTTTTACCCTTTGCGAAAAATTAGCAGAATCCGGTTTGATAAATCTTATCTATTTAGTCTTATCTTTCAGTTTCAGTTTCTTTTTCGTTTTTTTTTCTTTTCCTTTTTTCTTTTTCTCTTTTTTCTTTTTCTCTTTTTTTCTTTTTCTCTTGTATTTTCTTTTTCTCTTGTTTTTTCGTTTTTTCTTTCTTTCTTGTTTTTTCTTTTTGCTCTGTATTTTTATTATTTCGACTCTGCTGTTTATCATGCTAAAAAGTATTTTTCTTTTGTTTTATTTAGCGAAAGTTGAACTTGCTTTGCATTTTTTGTAGATATTTTACTCAATATTGTTTCTTTTATTATTATCCGTAGTTTTATTCGTTATACAATTTTTTTAAGGATATCAATAATAATTTTTTTTTCAAGTATTTTGTTACTATTTTTGAAAAATTAATTATTCTCAAAGTATTTTGTTACTATTTTTGAAAATCAACTTTTGAAGAATTTTAATTGCAAAATTTTGAAAATAATTGAGTTATAAAAAATTTTAATAAAAAATCGCTAAATTTAATTATAAAAATGAAAATTAATGAAAATTAACTTCGAATTTTTTTAAATTCAATATTTTCAGTATTTTCAATTACAAATTTCTAAAAATTCGTAATTACATAGAAAAAATAATAATTTTTAATAATTATTTTTAACATTTCAGGGAACAAAATCATGTTCGAAATTTTTTATTAAAATTCATTAAAAGATTAATTGGTTTTTTTTCAATTATACAAAAATTCTTTTAGGAAATTCAATTATTTTTGAAAAATTACATTAAAATATTTTTAAAAACTAATTCTTTGAATTGTTTTATCATAATTTTTTAAAATTCAATTATTTTCGAAAAAAGTAAATAAAAATTTATAAAAATTTAGGTACTTTTTTAGAGTTACTAAAATTTCGGAAAAATCATGGTCATATTTATAATAATTAAAATTCTTCAAAAATTTGATTATTTTTATTTATATTTTTCAAAAATTCAATTTTTTTTTAGAAGATTGTACAAAATTTAAATCGTTTGGAAATTTTTTAATTGAATTTTTTGAAATTTTTGAAATACAAAATTATTATTTTTCAGTAATTATTTTTATAAATTTTTTAAAAAGTTAATTGTAAGAATTTCTTTATTATAATTTTTTGAAAATACTGCACCTTAATAATTTAAGAAAAAAAACATGAACAGTTACAATTATTATAAAAAATTGAGTTTTTGTATTTAAATAATTGAGTTCTAGAAGAACTTTCTGGAAATTATTTAAAATAATGATTGATTTAAAGATGAAGTTTAGTTGAAAATTGTGGATTCTAACTTTTAGAAATTATTAAAATCCATAAATTTTATTAATTTTTCGTAAACTTTCGTACACCCAGAGAAAAGATATTTTTGACTCCGAACCAGCTATAGACTTTTTATTTGTTTTAAATAAATTTAATTTTGGTTTAAATAAAGTTTTATTTCGCTCGAATATTTTATTTAATTATACCGAATGAAAATTTTAGTTCGCTCGAATATTTTTTTTATTTATATCGAATAAAATTTTTATTTAAAACAAATAAAATAACTAGTTGGTTCTGAGACAAATATATATACACGTTTAATTAACTCAAATAAAATACATTTGATTTAAATAAAATTTTTCTCTTGGTGTATTTTTCTGTAAAAAGAGTTTTCTCAGGGAAAATAATTTTATTGTCAGGGAAATTGATAAACTGAAACTGTGGGATTCTTCAACTGTTCTCAAGAATTTTTTTTTTTATTAATCTCAGTTCTTTGTATACAAAAGTTATTTAAAAAAAAAGTTTAATTTATATTTTTGACAGAAAATATGATCCATTCTTCTCGTGTATTTAATACGTTTCGTGTGATTGAAATATTGAGAAATTGAAATTGTGTTTATATGTGTATAAAAAGAGGAGGGGGGGTAAGAAAGGATTTAGGAATAGTGCGGTGGTGATGTGTACCTCTCTTCGTCTCATCCTTAAGGTTTTCTATTATAAAGTATTTTCCACGAAAGCTGAAACAAGATAGTTACGTAAATCTCTCTCTTGTTTGTAATGCTTGAAGTGCATAAACTGAGCAAAGGTCAGAGTTTAACGGCAGTTATGCATTTAATAATATAACCAATTCGCGTTGCATCAT